GACTAACAACCAATATCCGCACGGCTGGCTTATTCCGCCCTCCCGTCACTGCAAACAAGCACTTCGTTCATCCCGCCTTCTGTCTTGCCCGCCTAGCATGACCCATGCTCGCATCCACACTCGACCAGCATCTCCTTTTTCAGCCTCCATCTCGTACCCAATAATGGGGGTTTCCAACACTCATCTCCAATCGTCCGTGCTTCTTCATGCGTCGCCCCAGGGTCGAGAGAACTATTGAATTCCCAAGCTCTTGTTTGGGGAATCGAGCATGTACGCAATGCTTCGTCAATCTCATTCGCAATCTCTGCCTACGCAGCTTGCTCCGTCTTTTACCCAAAAATCATCAAGATACCCATGGCTCTTAACGTCCCCACGGTGGTATTGATATAGCACAGCCGGCATCCCATGCCTGCACCATGTCGCGTCGCGTCGCTTCGTTAATCGCCCACCGTTGCAACCGCCCTTTTTTACCTTTTCGTTTCCCCGCATATCCGGAGCTTCTACGCACTTCCCTCACGAGGTTAGTGCAGACCTTCCGAGCTCATTATTGCCAGCCGAACCGGGTGCTTCCCCCGCCAGTATCGGACACCATCACCATGTCCGCCCTTTTGTATCTTGATGCAATTCCTCAGTCTTGCAATCGACAGTACGACTGTCTGTACATACATATCGCATTCGGAGTGACTTCCATTTCCGCAAAAAAGGCCCGATCGCCAGAAAGGTGTCACACGACATTGTGTACACCCCTTTCTCCTATCCGTACCTATGATGAGCCAGCAGAACTTCATACGCAGGTGGACTTTGCGAGACATTACCACGTTGCCGTTGCGCTGTGGCCCCAGCGTTTTGTGCCTGAAGATCCTTTCCGTCTTTGCTTGCCCAAATGCCGATAACCTTGTCTTCTGGCCGCTCTGCGTGGTGTATCGTTCAGAGGCTCAATCTACTAATGTCTGGACCGCCTATACTGAAGTCGGCTAAGTATGACATCAAGTCCGAGACGATCTCTGGCTGCGCAACACGGCAGTCTTGTACATATCTCTGCTACTTCCGGGTTTTCCGAGCGTGCATGTTCGTGAGACTTGGAGAGCTTTCAATCCCCAGATAATGTTGTCTGCCCTCCGAATCGAGCAAAACTCGACATGCCCCTCCCCGTCCTGATGAACACAGAGTTGTAAATGCATTCAGCTGTTCAGTACTTAAGGCCTAGCTTTTATTTTCGCGGGATAGCAATAGCTCACAATTCCTTCTTGTGGAGGTCGAGGGTCTGGAAATAGACAACTTCAAGTGGCTCGGGAGCGTCTGGAGCTTGTCGCCACGCCGAGCACTGTCACACTCTACCTTCTCGCAACGAAGGTGTCTAAGTACAGATAGTATTCATAAACAGCGGTCATTCTCCGGGGGGTATTCTTCATAGTATACCTATCTGCTGATGGACTTTGCTCATGATTGAAATGTCTTTTGGGACTCCTTGGTTTGAATTTCGCCAATTGGAATGACTTGCAATATGAAGGCTGGTCACATTGTTAAGTACAATGTCGGAGGTGCTTGTTCTCTGGGGCACTTGCCAAGCTCAGAGAATGGGCCAATGTTACTTGTCATTGATAGAGCCTTGGGACGTTGACAAATAGGTCGGTACTTATAGTATCACAACGAGAAATAGCAGCGGTCTTTGACTTTGGTAATAGCAATGGCAACAGATCGATTCGTATAAATACGCTGGTCATTCTGCGTACCGAAAGTCTATGGAGATCAAGTCGTCGCTTCCTTCCCAGAAATGGCGAAGGACCTAGTTCTCCTTTAAAGACTTCATTACGTGGTGGCTTGAGAGCAGCGGTCGTTAACACTGGATAAGTTGTCGAATGCTCACTCAGATTGCCACTTCCTAGGTCTGGACATCACCTGGCAGGTATTCCTGATTGTATACAAGGACCTGTATGGACTTTGCGAGATGGAACTCCCGCTACATTGGGTCAACTCGCACGTATATCAAAGCTCGACCAGAACATCACTCAAACCACTCTCATGACAACCGGTACGCATCCAGGCCAGATTATGTTGTGGTGAATCTCCTCGCCGCAACGGACCGAGTATAGACTGGAGTCTGGGCCGTCGACGGCTAAATAAGGGGCAAAGCGGTCAAGTTACCGACGGGACTCCATTTGCCGATAGTACACCACCTTGGATATCGTAGCCGTCGAAAGTAGCGTCTCTGAGGAACATAGGGGAGATGAATCAGAAGATCTAGTTCACGTTGGCTTCGTTTGTGCGGAAAATCCCAAGATGATTATCGGTCTCGCGTGAACATCACTACTACAGCTCATCGACATCAGACAAGCACAAGCGAAACAAACAAGGTACGGAAATCTTCTACGCAGCTGCAGAAGTGAAGGAGCGGCCTTTGAGCCCGCCAGTTTGCCTTAATTCAAGTACTACGCCCAATTATCATAGTCCGGTAGACCCTCGTCAAAGTATACCTCCTCGACGCGGTTGAAGCCCACCTCCGGAGCGTCGTATGGCCACGGTTCGCCGTTCCCGCTAGCGAAGAGAGCGAACATCGATCCCTCAAAGTTGGGATACCCGGGGTTTGAGCTCATCTGTTTGGAATTGAATGTCTTCAACCATGTGGGCGAGGTTGCGTTGCTGCGAGAGTAGCCGAGGGAGTATTCTAGAGGCGAGGCGCGGATGTGAAGTGTTAGATCTGCGGGGATCATTGACTCGCTGAGAGGGTATTCGGTTGACTAGAGGTAAGGTAAGAAAATAAGCACGTAGTTAACAATTTGAGAATGCGGGAGGACCTACATTGGGTCGAGTCGTCGGACCGGTGGAAGTCGGCAAGAGATCGACGTACAAACACAGCCTCGTCGTATTCCAGCATCCTCTTACGCCGATATCTTGATGGTTAACTTCACTCAGATACGACGCGATCCCAACCGAATGCCTCGGTCCCAGTCCAGCTGACGTCGACGACAGTCTAGCTGAGAAAGTCATGTTCAACGACGTCTGCTTTCGAAGCACAGCAGCCGCCGTATCTCGGTCCCCGAGCGTGAAGACGTTGGGATTGAACACGATCCCCGAGTCGTTGGCAACTACTCTCTTCCCCAAACCACCCGTCGCCGCCGCACCCTTGAGCCGGAAGTTCTCCGTGTAAGGCGTCCGCTGCTGGTACCAGCTGATTCCCAACTTTGTACCCGTGAACTCATCAACCCATTTCGCCTTGGGATACTCCTGATCTGGCCCTTCGACGCTCTTACTCAACAACAGAGGCTTTCCGCCGTTCATCGTCGGCCATCCGTCCTCCCAGTCAACCTTTACCAGAAACGCCTCGCGACCGAGCGGCGAGGCACCCTTTACGTTTCGTCTTGCCAATAGGGAGGCGTACCACTCCCCATCGGGCGTGTCAGTAAACGTCGCATGGCCAGTCGACTGCACCGTGAGCTTCGGGTCAGCGCCGTTGTAGATGAGCGGGTTCGTCGGGGAAGGTTCCCACGGGCCCTGGGGAGACTTTGAGCGGCCTATCGTCGCGCGGTGGCCGGTACTCGTGCCGCCTTCCGCTAGGAGGAGGTAGTACCACTCCCCGCGCTTGAACATCTTAGGACCCTCTGGTCTGGAGCTGGGCAGTTGCGGAAGTGTTCCGTTCCAGATATTGCGGTAGGGACCGATGCATTTTCCTGTGCTGAGATCGATTTCGCATTGCGTTATGCCCCATAGCCGGTCGTAGTTATTATTAGGCCCCATGAGGTTGAGGTAAGATTTCCCTGTCGCCGCGTCGTGGAAGAGGTCCGGGTCGATGCCGTAGGGCTCCGCCCATGTCAGAGGCGACCAGGTAACGAGGTCCGGAGAGGAGATGTACCATATCCGCGGCCAGGAGCGGGAATCCGGGTCGGAGCCCCATCGCGTCATGGAGGTGATGTAGAAGAGGCCGTTGTGGTGAGAGAAGGAGGGGGCCCAGACGCCCTCGCCGGCGGAGACGCCATAGAGGGCGAGTACGGAGGGGTCTTGGAGGGCGTGGGATACGAGGTCCCAGTTTGCGAGGTCGGTCGATTTATAGATCGGGATGCCGGGATAGTAGGTGAAGGAGGAGACGGCCATGTAATAGATATCTTCTACACGGAGGATGGCTGGGTCGGGGTTCCATCTGGTGGGGTGTTAGTAGGCTTCGTCGGAGTTGACTGCGAAGAATGGTGAGCTTCACCCTGGAAGGATTGGGTTCTTGATAGCTGATACGACAGCTGCTAGGACCAGCGTCGCTCTTGTGAATAGCTTCATCGCGTCAAGATAGAGAAGTTACTTGGCTACTTCGAACTTGCAGCCGACCTCACAAAGACTTATACCTCTGTAAATTGAGATCGACCTCTCTTATACGAGCGACCGACGAGGAGTGCAAATTTCCAGCTCTCATAAGTCAGAACACCCCTGTATTCAAGTGTCCTAGCTTCCGCCCGGCCTTCGGGCCTGTCCGGGCGAACCCCCGATGCGCGCGGTGATGGGTCCGCGACGCGGGGTACATCATCGCGGGGGAAATTTGGCCGGGTAAAGACAGAATTGCAGGCGCTTCTCAATCCGTGAGCAGATCCCACCTTGAATGGAGCTGCGAATACCCTGCCAATCACGTCATGGGCGTCAAAGTGATAGGCGGAAATGCGTTATACCGTTGCTCTGTACTGCAGTCTATATCTCAATGTCCTTGGCATCGCTTTTGCTTTACAATGCTCGGCTAAGCCTTGTCGTTTTTGATTCGGCCTGGTCGGTCTTTCCATAACAACAATATCGATCTCAGCTCAGAATAAGATATGATGGGCACTTTGAAGAATTGATTAACTGGTGGGCCTACCAGCCACCTGGATCTTGGGCCTTTGAACAGTGCATCTTCCGTCTTTCAAACCAGTGAAACTAAAAGTTAATATCAACCCATCTCACCTGTAAGCGTGGAGCGCTTACAACACGAATTCAATGTCTTTTTTGGCTTCCACTATCATTCGCATAGCCTTGCTACCTAGATCTTAGTGTAGTGTGACCTCTATCATAGTTTCTATCATGCGCAGACGGTCGCCTATGTCCAGGCCTACGTAGAGTCCAACACGACGGTATGTCCCATCTTGCGCCCTTCCAAGAATCAAACCTTGTGAATTTTTGCCTAGACGCTGGTCATGATGATCTAGCGGACTGTCATCTTCTATCACATAACCAAGTATATGGAAACAAATGAACTCCGAAGGCAAGTCTTTCAACGAATGCAACTCTGCTCCAGAGTCGAAGCGCATTTGGATATGCCAAGGCGTGATGACTTCGTTCATACGGCTAAAAGCCTTGCCTCGTAAGGTGATGCATCCTGATACGACACCTCCATATGGTGCGACGTCGATGACAGGCTCCACTGAGACAGCGACCACTTCCGGCAATGGCGAGAGACCTATGCCGTCCGCCCGCGATGTAATTGCTAGCTTCCTATAGTCAACGAAGCCTTCGCTATCTAAAAGCGAGGGCATTTTCTTTTCCTGTTCAGATTGTGTATGTGTACACGAGTCAAGGTGGGTTAAGTCAGGCAGGTGCCAGACGACGGCTCCTGGAAAGCTCGCCCAGGACCAAGACGGCGCTATGTAGGAGGAAGACAGCTGCGGAGTGAGGGGCTTCTTTGGCATCCACAAGAGTTGTAGTGGGAGGAGATGCGTATTCCATAGCCCTGCAGCGTATGGAGATGTGTCGATATCACCCGACGGGTTGACCAAGTTCCCAAGTGTTTGGGCAACTCCTGAGATGGCCAACAGCCGGTCTCCAGGAACGGAAAGTGTCCGCTGCGAGAACTCTTCCACAATCTTGGACCATAGCTGGAAGATTGCTTCGAGAGGTGGATAAAGAATAGCATGAAGATCTGGGATTAGATGCTCGGGGTTTCTTGGGTTACAGCCATAGCTTTTGTTGCGGACGATCCTATCCCTGTATCCCACCCAGTGGCGGGTCTTGAACATATCATCCCGGAGTGATGCAGCACCTGAGCTTGGACCGAATCTAGTGGTCATACAAGCCCAGGATATCCGGCGAGTGCCAAAGGAGACCAACCGAGTGGCCAACAGAGACTCTTGCAATGTCCAAGCCCGGGTATCGATATGGTCAATCTCGTCTCGCGCCTCACCACGAAAGAGCTTCAAGCGTCTTTTGGACGAGTCGTCAAGGCGAGGGTCACCGGCAAAAGGGAAGTAGAATCCTACATAACCATCCGGTCCTGTCGTGTTAGGCGGGCTGAGGAATCCTTCAGAACAACTTTTGGCTACTGCCGCGGAAATTGTGATTATAGAGTTGGCGTAGTAATGAGCCATATCACCGACCTCTCTGGCTAAAAGGGCAGGATCGTTTTGGACAATGCAGAGGCTGTCGACCCAGAGGAGTTTTACACCCAATTGTCGGGTGACATGAATCGCGTCCCGTATAGTTTTGGGCAGGTTTCTGACTTCTATTCCTCTCTGATGTCGCGCCAAGTTGACTGTAGTGGTCTTGATGGTCTGGTCTAGGCCCCAGCAGTAGGAGAGAGCAACGTATGGATCAACTCTTGTGCTATGGGCTTGTCTGATACGGACGGTTTTCTCGTCCCCGAGGGACAGTTCGATGAACCGCAGAGGCCGAGTACCTGTTCCTTGTCGGCAAGACGGGTGTGATTCAAGGCATACCTGGAGTCGACGACGGATTTGAGCGATGCCGCTCTCTGAAAAGGTACCGCCATCTATGGTTTGCCCTACGGCATCATCCGCGCAGGGGTCATCTGTACAACCTCAGCAAGACATACTGATAATGAGCGCTACCGCCAATAGAAACTCAACTTACACGCGTCAGACTCAATGTCAAAAGTACCCCCTGTTGGACTCCAAGAGTAGTCGCTCGTCGACAGAAAAATCGAGCATTTAGTAGCGTCGGAGATGATTCCATTGACAGATTCAATCACCAAGCAAATCCTTGTCCGCAAGAGTTGCTCAGGCGGTGTCCTGGACTTCTCGATCTGTCCCCATATCCAGATGAAGAATGGACATCCTTCAGCGTTAGCAGCGGCAACCTGCCGCATGTTATGAGGCAAGAGGTTTCTCCACCTCAGGCTCCCTCGTTGGCGTGTCTTCAGTGGGTCACTATGTAGCGACACCCATCTATTGATTCTCTCAGGGGCAACGCTTGAGGTTGATATAAGAGCTGAAGCACAATGATGACACGTGTGACCCGCGGTCGAGAACGCGGGAAAATCGGCAGGTTGCAAAGATTCGCTGCGCCACGGGTGGGGAAAGTGTCGTTCGGCGTAGAATCTATCCATCTCACTGTCCGATTTGGTTGGATAATATCCTACTTCAGAGGATTCCAGGCAATATTTTTGAGGAAACGGAATTTAAATCGGGCTTGATTGCGAGATTACTGAATTTCCTAGACTCTACCGGAATTTGAAGAGCAGCCGGGAGAAATCTTTCAGGCGCAGCGATGGGTGTTTGATTGAAATGAGGCTGAATGTCCTTAGTCGGAGGCCGCCTGGCACGTGATCTTTATGTGACCTCTACTCGAAGCGTTTGCGAACATCATGAGTCACATACTATCGACTGAAAGTTCTGACTTTCATTGTGAGGAGTTGTGTAAAGATGGCTTCGATACCAGATAAAAATATTTCCTTCTCTTTGATCAATGTAATGCTGTGTAACTACAGAAGTGATAGTAAACGCATGACAATGTCTCTGTATAAATTATGCGTTAGTCTCTCTAGGTTAGGACAAACTTAGGCTGCAGCTTGTGTAAAATAACTTACGTCTAATTTGCTGGTGTGATTCACTTACACTGACGATATCTATCGGTGGATCCGCAAGGATGTCGGTCTATCGCAGGTTTGGCAAGTTGGGCGACCTTCTGAGCTTGCAATGTGAGCAAGAGAAAAAGCACCGTTGTGCTATAACATTGGTATACCATGAATTCATTCATTATGTTTCTTGTGATTTCCTTGGAGTGCAGGTTGTCACAATATCCTACTTCGTCCATTCCAAGCAGGCACCTGGGGCGACATTCAGAAAACGGTGTCTCTGTTCGCAAACCCTCCACGAAGAAGCGATATAGATACCTTCACCGAGGATAAGGAATCCAATTGAACTTGCAGAACGGAAGACATCATGCCATATATTAGTCTTTGACCTTGAGCACCATAGTTCCTGGATCCTGAATGACTCTATTGTGCCCCACTTGGGTTGGCCAAACTCTATTCTAAGCCGTGGGTGATGGTAACGTCAAGACATTAGGATCTGGGATTCCAGGTATTCCGTTGTAAACAATTGAACCAGAATAGAGGCTATGTTGTGGTTTAATGAATTACTTGAATGTCTTACTTTACAACATCAGACATCACTTGGCAGTCAAGCAATAGGCATTAGTGCCTGAATGCCATGCGAAGGCCGCCAGTACCCGCCGGCGCCCGATGCGGTGTTAGTGTCTCAGTGTTTGTCAGGCCGATAAGGCGCTCCGGGCGCCGTCGCAGGTGCCCACCGCCTCCTCAGTGACATCGTCGGAGCTCCCCGCGACTTCTATTAGATAAGTGCGGAGTCGCCCTGCTAGTCCTTTGTCGTCGTGCATACATCGCTCACGAAGGGTTTCTCAACACTTTCATACTAATTCTCACATTTAACTTATTCAGATTGATCACAATGGATTCCGAAGTCAAGTACCTTCTCTCCTTGCGCGCCATCCGGGAGCGCGCGAAGATCGTTGGGGATGTCGCTAAGGCTGGGAACTTGAGCCACTTTGAAGTTCGTGAAGATAAGCTGGATGAGGTGGTCGATTTCGTGGCTTCAGTTATCAAGGTCGGGGCTAATTCTTCTATCACTTCGAAACCTCGTACGGCAAGCCTAACATGAGCTCTCTAGCGTGACTACGGCCCGGACAAGTTCCATACAATCCCTCCTCACGGGCGTTGGCAACACTTTGAAGTCGGCAATGTGCCCCGCATTACCAACATTATAGAAGAGTGGAAAGCAAGTGGAAGCGACGAGACCGAGGTCACCCGTCGTCTTATCGACCTGTTTTTTGTCTCCGTGCTTTTGGATGCCGGGGCAGGTGATCACTGGCGATACAAGGAGCCCAAGACCGACCAGATTTATGAGCGCAGCGAGGGCATCGCCGTGGCTAGTCTCCACATGTTCAAAGCCTTGGCCTACACAACGTCAACTGACAAGGCCAACCCTATAGTCGATGGTAAGTATTGAAACTCTTAATTCAATATTGAAGACATCTGCTAATTACCATCACTCACAGGAAAAGGTCTGGAGCGCTTGGAGACAAGTGCACTGGCAGAGGGTTTCCAGGTTTCAGACAGCAACCCTATGCTGGGAGTTGATTCTCGCGCCGGTCTCCTTCGCAGCCTGGGAGAGTCACTTTTGGCCCATCCCGAAGTATTTGGAGCTGAAGGCCGCCCGGGCAACCTTGTCGGTGCGTTCCATCCTGCTGCTCCTGAGATACTTTCTGCGTGCTAACGACGAGTAGACTATCTGGTGAAGTCTGCCAAGGGGTCCTCCAAAATTGATGTGCTCTATCTCTGGGACATTCTCCAGACTCTTTTGATTCCTGCTTGGCCCAAGGATCGCACAACTATTGGCGGAACACCCATCGGCGATGCCTGGCCGTTGAGTACTTTACGCAAGGGAGCAGAGGCCGGCAGTTCCGACTCCCCTGCGGCTGGCATTCAACCTTTCCACAAACTGACACAGTGGCTCACCTACTCCCTCATGGTTCCATTCCAACGGGTACTCGGTCTGGAGTGGCTTAATGCTGACTCTCTCACGGCCTTGCCGGAGTACCGCAACGGCGGCCTGTTCGTCGATATGGGTGTTCTGGCACTGAAGAAGGAGACATTAGAGCGAGGCCTGAAAGCATCAGGCAGCGAGCTGCCCATGTTCGAGGCTGGTGACGATGTCATCGTGGAATGGAGGGCAATGACGTTGGTGCTGATCGATAGCCTCTATGGCAAGATTCAATCTCGCATGGGAGAGGGTGTCGAGCTGAGCATGGCACAGCTGCTCGAGGCAGGGACGTGGAAATCTGGGCGGGAGACGGCAGCAAAGTTCCGGCCGCAGACCAAGTCAAGCCCAATTCTCATCAAGAGCGATGGCACTGTATTCTAGAGCTGCATGGGATAATGGTGCATCAAGGAAGGGCGGTCTACTAAAAAAAGAGGGAGCTACATCCAAGCTTGCTTAGTCTGGTAGAGAGACTAGTCGAACCCGCATACCCGTGATTCCAATTGCCGGAACATGCTTTCTTCTTCAATACTAGTAGAAGGGGAGTGATTGGTCCTGGACGTGGACAAAGGAGGGGAAACCGGAAACCTGTGGCTTGTTTAGATTTGAAGATCGTCACCGTGGCGCGCACCGTCTCCAATAACCGTGGCGCTCCAATCCCCCAGATGGCTCAGCTTGGCTTCGTACCTTAGGCACGGTAGGCCAGCAACCAGAATAATATGATGCTACTGGATGCTTCTGATTATCCTTTGGGCATGCGCCTTTTCCTGATGCATCTTCTCTCCTGCTCGCCACTCTCATACATGAGGTCAAATTCCGTCCCAGCATGAAACTACCTATTCGCGACCTTGTTTACTCATTACGCGCGACAAATGCGGGGGACTTTGGATACCAGTCAACCTATGATGTTTCTTGTATCAGGGACGGCATCCGGGGAATCGGCTGCGGGCTCGACAATGTGCACTGTCCATGTGACACAGACGGGCAGGAGGCCATGACATTGGTTCTGATATCATGTCTGGTTGAACGCACACCAGTGAACATGCCGAGTAAGTCTGACAACCAATTAGCATTTTCCTACACCATCTGACACCTTGATCTTAATAGGAGCTCGAGATGCTGTATCGTCAGCCTGCACTCATGTAGCTAAGAGGAAAAGTCCAACCTCGGGGCCCTTGTCTACCTTCAGCATACCAAGAACCGTTGAAGTTACCGTCGAGCAGCATGTATCGGCAAGAAACGCTTCTGTGAGCCAACAAGATCAACTTGGTGATACAGTATCAACGAAGAGTGGGATGTCGACTGGAGCCATAACAGGCATCGCCGTCGCAGTGGTTGCGGCCGTCCTCCTGATACTAGCCTTGGTGTACTTGGGACGCAAAAAGAGGAGGACCATTTTTGAAGAGGCTGGGTACGGCGGCGGGACTGCAACTGAGTTAACCGGGAAACGCAGTCCCATGCATGGGACAGGAACAGAAAGGACCATATCTCGAGAAGCACCATCGTCAGCTTACTAGCTCAAGAAATCTTGTAATCGGGTCGATCCAAGGGACTTCCTGGACTGGAGGGCGTCTTAGTATATCGATGGGCCGGTTCCTTCATTGGGGTAATGTTGATAGGGCGACTAGCAAAGGAATGAGGGCGGAAACAGTATTGGAATCTTAAAAACAGACCTGAGGACAAGGCAGATAATTGAATAATGTTCAATGAGAAGCTACACTGCCAATCAGTACCGTGCCTTGCAGTCTTGATATAGGGGTTTCAAATGAGTCCAGTCAACCAAAACCTGGACCGGCAGCCTGACAGATAAGCCGGGTTGTTGTTTTCTATTAAAAAGACATAGTTCTGAGCAAATCCTCTGTGGAAATTGCACGACGTATAACCTACAAGCTGCAAGTCACCAAAATATACGGTATGTTTATAGTCTCAAATAGACGAAAAGCGTTGGAGCGCAGTTCCAAAAATGATGCTATGACCGTGGCAGGGCTCGAACCTGCGACCTTCTCGGGATCAAGTGCACATACTTGTGAACGAGAAATCATAATCCACTAGAACACACAGCCGAATGGCGATGGTGGGTATACGGCCGTTCTGGGTCTAGGAAGCTGCAGGTCTCCGAAGTGGATAACTGCTCGTGATCCGTCTTGGTGTTACGACCAAAAGAGAGGCTTCTCATCGTCTGCTTAACAAATAACATGTGGGAAGAGGTTGCGAATGCGTAGTATTGAACGCCAGAACTCGTGATGCTTGCTGGCGCGAGACGCGTGTTATTACGCACCATGCGTTACGTAAGTGTGACAACCTCATAAGTTGACTCTGTAGCTTCGAGAAATCGTTTGGTCCGATTGGTAATTCCATGTGCGTGTGTTAGAACCTATGAGAAAAGGAAATTTGAACTGCTTATGCCGTAGCGTGTGTGACAAAGTTGAACCAGGTCTATTCTTATCCGAGTGACATATTCGCCTTTGAGACATATCAGTCTGTACAGGACAGAAGAAACTTACAAAGTGCAGTAGAGGTTGAGCGCAACATCAAGTTGGAGGAATTAGAAATAGAGAGTTGTAGACTCTCATCAAACTCACAGCCTTCAAAGATAGAATCCACTCGGGGCCAAGGTCCAGGTGTTGAGGTCAGATGTGAGTGGTTGCAACAAAGACATCTGCTCATGCGGTGGTGGTAGATTAATGAAACAAACCAACCGATAAAGAAAAGTTGCGATGCCATTCTCGGCGATATCTCTGCCGATCATGACGCTTCCGTGTAAGCTACTTTGTTTAAAGTCCTTAAAGTCGAGGATTTCTCTTTTTTGAATCAATCCGCATATGTAGCTCCTTTACATCTATGCGACCTGCAGTGTGCAACGATTTGTCATTGTCAATCGTAATGTGTCCAAGGGCTCTGGTAGAACCAAGCATATGGTGTTGCCGTCTTGGAATAGTATCAAAGCTCATATGCCAACTCGACGACATGAGTCAGAGAACCGCATCAGAGAACGCTGACGAGATTTTGTCCAGTCAACTGTCCGACAACACGAATGACTGCAGGATATAATGCTTCAGTAATACTAAGATAATATAGTCGGAAATGGATGTTTCAATTTAACTTTCAGCCCTGTAGACCGCCAAGTACACACGAAGCCGAATGAAGCCAGTTTATGTCTATCCTTCCCACCTTTAATCGAGCGCTTTCGCGACTTTTGATTAGAGAGGGCAGATAGCCTCAGCGCACAGATCCGAGACCCCATAGAAATTGCCGAACCCAGTAATTCTCATGTTCATAAATCAGACTGGTTATTAATTCGGTCTTCGGCTTCCTCTCAGGGAATCCGCGTATCACGCGGGCCCGCGACAACGTCTCGAAGTCCGCTCCCTGTCCGTTTCCACTAACGACCAAGATTTCGTATGTGAGTGGTTTTGATTGAATCAAAGAAGTTGTTCATTTACATGCAATAAGTTTCGGACTAGGATGCTGTATCATGCACTCTTATATAGGTTGATATGGGGTAGCAAACCTTCGCAAGTTAGCCAACCTTTTTTCTCTCTTCAACTCAAACTACACGTCATTCATTAAACCTTTCACCATGTTTCCATCCTTGTTTTCTTCTTTAGCTGTTCTTACCACCGCCCTCTTGACGGCTCACGCCGCTCCGATGCCGGCATCGTGTCGCGCGACATCAAGTACTCTGGCCGGCATGGGCATGTGCTTCGAGCCCTCTGTGGGGTGCAACCCAGGTCAGAGGTTCGGAGAGTACATTGCGAGGAACATCCGACACGAAAAGGGCATCTGCACGACGACAGTCGAGGTGAGTTGACTGGTAGACTTGGTATCGGATTGAATGCTAACTTGTGGACAGTTCACTTGCTGTACAAAGTGAGGTGTTCATTAGGAGGATGACAGTAGTGCTTGATGCAAGTATCATCTCTAGGGAAATCATGTACTGCTAAGGATGCACACATATTTGCTTGGGAGTTCATTGAGGATGAATCAATTTCATCTCACTTTAATTTTCTGCTTGACATCCCGTCTATCGCATTCGTCCGCCATACCCCATCGCAGCTACGGTGTCTGCGTCATTGTGAGACAGTCACAACTAGTAATGAGATGCCTCAATTTACGTGGCGCAATGGCATTGCCCTTTAGCTCTAACAAGGCGGCGACCTTAAGACTGATAGAATTTCTGATGGAGAATCTGGACAAGGTTGCCAATAACGCGTGGGTAGAACGCCACAAAACGCATATTTCCATTTCCATGTCCAATGACTTTGGACGTCGTCTTATCGCGATGCAGTGTGATCCATGTTCATTGGCTCTGCAGCCTCTGAACCCTGGTCGGTGGTGGCGATGCCCTGCTTCAGCTTCTAGCTCTATGCACCGCCGGTAAGGCGCATCCGGCGCGTGCCGTCAGCGCCTACGGCATGGGGTCAGCTCCCGCGGCTTCGCTTTCGTACGACACTCCTTGATGGTATGTCAACCATGATATAGGTACCGCGACTTCCCCTAATCTTAAGGAAGGCTCTGCCAGAGAGCTTCAAAGCCCAGCAAGGCAACTCCAACTAAAGCTTGCAAAAATGCAATATAAACACATCAACTCACGCTCATGATCTCCGCCGTCGCAGCCTATCTCCTCCTCTCGCCCCCCTTCGCAGCAGCGGCCCCTCCCTCATCCACGACCAACTGGGCTCCCGAACCAAACGGTCGCGGCACCTTCGGCCTAATCTGCTCCTGCGTCCTCACCCTCACGATATGCGTCTGGACGGCCCTCCACCTCAACGTCCCCGCCGCGCGCTCCACCCTTCGGAGCCGGTCGTTGGAACGGACAAAGTGGGTCCTGTACGGCATCTTCGCGCCGGAGCTCGTGGTCGCTACGGCGGCGGCTCAGTATATTGTGGCAAGATGGCTCAAGAAAGAGATTGAGAAGGATGCTGCGGATCGGAAAGGGAGTACAGGGGCAGATGGAGTGCCTGTCGATAGGGAGGAGACGAGGGCGTTTTCGAGGCATACGTGGGACATGACGCAGTGCTTTTACGCCGTGATGGGAGGGTTCGTCGTCAATGTGCCGTCTTCTGAGGTCGAGACGGCGCTCAGGAGAGTGACCGTCACGCCGGAGGGTATCAGGCTTTTATCCTTCATCGGCAAGCTGCCGCAGATTCACAAGTCGCAGATCCAGGATAAGAGCAAGGCGGATTGGATGGCCAAGTCGCTGGTGTGCATACAGGCCGGCTGGATGGTCGCCCAAGTCATCGGCCGCCTCATTAAGAAAATGCCGGTCTCGCTGCTCGAGATCAACACCTGCGGGCACGTTGCTTGTGCTGCCCTGCTTTATTTACTATGGTGGAGCAAGCCCCTGGATGTGCTCGATCCCACTGTTCTGGACGAGGGGAACGAGGATGCCATGGCGTTGATGATGTTCTGCTCGTCGATGAGCGCTGTTAACGGCGTAACTGAGATCCGGTGCTTCATGTACATACCGTCCGAAGACGTGGGCACGGAAGGGGTCAGAAAGGAGAACAAGGACAAGATTCTCATCACGACCCACTTGTCCATCGGCTCACCTGGCACCAGGGAGCCCTCTAGGTTTCTCGGCTTCGACGTCAGTAACCTTCGTCCCTTCTCGTCGCCTGTGGACGTCGACATTCAGCGGAAAAGAGTATCCCGAACCGCATACATGTACCACATCGATCAGGCGAAACCGACGGTGTCCCCGGAATGTCAACAGACATACTTCGCTTCGCCTTACACCCAGCTCAGTCTCCGGCACGGTACGATCTATTGTCGAAGACTCTTTGCAGATGTCCAGAGACACGAGAAACCTCACATGCCCGTCAACCCAGGACGATTGGCACAAGCTGCGTCAGCCGCAGATTGTCTCTGGGCAGAATGCATTTCCCGGCCGACGTATGCTCAATTCTACTTCACCTCCGTGCCGACCGTTGGCGTGTTTCTCGGCGAGACGGATTACTTCGTCCCTTGCATAGTCAACTTCCCGTCCATGTCGAACCTCGGGCTAGGCCAAGTCAACATCCACCGCGACGTCCTGCGGTCGGTCCTCGCTCTGACGGCAGCAGCGTACGGCGGGCTCCACCTTGCGGGCTGGCTCGACCACTTTCCGACGACAATTGAGCGGACTCTCTGGCTGGCTGCGTCTTTGGTGATTACATCCTCGGGCGTGGTGCTGTGGATCTTCTTCCTCGCTCGACAGGTTTGGCCGCGGTTTGATATGTTCATTTCTGGTGCGGCGCCGGGGGCGCAACTGGCAGGATCGACGTACCAGAAACCTTGGATGAAGAGAGCAAAGTCGTTTGTTCTTTGTTTTGTCCTGTTGCTATTTGTTGTGGCAAGGGTCTTCTTGGTCATTGAGGCGTTTATCAATCTGCGCGAGGCTCCTGCGTCGTTGTATGAGACCCCGGAGTGGTCTGATTTCTTTCCGCATTTCTAGCGAAAGAGGTGATGGATATTTGAAAGCTGCACGCTGTGATCAATATCGTTTCCCAGTCTTAGACTAAGTTGCATAATTCAGATGGCAGGAAGAGATGGTAAATATTGTATTGGAATAGGAAAATGGCGTATCGGCCAGTGGTGATGATCACGTCGTATTGACCAAACGCCTACGTGCAATCGTTGGGTATCTTCTGATATCAATGTAGATCTTAGGTCAACATAGGAAATGCACTGCTAGTGGGCAGCAAAAGTGGGAGCAAAGAGAGTATCAGCGCATCAAGTCTTGAACTTCCACCCCTCAATAAGTCGCGCAAGTTTCATGTGACCTTTCTGTCTAGCAAGGCCTGCAGCAGTGCCTTGGCGATACTTCGCTTTCGTTTTATAGTCTTGAAGAGACTCGAAGACGGCGCTGGCATGAACCAACCTCGCGCCATGTTGTAACAACAGCTTCACTGTTGCGTACTGACCCTTGACAGCCGCATAATGCAGCGGTGTTGCGCCGTGATGATCGCGCTCACGAACATCTAGTCCAAGGTCTATCAGAAGCTTTATCATTGCGGGATGCGCTGTGGCGAAGAACATCAGGTTCGCCCCTGACATTGATCGAGCTCTGAGGTACGCTCCGGCGGCGAGGAGAAGTCGCACAGTGTCGAGATGCCCTGCCCTCGCGGCAGCGAAGAGTGGGGTGAACCCTGGCCAGGTCCTAGTATCGAGGTCGACGCCCGTACTGATCATCGTCGCAAGCACGTCGTTTTGTCCGTAGTGGGCTGCAAGATGTAGCGGCGTCATGCTGGAGTTTCGCAACAACGGGGTTGTAAGGTCTGCACCACCTCGGATGAGGGCGATTGCAATTCGCGTGTTGCCGGCTTTGAGAGCTTGGCATATGATTCTCTCTGCTCCAGGAGCGGAGTGGTCTACCTCAGCACCGACCTCGATCAGGAATTGAGCGGCTTCGAAGCATCCCAAGTGCATCGCGATCGTGAGAGGCGTCTCTCCATGTTCTGTCGTTGGGTCAATCTGTGATCCAGCTTTGAAGAGAAGTTGCAACACCTCGACTCGGTTCTTATGGGCTGCCATGTGAATGGGTAGGTACCCCTCGCTACCGGTAGCATCAAAATTAGCACCGCGAGAGAGGAGAAGCTTCATGGTGCGCAAGTCCCCAGCTGAGGCAGCCGCGAGCAACGGAAAGTTGCCCTTCGAGCTCGGCAAGTTAACGTCAGCTCCGGCCCCTATCAGCACCTCAGCGATATCAGGACAAGCTGTAGATATTGCGTACGTCAAGGCGGTGTGCTCATTGACACGTCGGTCGAGGTAGGCGCCCTGATCTGATAGGAACTCCGTCATCGGGCTGCTTCTCATAGATATGGCGACATGGAGCGCTGTTCTGCCATTTTGTAGTCGGGCTTCCAGGTCCGCACCATATTCGAGAAGCTTTTCGATAGCGTTGAAGCGGTAATTTTGAACAGCGGCTATAAGAGGCGTTCGTGTTCCCAAATCCCTGCGGTCGACTTCGCCCCCAGCGCGGATGAGCACCTCCAAGGTGTCATCGTCTTTGGCTGACATGGCGGCGTAGTGTACTGCCGAGCACCCCAGCGTATCGACGGCATTCACATCTGCACCGAGTTCGCACAATAGCGAGACGACCTTCTCGGAGTATCCATACTTGATTGCCGTGATCAAGATTGTGTCGCCCTCGTCTCCTCCGCTCTCGAGATCTGCTCCGGCGATAGCTATGAAAGTTACTAGAGATGGAATTTGGCGATTCAAAGCTCGACGAAGAGGGCAAAGTTTCGAGCCAAAGCGAGGCGCATTCGGATCGATGCGCTGTAACAGGAGCTTCACCACGGCGGCTTCGTCTCCACGATCGATTGCATCGTGTAAGTCTTTTGTTGTTCTCATGCTCTGCTTGTATAGTATGCCCGGCGGTGGTCTGAGTCTCTTCAAAGCCGAACGAACTTCGAAGGAATCATTGACGGGGGTGATTTCTGCCTCTGGCCTTGGTCGCGGACCGATGGTCGATAGACGTAGTCGACTGCCTTTGTTGAGCACTGCCGGGCTGATCGCACAATCCCATGACACTAGGCGGGATGAGTGCATGAATGTGGAGTGGTTTTTGGATGTCACATGTTCGCTGTTTTGGTGAGCAACGTCCGCACAACTGGTCCGAGTTTGACATACCTTGGAACACAATTAAGAAGAAATGTAAGAGATTGACGGTTGGTCTTTAGCTGGCGTTGAATTTGCCTGAGAGAGTCTTCGTTCCAAATGATGGTGATTTGCCCCGAGGACATGTCGACAGCACTATCGCTCGTCGCCGGGCGAATTCGCGTACTGTAGAAGTCGAGAGACGACAAATCTGTGTTGATCGAGTCCAAGGCATCCTGGCAGGATTGGTCGAGAAGGACTGGATCGAAAACGAGGGTTTCCGGTATCGTTTCGCGCAGGTACTTGAATCGTCGGAGAGCATCTGTCACAGCGCGACATTCTTTGGCGAGATCAGACAGGGTCACCGGTGCCGTATTGAGGCTATTGGCAACAGTACTGTATCGATCGGTAAGAAGCTGTGATGTGCGTATCAGGTCGGCCAGGCTGGTGCCGGACTGGCGTCCCGGGGAGTCCATGACCGGTCACCTTAGCAGGTGGACATTTCTATGCGGATTTCCATCAAGGTCGGAGAATAGGCCCGTCGGTCTTTGAAGTCGGGAGGAAATGCCCTCTTTTAGGTTGGATCACAAGAGGGATGACGGGGAAAGTTGTCGCGGGGCCAGGGAACCGAATCTGGCAACGGCCCATTCCTTCAGCAAACCAGTACCAAACGGTTCGCACCCAATACGGTATTTGGGGCGATGCTAGCCAGGGGAGACTATTGAGTGCAATTTGGCGAGATGAAGAACAGGCGAGCCCAGAAATCCGGGAGCTTGTCAGGGCATGGTGGTCGCGCTAGGACAACGACCTCTCGGGAAGATTGTTCAAGATCGCATCATTGAGGACGGATAGAACATACGTTGGTTGGAACCACGGAAACACAAAAGTCGAAACACGCCAGGCTCATTGCTTGAGGCGGTTATATTGAGATCAGCCGGGAGATGATGGCCGGCTCGTCGTGGAGGTGGAAACAGCACTTGATTCCCACGGCTCCATATTGGTAGGGTTGCAAAGGACAAACCTTGACATGCGCTAGACGTGGGTAGGGATAACTGCATCGTCGTCCGTGTGTTTCCCAGGGGTCTGGATGGCATCCGTGGGTTGATTCACCTTGAAGCAATGAAGCCAGAAGATGCGGTTGACACTTGTCAGAAAGCACCGTGGCGAATCCAAGACTGATTTCGCGGGGTTGAAGATTGCTATTTATTGCGTGGCTTCTCGAACTATCGAAATCTGACAGGGCGCTAAAGTGCAATGTCTGCGTGGCTTTGAAGCAGAATGTCTTGACTGTTGGTGCTGGGTCTGAGCGGGCACACGTGGGTGGGAGGTCGAGAAGTGGGAGTCTGGGAGAGAGAGACACAGAGACAGAGAGACAAACCAACGACGAAGAAAGTTGATCCCTGAATTCCCACATACCTGGGAGCTTGGACCATATCGTGTTGATAGGTACGTTTCCGTGAAGCTCAGGCCATCCGTTCCGCGCCGAGGATCTTCCGCTACGACTCCACCAAGACCGGCCTAAATGATTCGATGATTTGAGGTGGGTCATCAAACGTAGAAATGATTGGTCCATCACCAGCACCCAGTCGGAGCTCTTCCAAAGTTTCCCGTCCTCAGGAATACGTACCGCTAGATGTCCCCAAGCTTCCACTCAAGCTTACCTACGGCTTTCCGTCGACGTAATCGAGTTTGCGGTGGTCACCACATGATAACCAAGTCTTTGGAGATTTTGGATCTCTATACGTGCTGAGCAGGGACACCTGAAATCGCTATCCTCCGAACCAAGCGTATTTTCACAACAATATCCACGCTGGCGAACATACTCTGGAAGAAAGAGTCGTCATCCGCGACGACCGGCGCAGTCCCCTCCAACCCCCCGACTGGCGACATCATGACCCAACCGCCGGCCCAACCCCATCTTACACCACAGTTCTGCTTCTCGACAGGAGCTCTGAGGGGTAAGCTGGACCATGTTCGTGGACTGCTAGATGATCGACACTAATGTACTTCTGAAGACTTTCTAAGGCTGTCTCGTGCCACGGTCGACGACTCCATCACTCAAAACCTCAATGCGCTCGTAACACCCGCGCGAGCCGGCTTCGACCCTACCTCGACCTCACAACGAACACCGCGATCCTTCCCTCGACAGATAGACTCGCAAGCATGTCAGAACTTCAAGGACCAGGTGCTCTTCCCGACATGGCATGCGCGAGCTGAAGTCCTGCACTATTGCGGAGTGGTGGCGACAAGCCCAGACCCAGACGATCCGGAGGCTCTGTTACGGCAGATTGAGGCTGCAAAGGACAAGGAACGAGTTGTCAACGAACGCTTGGATCCATACTCTGGACGGTTCTTCCCTCGTGAGCCCCGGACGGAGCAACTCGCGATGCTTATTCGGCAGGAGAAGGGCGTGGAGAACATTGTGCGGACAAGAACGTGGGATATGGTCAAGCAGCGATGCGGGGAGTCGGCAAATACGTGGGAGGAGGCTCTCGCGGGTTGGCGCTCAAGAGCTGCTGGGAAAGTCGATGGCCAGTAGGCCCTAGACTGCATCCTTCTCAGCGGCTGTACCACTATTGTATAAATGTACACCACATATTGTACCAACCTTGTAACATAACGCCATATGAATAACGATAGATATATACAAAATAAACACCAAAGTAATATCAAGCCATTTGAAGTTCGGCCGAGAGAGGAAATAGGGCAGAGGAGCAAAGACCGCAGAGAACGAGAACTCTTGCGCTTTGGGACCCTAAAGATGATACGAAATTAGGGTGCTTCAAGGTATCTCACCATGTCACGAATCATGGCATGCAACAGAATTGTAATGGAACACGGAGCTGTACACTATTCCTTTCGTCGAGAAACTTGATAGACCGTCCCCCACCAAAACGGTGGATTGGCCATTACTGAGCGGGACGTGCGCAGAGCATGCGGCCACTGGTGGTGCGATTTCGATGCGGTGAAAACGGACCTAATGGGACCGGACTCATTTTGCCCCGCCAAAAGCCCGCCGTCCCGCCAAACGGTGAGGTCCTGTTATGGTACGGACACCGTGGTGGCGGTCGCTGCAGGGCGAATACGGCGCGCACTGAGCCCCAAGGAGGGCAGCCAGCTCAGCCTTGGAACATGTGTGTGGCCAGAGTCTTCCATCCAGAATCCCACCCGTTTACGTCGAAACCTTTGTGAATACTTGCAGCTCCGTCCGTGGACTCGCACACGACCAATCTTCCACTTTCCACCCCACGCTCTCGAAAAGATACGAGTCCTCGGTCCCCGACACAACCGACCTCTACTCTTTGTATCTTATCCGCCTTCTACTTTTATTTCTAGCCAGTAGCTCGGTTCCGTCATACGACTGCAGCTAGCTACCCCTCCTTGACCTCCGAGGACCCCTCCAGACACACTGCTGCGGACCAGCCTTCCGAAGAGTTTGCATCTCTAGCGACTTTTGGGATAGTTTCAGCCTTGCGAAACTCACTTCTTCCTCGACGACTCGGCCTTCTTTTCTTCGCAGTGCCGGCGATACGATCCCCGGCCCACTACCGATCCGATGCCGCAACCTCTCAATTCGAAAGAGGCTTCCCTCTTTCGCGCCGTCATCCGCGCCTATGAGGACAAGCAGTACAAGCGCGGTCTCAAGTCCGCCGACCTCATCCTCAAGAAGAACCCCAAACATGGCGACACAATGGCCATGAAGGCCCTGATCATGAATGCGCAGGGTAAGACAGAGGAGGCTTTCGCTCTGGGCAAGGAGGCTTTGACGGTGGACATGAAGTCGCACATCTGCTGGCACGTCTACGGCCTGCTGTACCGCGCCAACAAGAACTTCGAGGAGGCTATCAAGGCGTACAAGTTCGCTCTCAAGCTCGAGCCCGAGTCAACGCAGATCCAGCGCGATCTTGCCATTCTTCAGGTGCAGATGCGCGATTATGCCGGATACATCTCAAGCCGCACTGCCATGCTGCAGGCCCGTCCCCAGCTGCGCCAGAGCTGGACTGCGCTGGCTATCGCTCACCACTTGTCAGGTGACCTGTCCGCCGCCGAGAACGTCCTTACCACCTACGAGGGAACGCTCAAGTCCACGCCCTCCCGTAGCGACTACGAGAACTCCGAAGCCGTCATGTACAAGAACACCATCATTGCCGAGCAGGGCGACTACCAGAGAGCTCTCGAGCATCTTGAGAGTGCCGCTAAGCATAACCTTGATAGGCTCGAGTATTTGGAGCTGCGCGCCAAGTACCTGGTCAAGCTGGGCAAGAAGGAGGAGGCTATTGCCGCATGGCAGGCTCTTGTTGAGCGCAACGCTGACCGTCCTGCTTACTTTGAGGGTCTGGAAAGCGCACACGCCTTTTCCGACAGTGATGCGGCTGCTAGGAAGGAGATTTACGAGAAGTACGCCAAGAAGTTCCCCCGTTCAGATGCTCCTCGCCGCCTACCCCTGAACTTCTTGTCTGGTAAGTGTTCGTTCATGTCTTTGTACTCACAGGTGCTAACTCGAGCAGGTGACGACTTCAGTGCTGCAGCAAAGGAGTACTTGACGCTCATGTTCAACAAGGGTGTTCCGTCGACTTTCGCTAACCTGAAGCACCTGTACTCCGACTCTGCCAAGAAGGAGGCCCTCGAAGCTCTCGCCCAGGACTACCTCAAGTCGAGCTCAAACTCGGAAGCAACCAACGGCGATCGCTCAAAGGGAGAGGCCGCAGCTCTGTACTTCCTTGCCCAACACTACAACTACCACCTCAGTCGCGATCTCACCAAGGCTCACGAGTACGTCGACAAGGCTATCGAGAAGGTCCCCGACAGCGTCGACTTCACCATGACCAAGGCTAGGATATGGAAGCACCAGGGCAACCTCCAAAAGGCATCTGAGACTATGGACAAGGCACGCACTTTGGACACCCGCGATCGTTACATCAACACCAAGGCTGCCAAGTATCAGCTGCGCAATAACGAGACGGAGCAGGCGTTGAAGACTGTGGGCCTCTTTACTAGGGCGGACACTGTCGGTGGCCCTCTCGCGGATCTCCTGGATATGCAATGCGTCTGGTTCCTTTCCGAGGATGGTGAGGCCTATGCTCGCCAGGGTGATGATGCCTTGGCCCTCAAGCGCTTCCACACGGTTCACAACATTTTCGACGTCTGGCAAGAAGACCAGTTCGATTTCCACAGCTTTTCCCTGAGAAAGGGCCAGATTCGTGCCTATGTAGATATGGTCCGTTGGGAGGATCACCTCAGAGACCACCCCTTCTACTCACGAGCCGCTTTGGACGCCGTCGCCATTTACCTCAGGAGAGCTGACCGCCCCGCAGCGAACGGCGTCAACGGTGACGCAAACGGCGACGATGCCTCCGAGAGGAAGAAGGCTGCTAAGAAGGCCAAGAAGGAGCAACAGCGCCTGGAGAGGGAGGCGGCCGATCGTGCGGCGAAGCAAGATCCTAACAAGGGCAAACCCGCCAGCGAAGAGCCCAAGAAGAAGGACGAGGACCCTCTCGGTCTGAAGCTGTTGGAGGCCGAGCCCCTCAGCGCGGCGATGCGATTTGTCGCCCCTCTTCTGCAATTCAGCCCGCAAAACATCAACGCCCAATTCGCCGGTTTCGATGTTTATCTGCGCCGAAGTAAGTCCGACCACGGGAACACTACCCTTTTGAATAGTACTAACGAGTCTACAGAGAAGTATGTTCTTGCGCTGCGTTCTCTCAACGCCGCCCGCGAACTTGATGCTTCGCACCCCGGTGTCCACGAGCGTGTTGTCGAGTTTGCTCACGTTGTGCGCCCGGCACTCGAGAGCTTGCCCACCAAGGTGCAAGAACTAATCAAGTCCGAGTTCACTCCCCCTGCCGGTGACTTGAAGAAGTACAACGAAGAGTTCCTCTCGAACAACAAGGCCAAGCCCACTCACATCGTCGCGGCCCTCAAGACACGGAGAGTGCTTGGAGAGGACAGCGCCAAGGCCGAGGCCGACCTTGCGAACGTCGTCAAGGCTCCCGATGCCACCTTTGAGCTTGCCACCGAGGTCTACAATCTCTTGAAGGCGTGGAGGAGCAGTGAGGCGGAGACACTGAAGAAGGAGGCGCACGCGAGGTGGCCTGAAGTAAGCCTCTTTGCCTAGGAGCGCAAGCCCCCGCCTATGTCGCCAATTCGGAGGATATGGAACCAGCTCAGGCGGAAATAAAGGCAGGGTTGCCGGTTTCAATATTGCGATTTGTGCAGTCAGATACCCGAACAGTGGGAAAGCGTTTCCAAACGGTCATGGGCGGATTTGTTCCCTCGGTGATTTGGAAGCCATGGCTGGGTAAAGGTCCGGGCTCTGGACGCGTGCTTCGTTGCGGCATGTGTCGAAATCAAGGACATAGTTGCATCATCAAAAGTTGTGATAGAAGAGAGAAGGCTACAAAAAAAGCGTACGAGACTCTAGATTTCGTCTGAGCAGCAGCAGCACCAACTTTTATTTCGTGATGCCTTTTGTGTTGAGGCCGTGATGTTCCATTTCCTTGCTATCCTTTTTATTTTGGCTGACCCCTGTCATCACACTTTTTGTCATCATGGTCTGGCACCCTCTATCTACACAACCTCTACTGACTGAAGCTGTTCGTGACGTCGACGAACGCCTTCCACTGCTTCCAGGCCTCACCGCTCTTGACAGCCCAGCGCGCCCTCCGCACACCTTCCTTCCAGCGACCTCCGCCAGGGCCCCTTTCGGTAATCACCTGGCCGTCGTCACCTGGACCCATGTTGCTCGTCTCGGCCTCGCAGATACCCGACGTGACAAACAGCGTCGCGGCGTTCATCAGCACAAACTCGAGAATGGGATCGTCGTCGGCCATCTCGCCCGCCAATATCCTCCTCAGAATCTCGGCATTCTCAGCCGGCTCTTTACCGGGGGACACGGTGTTGAGGGGGTGCGTTCCCAAGCCGAAATCGCTCGGCTGCACCTTGAAGTGATCCGCCACCACTTCACCGCCAGCCGACTCGCTGAGCCTCCAGACCAGCGTCGGACCCGCGCAGCTGACCTCGTCCAGCTCCTCCTCGCCGCAGATGATCATGGCCTTTTTCGAACCGCTAATCTTGAGGGCCTCGAGGAAGACGGGGCCGAGCTCCTTTCTCGCTACGCCAATGACGCGGGCCTCGAGAATATCCTCGACAGGGTTCGCCAAGGGACCGAGGAGGTTGAAGATTGTCCTCCAGGGGAGTTCTTTGCGGATGGGCGCGACGTAGCGCATGCCCGGGTGGAAGACGGGGGCGAAGAGGAAGCCGTAGTTTGTGGCGGCGTAGACTTGTGAGATTGTCTCTGGGGAGACGGCCATGAGGACGGGCGGGCGGGGCTGCATGTTGTTGACGAGGTCCGCGGAGCCGGACTTGGAGGTGCTGGCGCGGTTGCCGTGCTTGGCGACCAAGAGGAGGGAGGAGGCGAGGATGGAGGCGGTGGTGCTGATGTTGAATGTGTTGTGGGCGTCGCCTCCCGTGCCGACGATGTCGCACAGTCCGCCGGCGTAGGTTCCCGCGCCGAGATTCTTTTGCTTGACCACGCGAGAGAGATCGTCAAAGTCAACCTTGGCGGCGGCGCGGCGCATGTAGTGCGCGGAGCGGGCCATTACGTCGGCGCGGCGGTCGAGGTTGGTGAAGTGTAGGGCGATGAGGAGGGAGGCGGCCTGGGTGTCGGAGACCTGGTGGGTGAAGAAGTGGGAGATGGCCTCGGCGATCTCATCGGCGCTGACGGCGAGGCCGGCGTCCGGGACGGGCCAGAGTTTCTTGAGCAGCGGTTTGATGTCGATGAGTGGGAGGGCGGCGTCGGACCCCGCGACCGGAGGTTGTGAGGCCATGGCGGGGTTGAATTTTGTGTAGACTTTGGTTTTGTTTCTGGGTTTTGACGAGTTGGAGTGTTGAGGATTGCTGTGATACTGTTAGATGAGATCAATTGGCTTCCAAAGGGATGTCTTTACTTATGAATTAAGTCACTGAGAGAGCAATGAGATGTGAGTCAAGGCCCTTGAACAATGAGAGAGGTTGTTCAATGTGAGAGCCCAAAATCAATGTGAGCAATCCGCTATCTGGAGCGGTACCGAGGTACGTACTGCGTATCTTCCTGCTAAATGAGCGAAAGAGGTTGCGGCCCACAGCTGATTGGTCAATTATTGCCTGATTTAGACGGCACGGGGGAAGCTCATTGGGTGTGCATTCAGCTGGGCTACAGTGCTGTCGCCAATAAGGGAATCTCCGCTCCCGCTACCTACGTTGGAGGGGAACATACTTGTAGGCAAGAAAAGTATGGGTAAAGTGAAAGCTTAGGTAAGGCAGGGGGAAGTTGTGTTATCCGCAATCTAATAGGCATTTTAGTAGAATTTGGCGATGAAAGACGATGAATGCCATTCTCTTTACGCGTAGGTTTTCGATGTTTGCCCCGCGTGGAGCGTTGAAATTCACCATCGCGCGGATTGCGGTACGTACTTACTCATGTCTGACTTGCCTGACTAAAAGGCAATAAAGGCATTGTGCGGCTGTGCCCTTGTTCGATTTCTGTTGTCTTCCCAGTCGAGCTTGCGTCTTCTCTCTCCTTCTTGTCAAATTACTTTCGGCCAACGCAATGCAAAGAGGCGTTTGGACTTGCAGCATGAGGAACGCGCAGCCCGCTCGCCCATCGTCTGATGAATGGTTCACCAAGGCATACGACTTTCTCTTGCACGCACGACCACTGTTTCCGCCCTGGATTGAGGAACCATGACATCAGCAGCTTCATACCAGACACATACACTCACTACCTTAGAAGCCACCAGAGAGGCTTACAGAACGCAGCGAACGCCAGCGCAGCCAAGGCGGGAGAGTCGGGCATCGCGCAAGCTGTGTCGCCGGTGTTCTACAGTCAGTCGTCCGGTACCTGACAGACTGACAGTGAGTGGCCGGCTTACTCACACCACCAAGACGGTTGGACAGACGTGTCGCATTGTTGGCGTCCATTCCCCCTCAAGCCACTCCTAGATAAGGTGTTTGGTCCGACCCTGGCCTGCTGTACCTACCTCGATTGGGATGTCTACATCACCTCCCGTCACCTGTCCAGCCTGACTTTACGGGGAGTTACATCCCCAAAGGCACCTCACATGCCAACCTCACAGGCTCACAGTGCCTCCCAAACCCGAACATCTCGGTTTCCATCGACGCCCTCTCCTTGAATGGTTGCATCTATCCGTACCTACGGTTGCATCACGAGTGTGATGTGCGTCCGGGGGAGCACCTCCGCCGTGGTCAGGCGGCCGCTACGGGCGCCGCGGGCTCCTCGCATTGCCTTCAGGTTCTGGGCGGGTGGTGAACGGTAACGGCTTCAGTATCTAACGTGCTGAATACCTTAACTCGTGGCCAGCTACAGCGCGCATCCGTGCCATGCAATTCTCATGGTGCCAGGTTCTTTGGTGTTGCGCGTTCCTGCTTACCTTATCGCTGTTCTGCTATCAATGCCAACCACATTAGGGAGGTACACGAGTTGCCACGTAAGTATGTTGTAAAAATGAAGTAGTGCCCTATCCGAAGCAAGCGCGACTGAGGTTCAATCTCCGATTCATCCGTGCTGCCGCTGCCGGTGGATGGCCGTGCCATCCTTCCTGCAGCAGCAGAACAGCGTCGGCTTGGATGTTTTGTACTGTTGTAACTTTCTTTCCTGTTGCTTGTTGCTTGTTGCTCCCCCCCTGGCATCGCTTCAATTCTTTGCTTGGGCCTACAGGCTTCACACAGTAAGGTACCTTGCTGCATACACCAGCACAACTAGCACCAAAGGTCGATTTCCCTTCCTGGACTTCAGTCCTCCTTCGTCAACGACGGGCCTCGGGACGTGCTCTTAGCCTCCGACTAACCCAACTCCCTTGCAACTATTCCTATTCGGCTTGCGCCAACGCCCTTCTTCCCAAGTTCCTCCTCCGGCTTGGTACAACGGCGCAGTAATAATTCACCTTTATCCTCTTCTTCTCTTCTCTTTCCTCCTGCAACCCCTGGGAGCTTGTGACCACCCCATCAACAGCACCCGCCGTAGCGTCCGTTACCAACAACTAGTCAACGACTGACTACCATGTCTCGTCGCGACATCTGCTAGCACTGACCGATCTCCTTTTGCATCTTCGTCACCTTCGCTCGCCTATAACTCTGTCTCTCGCCGGACGTGAACGGTCTGTTCCGCCAGCTTCTACTCGTCTGTCGCTTATTTCACCCTTGCACACTTCACGATGGCCACCCTCGCAGGGGAACACAACACGGCCCCGAACGGGACCGAGTCCATCTCCGAGTCCTCCCAATCCTACGGCAAGCCCGCCTCTAGAAACGGCCCACCAGAGACGATCAAGGTCGACGGCAACAAATCTTTGACTCTAACCTCGGAGAATCTCCTTCTGAATGGTGTGTGGGAACCTGCAATATACCTACCTCGTGGCGATGCGCTCGGGTAGCTGACCCCCTTTCAAAGACCCAACAGCGAACAAAGCCAACCGGACTTGCGGTTTTGCTGGGTTTGGCGCATCAGGTCCGTTGTCGTCGACCTCCGCGGTCCCCATTCCCAGCTTGCTAACACTAGTCCGCACTATGCAGCACCCTCGATGCAAACCGTCCCCTTATACAACGTCCTCTGGGCCGAACTGACGGGAGAGACCCTCACGATCGACTACGCGAAACAGGCCGGCAAGCAACGAGTACAGGCTGCGAAATGGACTTTTACGGTTAACGATGCGGAGAGCCCGGATGTCAAGTCCTGGATCGATACCCTTATGAAAAAAGCATACGGCCCGGCGAAACTATGCAAGAGAGCAAAGGTCTTGGTTAACCCGCATGCCGGACCGGGAGGCGCGGAAAAGAAATGGCGTGTAGACGTCGAACCTCTGTTCAAGGCGGCGCGCATGCCCATGGACGTGGAGCACACCACCTACTCAGGCCAAGCTCTTGAAATAGCGCGGGAAGTCGACGTGAACGCGTTTGACACGATCGTTACCTGCTCTGGTGATGGTTTGGCTCACGAGGTATTCAATGGTCTGGGTCAGCGGCCCGATGCGTCCCAAGCCCTGCACAAGATTGCCGTCTCGCACATTCCCTGCGGCTCGGGCAATGCGATGAGCTGCAATCTTTACGACTCGTATCGACCGTCGATCTGCGCTCTTGCCATCATCAAGGGAGTTGAGACCCCAATGGATCTGGTCAGTATCACACAGGGCGACCGACGCACCCTCAGTTTCTTGAGTCAGGCCCTTGGCGTAGTGGCCGAGAGCGACCTGGCTACCGAACACTTGCGGTGGATGGGCGGCGCGCGCTTCACCTGGGGCTTCTTGGTCAGAATATTCGAAAAGAAGTGCTACCCCTGCGACTTGGCTGTAAAAGTCGAGATCGAGGACAAAGCGGGCGTCAAGAAGCACTACAAGGAGTACACGCGCAGCGCGTCGGCAACACATTCGGGCGCCAGCGAGCCTCCGAGAGCGGAGAATGCTGATGCTGTTTCGAGTCCTTTCGATGACCAGGAGGGACTGCCGCCTTTGAGATTCGGCACCATCAACGATGCTCTGCCGGACGGATGGGAACTGATACCCCATGACAAGATGGGCAACTTTTATTGCGGAAATGTAAGTTTACTGCCTCACCTTTCTTGCTGTCTGACTGGACATGCCCGTATCTTGGACATTGTCCCCCGAAAGAACTACGTACTGACCACCCCAGATGGCATACATGGCCGCCGACGCCAATTTCTTCGCCGCTGCTCTCGCCAATGACGGTCTGATGGACCTTGTCTGCATCGACGGAGACATGTCAGTCGGCGCCCAGCTGAGCATGCTAATGTCTGTGGAGAATGGAAAATTCTTTGATAACTCTTTGGTATCGTACCGCAAGATTTCCGCCTACAGGATCATTCCAAAGAACCAGAAAGACGGCTACATCAGCATCGACGGCGAAAAGGTGCCCTTTGAGCCCTTCCAGGCCGAGATTCACCACGGTCTTGGCAGGGTCATTTCGAAGCGTGGCAAGTACGAAGCCCCCGGTCCCCTAGGCTGGGAGAAGATGTCCCTACCCTAAGCGATCGAACCAGAGCTGCACAGGGAAGGGAGACGAAATGGGGTCTCCGGCTGTGATTGAGGTCGAGACGGCCAGCCACGATATGGCACGATGGTATTCCGGGCCATTAGCGAAAGGAGCAGAAGCGGAAGCGAAAGCGGAGTAGGGAGCAGTGATTTGTTTCTTCAAAAGTCGAGATACCCAGATAGAACAAGACGAGAAGAGCACAGCCGTCGTCGGGCTGAGCTGGAAGAGAAGGCAGCCAGGTTGGTAATAAGGACAGCCATTGGATATCACTGTATACTATAGAGTACAGCGTTGCACATAATACCTGATTTCTCTTTTTGGTTCCCACCACCGCTTCCTACGGAACAGAAACCCACGGGGAATCCTTGCATCAAAAATCACATGCCTCCCTTCTTTTTTTTCAAAATCCAATAAACGCCGTGTTCACCATTCCATGCAAAGACACGAAGCCAAGGGGAGAGCGCTTGAGCCCCCCCCCCCTCTATTGATCGTCAATGCCGCCCCATTCGTCGTCGTCCCCGTCCGCCGCCTCCGCCTCCTCGGTAGCCTTGTTCTCCGTCCACGGCAGCCTCTCGTCCTCAACCACGACCGCAGCCTTGGCTCGCACAGTCTTGACGGGCGACTTCTTGAGCGGCTCAACAAGCTGGCTCAGCTTCTTCGCAAACGCCATGGCCTTGGCATCCTTCTCCTCGAGCATCTCCAACCGATCCAGCTCGTCAACCCATATATCAAGCCCGTGCAGCCGCAGCCCGATCGGCACCTTTCTCAAATCGCCCTCGAGCTCAAACGGCCACTCGCCGTACACCTTCAGCAGCGCCTCCACCCTCTTTTCGTCGTATTCGCCCTCCTTTACCCATTGCAATCCCGAGGTAAACGTGCGTCTGACGAGGAGGAGGAACTTCTCCATGCGGAGGACGTCGATGTCCGTCCACTGCTTGGAGAGGATCTCCCAGAAGGCGGCGAGCCAGGTGGGCACGTCGTCGTTGCGGAGGCAGGCTGTCAGCGCCGCGAGCTCGGAGGCGAGGTTCTGTTGCGGGATGGGGCGGTCGCACATCCACATTGCGTAGAAGAGGCCCTTCCAGAGCTTGAGGGCTTCGAGGTGGGAGAGGGCGCGGTGGGAGCCGAGGAAGGTTTGGAGGGAGGTTAGGGCTTGGGTTCGGAGTTTGCGGTCTGTGGAGGTTAGAGGGAGGAGTTAGTTGAAGTGGTTCTGGAGGTTTGGGAGGTTCGCGACGGCAGAGTGGGTGGTTGCGATGCGACGGGTGACGAACCGCTGGAGGCCAGGTTCCTGATGAACGGCATGTTCTGTTCTTGAGACGCCATTGTGGCTGGGTTTATATGGTGGTTGAGCGAGGGGATGTAGCTCAATTGCGAGTGTCGCGGGTTCTTGACGTTGCGACGGGTAGGACTGTCGTTCTATGCACCGTCGGCGATGGGACTTGCAGGGCAGGGTGGGATGGGTTTCTCGAATAAAATTGTTGTTCACCGAGAAACTGCCCCGCCGATCCTCGGTGTATGAGGGTCCCGGGGTAACTCGATCGGGTGACCGCCTTTGAGGAGGTGGGGCCAGCGGTATGCAGGGGAAATGCGTGGCGTGTGGCGGTGCTGGTCTGGATTGTTCGGTGGTGTGGCTGTGTATTTGACGACGTTGGAGTCGTGGAGCCCTGGAGAAGGTACGACCCATTGATACCATAAATAGATGATCAGGAATTCAAGATAGTATGAGATGAGGCATCACGGAGAATCAGGAATCATTTTGGAAGCTTTGTAGTCAACTCATCGCCAGCTAGTGTTGTAATTCCTCTGTCAACGCGAGCGGCTCTCACTCCAGAATCATCAGTCCAAGCCAAGTCCTCCAAGCCAGAACATGTTCAAACTCCTCGTGCTGTCAGGTTTCCATCGTAGACCATCATTCAGGTCTCATTGAAAGATCAAAGTACTCGTTACGTCATGCTGCGCTCCCGATCGTAGCCGATCGAAGGAGAAGGAGAGGGAACACCCGAGGCCCTCACAATTCTGTCAACCTTCTTGCGAACATCCTCCAATTGAGCAAGAAGCTCCTTATTCTTGGCCACAGCCTCATCCAATTGAATTTGCTGTTTCGCCACCTCCTGCGTCTTCTGAAAAAGCTGTGCCTGCAAAGTCACCTGCTCATGCTGCGACTGCTGAATGACGGCGTCCTTGCGCTCGCTCTCCTTTCGGTAGTGATCAATGTGGCTGTAGTACTCCTGAGCCTGGGCATAGCTCGTGTGCGCCACATCGTAAGCGACCGAGATCTTTCTGCGAAGCTCGTCGACTTCGTGCTTGTTGGCTAGGGCGATCTTCTTGGCGCGGATCTGAAAGTGAGCGAGCTCGGAGAAGGCTTCTTCGCGGGAGGTGATGAGGATGGCGATGAGGTCCTTGCCTTTGAGTCCGCGCTCTTTGGCCTTTTTCTCGTCGTCGGCCATGAGTTGCTTGAAGAGCTTCTCGTGCTCTTTCTCGTCGTATTGGACGAACTGTGTGTATTTGTGCGTTGTCAGTGCTTGCTTTAGATTGAAGGACAGATTGAGCAGGTAAGGCGATCATCTCGATGGGGAGGTTTCCTCCAGGAACCCAGGGTGCTTGAAAACAAGTGGTGAAACTGACCTTGAGACCTTTGTAGGTCGAGGAATTGTTGTCGAGCATTGTAGTGCCGGAAGAAGCCATGAAATCGGTTGCTTGTGAGGATCGGTCTGAAGACGATCTGGTAATAGCGCGCTGCGCTCGTCTGACGGATAGGAAGTGGCAAACGTCTCAGCCTCAATGGTATGCCTTCCACCAGAAATGATCCTGAAGTCTGAAGTTTACTAAAGTTACTTGTGCTGGTCGTACAAAAATGCGACGTTGGGGATGATGGCTGGGGGCGTGGTACTGCTTTGAGTTCGTTGATGTTTGAAATGGGTACGACGCGCTTCAAGATTCGTGGTGTATTTAGAGGAAGGTACGACCGCGTAAAGAAAGAGGAATAGTTTTTGAGGGAAAAGGCGAGATACTGGAATCTGGATGGTATTCTAAAATGGAATATGCTTATCTTTCGGTCTCCAGGACCCCCGTACTGCATCAACAAAGAAGTCTTGCTACGTAAACAGAAAACAGACTCACCGGGAGGAGGAAAGTCTAAAGGGCGTCTTGTAAATCACCGGTGAACACGGCATCCGAGAACAGTCGGATCGAAACTACTTTCTTTGGCTAGATTCCATAGACACCTTTGCATGAAAACTTCAGTCTGCCCAGCACTCTATGCGCTAATTGGACCCAAAGTTATAGATTTGATACTGCTTTTTACCCAGTTCAAGTCGCTGCCACCTCGACCTAACAGAATCACGAACATAGAGTAGGGGCTCGCTTCGCATTCAGCCTCAACTCGATGATTATCATATCCGGATGAGACGACCTTCTCGTGGATCCAGCAAAGGACTAACCGCACCAATCATGCGATAAGCAATCATCACCTCCGGGCGTTTTCTGATGTTCAGAGACAGTAAATGGATGAGTGAATTAACATTTGCAGGCTGGATTCTCTGTGTCAGGCCATTTAGATTACTTGAGACCAACCCAGAGAAAGGACTTTGTTATCAATTGGCACGCACCATGGAGAGAAAAAAGTTCTATGCGCATTCACCTATATTTCTTAGACCCCATTGGTGGATGGCTCGTTTACTAGTACTCTTCTACCTGAAAGTCAAAGCCCAATATCCTACTGCTGAAACCGCTTCTGGTTGATGCAATGTTGGTATTTGTGTTGTTCAGTGGTCCTTACTTTATCTAGATGGACCAGGCATTCTGCCTCGAAGGTGAGGCGGAACCAGGGCCAGAAGGTGCGCTACCTTAGCTTTCTCGGCAGCAAGCTCGTTCTGGAGATCCTCGATCTCGCTCTCGTAATGCTCCTTACGGCGCTGAGCAGAGACCTTGTATTGTTCGACGGAGGAATTTGCCAGGGCGATTGCGTTCTGCGAGCGCCTGTGACAGCTATCTCTGAGGATAGCCAGCTCGCCAACATGTCTGTCGTTCAACTCTTTGACGACTTGTTGATGCTCCTTCTTGAGCTTTTCGAGAGAGATGGTGTGGTTGTCATCGACAACTACGAAGTCGTCTTCGGAATCAGACTTCTGTATTTCATGTTAGCACTAGCATAAAGGTACTGTCAGGATTGGGGGTGGTCTTACCACAGCTATGTTGCTGTTCTGAGACATCTTGACTAAGGTAGGCGATTGTTCTGGCTTTTTGCAATGCCCAGGGATTCTGAGGATCGTCGTTAGATTGCTTCTGTCAAAGATTGTGGAAAAAGGTCATGACCTGAACATACCTGTAAATGAACTGCTTGTAGGACAGTGAAAGAGACTGCGGGAGTGCAGAATGACGCCGAGAAAGGTAGGATCAATATCAGGAAGTGTGCGTAAATTAGCGGAAAGTTGCAAGAGCGTCAGCTTGTTGAGGAGGAACTTAATTGAGAGAAAGGGGCCCGGAGGAGGACTCTTTATACCTTTTGAAAGGTGAAGTTGGTGATGGGGACATTTCAGGACAAGGGTCCACTTACAACGTTGTCCTAATCGGGAGACAGTAGTGAAAGGGGCCATTTTACCAATTAGGGGTAAGCGGTGAACAGCATCGCGTCTTTCAGGAAAGAACGAACGTGAATCACGTTTCCCAGAGGGCATTAAGGGGTGCGTACATGTCCTTTGAGTGGCTGAATGCCCTCATTGTGGCCCACGGCAGACTTCTTGGATAAACCACATAACGAAGTCTCATGACAGACTGAGAAGGAGCACCAAGAGACACAATGGGGAATGGAAAAGCGAAGGTATTATCAGCGCTATTTCACAACACTGCTGGCTTAAACCAGCAAAGCCGACAGGCCAGAATCTCCAGGCATAATCATGGTACTTTTATAGAAACTAAGGTACCCAGTGTCAGCTGATGTTCACAACGAACCTGATCCCCAGGTTCTTGACATACCCATGTATGATGCATGGTAGATTTGATGTCACATTTGATCATTCCCATTGGGAGGGAAGGTCAAATATGGCTAATGAGCAAGGCTGCTGTGCGGTAAGCTCTGTTGTCACTTGTGTGTGGTAAAAAATGAGCAATTGATTGCGAAAATGCTTGTTCTTACTCAAGAGGGCGTTATATAGTGCCATTACATGACACTCCTGAGCCCCCTTACGATTGTTTGGTTTGACGTAAGCTTTGGGGGCAGTTTTGCTCAAAGGAAACGGAAGTCTTTGTGCTTTCCGTCAAGTTTCCCCAATTACACCACCCCCTTGATCAAGTCAAATTGTTCATTGAACCGCTAGTCCTGCAGAGTGAGTATGAAACAAATACTACAAAGTTGTACGAAGCTGACAGCCATGCGGCAAGAACTTATCGAACCTCCAGTATTGAAGTTGGAAAATTGATGTAGGAGGAAGGTGCGAACATCTAATATTTTGGCACCTGCCTTGCAAAAGGGTATTCAACGCGATGTGAACTCCCTCGATCAACAAAGTATCACAACAACGCGCTTTCCTACGAGGCTACCTTAAGTCGGTTGATGCGGTACGGAACAAAGATGATGCCAAGAGATATTTTCGACGAACATCCGCTATTCGCCAGGCTCAGTGACCACAGCACCGTATGCGCTGGAGCCGCATAATGACCGAACTGCCACGACCAGGCTATCTTAGAGCCCCAAAACGCCTGAAGTTCTATTTGATTAACTTCGCGTAAATTTCGTGGTTGTCGAAGCTTCTGCTCGCCCAGTGAAGAAAACAGTGACTCGCCGTAACGCGACTTTTCGAAAGAAATGTTGGGCATCCCCTAAGCAAAATCGCCAGGTCAAAAGCAAATTACCCCCTCTCAAGTAGTACGTCCAAAAGATATCAAGCACGAGGAAGAGATAGACTACACGGAGAAGAATCACCTGGTCCGACTCGGGAGCAATGCGCCGGACACATACGAGCATCCAGACTTGAAAATTGCCATTGCCCTTTGCCCGGGAGAAGGAGAGACCCCGTGATATCAGCAGAATATTGGCCGAGACATCACGGATGAACAAGGCACGAGCTTGAGTGAGATTATCACATGGAACAATTATGGCTTCATTGTAGAGCATTCTTCAGCTCGAGATGTATCATTCCTGGCTTCTTTGCCTCGCTGTTGATGATGTTTGCCGTCTGTTCTACTCCTGAGGCACGCCAGATGAGGGACGAATACGAACGCAATACAACGATTAGGGCTGGAAAATAATTTGTCTGAGGTTTTTCCGTTTCTGAAAAACGAACCACGTCTCGTTATCGTGCCTCGACCTGTCGTCACCGGGTAAAGGCAAATCTCAACTTCACACATCCAATTGTCAAACCGCGACTACAAGGACAATTCTATCTACGAGGCCAGTATTTTCATTATTTTACGTCTCATCGTTCTCGATCAGTCACTCAAGATTCCATTTTCCCGTTTTCTTTGGTGGCGTACGATTCGTTTTCCTGGATAATGACCCATTCATCTCCTCAGATCCCCCTTCGAGTCTGCTCCTTCTTCGACTGAAGCCTGAAGCCGCGTTTGTTTACTTCACCTTTCCGACTTCATCTTCTCACACGCGTCTAGGGCCGCACCAGATGCCTCATCCTCACCCGTGAGGCAGCAAGTCTACGCCCTGCGCCCATTTTGACCCTCCCACCTTGGTCTGCCCGAGATTTCTCTTCTTCCACCTCACATCCTCTACCCCCCAACTTCTCTCCCTCTTCCATCCTCGGGATCTTCTCAATTTTTGCTTCTTCTTCCTCTTCTCCGTCATCACGACACTTTCTCATCGACAAAGCAGCTTCGTCCAACAAGAGGCGACGGCTTCATCTCGCGATACGCGCCGCTCAGGATTCTGATCAAAGGTACGATATTCATCTTCTTCTCAATCTTCTTCTACTCGTCTCTTCCTTCCCTTCGCAAAGATCACTTTTTCATCTCCTTTCTCAAGACCTCGTCAGTCTGAGCAGTTGGGACCGATTTCTGGCTCCTTCCTCTTCAACTCACGCGTCTCACTCCCACCTTCCAACTTTCATCCCTCACGCGTCTTATTTTTTTTTTCTCGAAAATCAAAATATTCAGACCGCCCTCACGTGAGGGTGGGTGGTCGGGCAGACTCACTTGGCTGGTTTTTCCGTCTGCCACAGCTCACTTCCTCTTCCTCATTTTCTTCCTCTCACCTTTCCCTTTCTTTCTCTTCTTCTCAAATTCAACACCGCCGCCTTCCTGGCTGCCCACTTCGAAAGGTCGACCTTTTTCCAGCTTTGCTTCCATTCGATCCTCTTTTCTCTTCCTCTGCCCATTCTCTCACTCAACCTTTCTCTTCATTCCACCTCATCACAGCCATCTCATTATCGGCTCATTCTCATTTCTCTCGCCCGGATTGCTCGAGAATTCAGCGCAAGTTCTCATCTTAGCCTCGGGTTTTCTTTTCTCATCACTGACAAATATTTCACCCAGATCTTCCTCGCGATGGCCTCCTCTCCTCCCTCCGAGATCGAAGTTCCCAGCATGAAGCGTTGGCACAGCAGCAACATCATGGTAAGCCCGCAATCTTTTCATTTGCGTCCCGGACTCGTCTTCTCTCGTGTCTCTTCCCACCTGCCTGTCTTGCCGATTGGACCCTAAGCGGGCCGAGAATTCGTTCTTGGTGAGACGTCGGGAGCCCGGAACTGGAGAGGTGAATTGCCAGGGTGGCAGGGCCATTTGGACAGGCCAGTCACCCTTCTGTGGGCAGTCGGGGCAAATCACCTCTTCATTCCGGTTCTGCCTTCGGGCGGTATGGTCTCAACCACCTCGGACTTCCCTCGTGGAAGTCCTGGGATGGTCCAATCGGTTACTTGTTGCCACCAATCCGTCCTGCTGGGCAAGCAGGGTAGCGGGCCTTGGAGGTACACCCTACTCTCTCGTTTCCGGGTGTGGCTGTGAAAGGTGCCCCCTTATAACTTCCGCCTTCGGGCGGGTTCATGGAGCCAGTCCCAGCCATCTTTCAGGACTAGTCTCGCGACATCTGGATCTTTTTCCAGGTGACATTCTGGGTCCCCATCGATGTCTGGGTTCTCAGGAACGCTTCCTCACGGTTGCGTTCTTGAGGTAACCGCAACGTCCTTCCGTCAAAAGTTGGACCGCGTGGTAGCTAGGTGTCGCAAGCCAAAAGTGTTTCTCCATGGATGTTAAGAAGTACCGATCTTGGCGAGGCGCGGTGGTGGCGGCAGCAAAGATGCAGGATCTTAATGGCGTGGCACAACAGAGGATGACGAGTTGGGCTTACCAGTAAGGTTTTCCTTGCTGACTGGGTGAAGACACAGGACAACTCTTTCGATGATTCCGAGAGCCAGGATGATATGGCAGACAATTCAGTAAGTTGGGCCTCGACATCATCCTCAAAACAAGTTATCTCTTTTGCTGACATCTATCCGACAGGTTGACTCTGACAATGACAATGAGGTACGTCCACAATTCACATTGTGTCCCAGCCTCGTTTTTCTTTGCGTCTTGCGCTTCCTGTGGTCGCCCTGCCCTCCGAGTCCTAAGAAAATGGCGTATCGGGAGTCCGGCGATATCTCGAGCTCGAGGCATGCGTGGATGCCAGGACCATTTGGACCGGTCACCGACTCTACTTTGAGCCGGGGCATCGCCCTTCGAGTGACGGATATCGAGTGCGGGACGTGGCGTCAACCTCTGGTCCGACGGACTGGGGGATGACTTGTGAGGGTTCGGTCTCGTCGTCGTCATACCCTAGTAGAGCAGCTCGAGATCATTCCCTACTCTCCCGTTTTGGGGGTGATTCTTGTGGGACGGCCCTGATGGCACCTTCGGGTGTCCCTGCGGAGAGCTTGGAAGAAAGCCACGCGGTGGTTAGAAGAACTGGCCGCCTTCCTACCATCAAACCTTAGCGAAGAGTGCCCTTTTCTCAGACCACCGCGTGGTGTGGAAGCCTTGGAAACCACACCTGGCCGCGCCTGTGCCAATATCCAGGTTTTACATGGGGATGGGGGCGCCAGCTGGATGGTTAGATCCAAACCGTTAGGAAAATCAGATGCTCCGTGCGCTTAACGGGGACCTGCCTGGTATGGCGTCGATGATCAGGCTTCAGGAAGGCAGCAAGACGCAGACATTGAGAACTTCGAGTGTGGCGTACCAGCATAATATCTATTCTCCAGCTGACTGGGCGCAGACACTCACACAGGATGATCCTCTTTCGGCCAAGGGCAATGACTCCGTCCCTCAGAGCCATCAGGTATTGTCTCCTCCCTGGAACCCATTTCTATGTCAAGCTTCTGACCTTCAAGTTCAAGAGCTCCGCAGTCAATGATACGAGCCACAGCCAGACGGAGTCTGGTATTTCAGCCGATAAGCCTACGGCGCTACTGATGCTGGAGTCACGCGTCGACAAGATTGAGGAAACTTGCATTCAGCTCAAGGCAGATCTTCTGAACTATCACCGCATGGCGGCGGGCCGAGTGAGTTCAGTTGAAGGACGCCAAAAGAAAACGGAGAGAAACACCGATCGCGTAGACCAAGGTCTACAGCAGACCAAGGCAATCCAACAGCAAATCCAGAACACCCAGGCCGCTCAAGACAAGCATATACAATACCTCATTGCCTGTGAGGACGCCCGTGACGCCTCTAAGAACGGTAGTAATGCCTCTGAGGACGAACGCTACCAGCGACACAAGGAACTTCAGGACAGATTCGACGAGCTGACGATGAAGAGTATGCGATACGATGAGATGTTCATTTCTCAGGCAACCCGCATCCAGAGAATGGATGCTCTGGGACAGAATCTGGCTATTTGTACTGCTCTGATTGTTGTCATCCTTGCCATTGTGGGCTATGCTGTTTCCTGGTCTTGGGATTGAAAGGACCATGGGATGGGGAGTTGAGGAGTTGCAACTGAGAATTGGTTCGGGCATGGTTGAATGGAAAGGACATGGCACATCAGTCTCTCCGAACAAACCAAGCATAGACGGAATGCCCCAAAGTAATGGAAATCCCCCTCTCAACAAGCTTCATGGTGCCATACTCGTGCGGCTTGTTCTGCATTCAACCAGTATTTCCTCTCAAGGAGTTGGCGAGAGCCAGGAATGGGTCAGCACCTAGAACCTGTGACAGTGTGCAAGGTTGTGTAATGTCGAGATAAATTTAAGAAATAGGTATCTGGTAAGCTGCAATATTTATGTTACTCATGAATCATACTCCCGTCATCTTTGGGCGGCCAAGCTAAAACCAAGCCTGTTCGAGGAGACAGTGTTTGTAAGCTCCAGCTCGTCCGACGCTCAGCCCTTCTTCTCACTCGAAATGTCCGCTCCAGAGCCATCATCACGATCCCAAATTGCAGTCTCCATGGTAGGGTACACCAGGTCCGCGTCTTCCTCTCGCCACTCCTCCAGATCGACCAAATGCCAGTTGGCCCTTACGAATCTGCTCCGAACCTTGTCTGACATGCCGACCATGCGAATCTGCACACCCTTGCCAGAATGCAACTTGATCTCATCCTTGAGCTCCTTCAACGTCATGATGCCTGACGTATCGATGAACGGCACCATGGTGAAGTCCCATACAACAACAGCAAGCGGCGTCTCCTTGAGACGGATCTGCTTTTGCGCTCTCAATCTCTCTAGGCGCTTCTCTGCTGCTACGCTCCAGTGTCTTTCTCTGTCGTCTTGGCTAAGGCTGCTCTCGACGCGCGGGTACACGAGCTTGATGGCCGTGAGCGTCGATGTCTTTGCGCGCTCGGCGTTGGGGAAGAAGATGGCGTCGTTGAAGTCGACAACGATGGCATCGCCTGGGATGGAGATGCGCGCGTTCTCCATGCGTTCATCTGTGACTTGGCGACCGCCGCCGCTGGTGATGCGGGTAATGGGTTGTGGGATGGAAGTAGCGGTTTCTGCGCTGCTGGAGTGAATTTCGGGCTTGACGAAGGTGGAACGGAGGAGAGTCCAGACGATGCTCCACGCGACCTTGATTTCAAAGTTAGTTATGGCTTAGTTATGGCTGAAAGAAAGCCATCAAAAGGGGGGGACATACAGCAACACCGATACCGATCTCGGCAGAGACAAAGATGGTGACCCAGAAAGAGACCATTGAAGCAACAAAGTCGGGGAAGGAGATGCGCCAGAACTTGTAGAACAAGGACAAAGGACCGAAGAGATGGACAACTGCCATGATCTATGCCTTTTGTCAGTGGATATTTGTTGAGTAAGGTCAATGGAAACTTACGATGATTGCTGACAAAGTTGCAGAGGGAAGCCAGTAAAGGGCCGGAGACAAAACGTAAAGCGTCAAGAGAATAAAGGCAGCGGTGACCGCACCAGTCAGAGGACTCTTGACACCACACTCGGAAGCAACTGCAGTTCGAGACATGGCACCACCGACGGGCATGGTGCTGAAGAAACTGTTGACAATGTTGACGACACCCAAGTAGTTGAATTCCTGGCTCTGGTCGATCTGGTAGTTGTTCTTCCTACCAAAGGCCTTACCGACGGCCAAGTGCTCAAGGGTGCTGGCAACGAGTGGGGCAACAGCTCTGGTAGCGACCTTCTGGACCAAGTTCGAGGCGGGCACAATGGGGTGGGTGATACCGTGGGTGCTGACTTGGCTGACCTTCCAGGCGTAGTCTGACTTCTCGCGGTTGCGGTTGACGAGGTAGCTGATGAGAGTGAAGACGACCAAGACAATCACGGCTCTTGAGTTGGCGAGGAGCTTGATGGCAAAGTGTCTCTTGCCGTACTTCTTGCCCACTTTCTCAAGAATGACGAGAATGAGCAGGGTTCCGAAACCGATTCCGCACGTTGCGCCGTCCCACTTTGGCAAACGACGAAGGACATCGCCAATGACGTTGAAGACACCGGATGGCACGTTTGTCAAGCCGACGAGGGATCCGACTTGGCCAAAGGCGATGACGAGGGCTGCGGCGGAGATGAATCCGGTGAGGACTGGGAAGGAGACGTAGTCTAGGAGGAATCCGAGGCCGAAGAGACCGATGACGAGTGAGTAGACTCCGACCATGAGGGCAACGGATGAGGCAATGGCTGAGATGTCGAATCCTTCCTCACTGAGGTCACGCACGATTTCAGCTGTCAGGAGGCCCAGGATGGAGGTCGGTCCTGTTGAAAGATCTATACATCGAACCAAGAGTCAGAAACCAAGAATCACAAGAAATAGTCAAATTAGACATGCAAACAAACCTTTTGAGGTTCCCATGAAAACTGCAAACGCAGCTGGAAGCCAACTTGAGTACAGGCCGTTGGCAATGGGAATAGTTGCAATCTTTGCGTAAGCCAGAGACTGCGGGATGAGCATGACGCCCACGGTCAGACCGGCAATGAAGTCGGTGATGAGCCATTTCGGGTTGTATTTAGGAAGCCACTGGACGATGGGGACCTTGTCGAGAAGGTAGACTCCCGCAGCTGATGGAAGCTTTGGGGCCCCCTGAACGACAAAGTCGCGAGCTCGTGCGATGCTGGCATCTGTGGCAAACTCGTCCTTCACCTTTTCGACCTTTCGGGTGATCTTCTCCATCTTGACAGCAGGAAGGGGACCCAATGTGCCGTTGTTTGAGAAAAGATGAGAAAGGGAGAGTGAGGAAAGAGAAGAGTACGGGGCCGTCCGTGGCTGATGTGATGGGAACAGACAAAATGGTTTCAGAGCAGTTGGGATGATTATATCTGTTCAAGAAAGAGTCAAGTCATCATCTTCATCCGGTCTCAACTATTCGATATTTGACTTGATCCTAGAGATAACAATGTAGTTCAGTCAGACCCCTCCCCCTTCCCGCCACGCTGATGGAGGTGTTCTATATGCTTGCTGCATCGCATCTGACCCGCGCATTGCAGCTTGCCCGCTTGCGCAAGTTGCCCGTCCCCCAGTACAACACAGCAACCACATGGGATAGCGACCCGAACCTTGTAGGCGGATAACTATACCATCCAATACGTGTAGAGAGAAGGCGAAAAAAGGCAAAAAGGGCAAGAGGAGAAAGAGGGGGAGGCGTGAGCCAAGAAAACACCACCGCAGCAGCATCATGGGCTCCTGCGTGTGTACACAACTTGGTCCAATCTAGGCAAGGAACTGCCGTACCCTCCTTCGGACGACACTCGGTATCCCCTCACATGCCGATGACACCGGATCTAATGCAGTTTGATCACTGTTCAGCCCATGGAAGGTGTCGAGAGCCTCAGATTGGTGGGAGTTTGGGTAGGTCTGCGTTACGTCGAGCAAGGCCAACCAGCCAGCCATCCAGTCCCCTCGCGCGGAGTCGCGCCGCGATGAACGCCAAATAGCCTGGGAACAAGGGAGACATTAGACCAGAACTCCAGCTTTTCTCCAATAAAGGAACATGATAAGCTACATGTACAAGCAAAACTTCAGGTCTGGTCCCTGGATACTAGTCGGGTGCAGACGTCCATCCAACTCAAAGTGAAACTGACTGGTACCCATCCCGCGTGGGATAGCAGGAAAAGGACTTGTGAATAGTACCTAGCATGGCGTGGCAAAGAAACGGTACGTTGGTCACATGTGCACCAGGGTTGGGGGATAAAAGTCAATGGCTACTGGACGGGACGAGAATAGGATCAGTTGAAATATTTGGAGTAAGAGAGAACACCACATAATTAGCACACACTACATTTTGTGTGAAGTTACTAAGTAAAGCACGAACGCAGCTGGGCACGGAGGCTAGAGTTGGAGTCGTGGCAGCTGAGATGAAAGGTCCGCGCCATCTCATTCGTCATTTCACAAGACGGGGAAACCATGAGCATTGCATCTTTGTTTGAACGCCTTTTGTTCACTTGATTTTGTTTGATTTTGAGTTTGCACTCATTAGACTTTGTATTAGACTCGATATCTCGTCACTTGGCATCTGAGAGCCGCAATGCTAAGTCGACTGCCAAGTGCCGGTGTATCTTGGCCTCCTCGTGGCTATTGACGACTTACCACAGCACGATCCAGTCTTGGCAGGTTGCACATCGAATCTTGTGAGACAGCGAGGGCGTTGAAAAGGACGGACGATCGCCACCGGCAGACAAAACGGGCCGACCTCATGGGCAGCCAAGGCAGAATTTCTGGGTGTGTACGTGTGCGTATTGTACGAATGTGAGTGATGAGTGAGCGGGTGGGTGAGTGAGTGAGCGACAGTGAGTGAGTGAGAGGTGTGCGTATGATGACTGGGTGATGCCACGGCTAGCACTGCGGTAGTCGAAAAAGCGTCAAGCCAAGAAAATAGGCAAGTCCCAAAGCCCTTTACCGAACACCGACACTTGGTACCTAAAGCACGTTCTTGGGGGTTACATGCATTGGCAGTCTACACGGGAAGCTTGGCGGCAAAACACATATCGAATTTCCTCATCCGGATTGGTGACTTGAGATAACAGGCTCTCCCATCCAAGACATAGAACACTTGGCTTTCTCTGATCCTCTCTCTGGCGCACGCAGCGCATGCGTGGGACCCTTTCGGTCTCAGTTTCTTGTGCAGGACAGGAGTTGACCGAACGTGAAGGGTCGCAATGAAATATGTGTGGTATCCATATTCCCATATCAAGGTGACGACGACGACGCAATACGGAGCCCCATTTCTTTGGTATGCGAGATACCGCGGGCTTAGTCGTGCAACCCGAAAGCGGGAAGTGTGTTCGATGCTCTCTCTCGCGGCCCTATCGTTCCGTCAGGTCTCTATCTATCTTTGCCTCTCTCTCACACACTTCTCTCCTTCGACCTGCCTGTAAGTATCAGAGGTACGTTAGTTTTGACGCAAGACCGGAATTCCCGCGCGAGATCCCCCCTACCCAGTAGGCCCCCCTTCCCCCCTCCGTTGTCCACTTCCCTTCCCGTTCAACTAAAGACCAAGACGCGGGGTACATACCCGTCCAATAGCGCTCCCGCGGCGGCCATCGGCTCTAACAGGGCCATCTTGGATAGACGAACGCAATGACGAGGCGAGATGTCGTGTGCCGGGTGGTGGGCGCGGGCTCCCAGGACGGGACTCCACCGAATTGTTCCCACACGGCCACACACCCCTTCTTCCAGTCTCCGCTCTCTGTGCTCCCCCAAGTCTACCCCTGCAAGTAGCCTTCGATACGACGGGACAAGCTTTTGATTTCCCCGGTTGAGGTGGTATGCCAAGCCCGCGAATCAGGTGCCGTATTCCGGCCATGCAGACCGGGGTGAAGTCCGGGTTTGACCGGGGTTTAGGCCTCTGCCACTCGGTGCTAGCCTAACGGGAGTGACTCGCAAGGAAAAGCGAAGAGCGAGGAGGAGAAGAAGGAGGAGCCAGGGAGCCTAGGAAGAGGAGACAATCGAGCAACACCCGCTGCGAGAACCCATGGAGACGTGAATGCAGTTCGGCGGGCGGCGAGCGGCAAGTGGATTGTGGGCCACAGAAACAACTTGACAAGGGCAACAAGAGCCGAGGGTGAACGGGGTTGAGGATTACCTAGATTACCTAGAGAGAGCGTGTGAGAGACTATGCTATATGTAGCATCCCTAACTGAACATACATGTTTCTTCGATTAAGATGCTGCAGTCACACTGACGAGGGTTGTATTAGATCCATGCTCACTGGTCGAATCCCGGGTCATGTCTACCACGGCATGTTTGCGTATGTGCCAGTGCCGCCCTTTCTGCTGCAACCCCAACGAATCAGCTCACGTTGCCGTTGGGATGGGAATAGCTTTCCATCGACAACACCAGGGGGATTGTCGCTTTCGCGCCCTGCCTCCAACTCTTTTCACCTAGTCAGTCAAGTCAGTCAGTCACTCAGTCGGTGATGTGCCCAGTCCCAATCCCCCCTCATCTCTCATTACCCCTTGGTGCTCGCATTTACCCCTCTTTGCCATCTTCTTTTCTTGTTCTCCAGTCTCCTCTCACTGTCTGTCTCCAACTTTTCCAAGAATAGGAATGGGTGTCGTCAACCGCAACGTTCACACCCATACAGAAGTTCCTAACCCTACAGGCCTGCTGCCCGCACCGGAAAATGGACCGAAAAGAGTGAAGGCTCAAAGCATTGGACGATGCAGGTAGCGGAAACGGCCTTGTCAGCTTTTCTCCTCCTGCACCACCACAACCTCCACCACCACCACATCAGCACCTGAAATGCCTGCCTTCAACTCGTTGCTGAAACGGAACTATTGGCCCGGATTGATGGTGTTGTCGCCGTGCGGGGTTCGTTCCATGATGATTGCGATTCTTTTCTGCTCGTCGCTCTCTCGACGCTTCGGTCACCGGTCACCACCTTCTTGATCCATCTTACGGCTCTACGCACCCCTAGCCTCGAGGCCCCCGGCCTGATCCCCGGGCCCTAGGATCTCCTTTCCCGTCATTCTCTTATTATTTTCTGCGTTTCTTACCGCCGGCTCCCACCCTGCGATAAGCCTAAATCGGGCACGAGGGCCCAAGGGGGCGTGTCCAGAGGGGGTTCTCTCTCCTCGCATGCGACGAGAGCCTGGCCGCGGGTCACGAATGGGCGTCGCGAACCTGGCTGCTACAGCCTATTGCAGTCATATTCCTTCCGCACCGAGGGATGAAAGCTGCAATCAACTAATACGGCACCCACCCCTCTTTCCATTAGATCTATTTGAGGCACCGATATCTGGTTAGACTGGGTCCGTAGCTACGGACGTCTTTCGGAGACCTGTCGGTAAGAGAAACAGGTAGTTGTGTAAATGATCTGTCGGTGATGGAAGAGGATGGTGAAAGAGAGCAATAGTCGTGGCATACGGGGGCTCTAGTTCTAGTTTGAGAAGCAAAGGAGGCGATCTATGCGTGGCTGACTTGATGGTGATACAAGGGCCTGGACTTGGCAGCGGCAACTGAGTAATCCGATTGTGTTTGGACGAAAGCTTTCTGGAGTGGCTGGCATGGATACCCTTTGCAAGCCCAGTTCTGTCAGTAAACTCTGAGTAGGTTACCTTGACTTCATAGACTCTGAGCAAAAGAAAGAAAAAATGCTTTTTTGTCTAATGGCAGTGGGAGACACAGTATCAAAGACGCGAACAGCGTCCCAAAAGCCAAAGAGCGAAGACGCGAGATTGGTTTTGTTTCTAGACATCATAGACTTTGCTGCCAAGAATAATGAAATGGTATTATTGACTGATCAACAATTTCTGTCGACAAATGAGATGATGTTTTTGTCCCCTGGCTGTAGACGTTTCATCACCCAACGAAACAAAATGCCGCCAGAGCACAGACGATGACCGAGGGCAAAAGACTCAGCCACCTCGTTTCCGTTTCCAATGTTTCCATGCATGATGTTTCCGTTCCGTGTTGTTGTATGACCATCAGAGTTCCTCCGTCTCGGTCTGAACATCCTCGGCATCGACGCTAGTGTCCTTGGTGATCTCGTCCTTCTCGGCGCTCTTGACCTTGTCCCAGAATTTCTCTCCAGCATCGGGGTCGTTGGCGAAGAGGTGGTCGACGACCAGCTTCTTGGGCGTCTCGCCCATCCACTGGAACAGGGAGAAGTCTCTGAATTCGTCGGCGCGGAAGATTTCGAGCATCTCGAGGGGTTCGTCGCCAATGTTCTCCACAAAGTGACCCATGTTCTTCGGGACGATGCCAACGTCGCCTGGCACGTAGTCGAATGTCCTGGCGTTTCCTTCCGAGGCGAAAATCGTGACTCTGGCGCGACCCTTGATGAAGAAGGACCACTCGTCGGCGTTGGGGTGCCAGTGCATCTCGCGGAGGGCGCCGGGCTCAATGATGGCGTGGGCAGCAGCAATGGTCTTTGAAATGGGGAAGTTCTTGGAGTCGGTTACTCTGACTTCGCCGCCAGAGGTCTTCTTGGGTTCCTGTGCGAGCATCTTGTGCGTGAACTGGTGCTTTGACTTCTTGACGCCCTTTCCGTCAGGAGCCTCGTGGCTGATGGAGCCGGGTGTCGTTCCTTGGAAGATATACTTCTCTCCCTCGGGGATGTTGGCAAAGACCTCGGGGGCCAGCTTGAAGTTCTTTGAGATTACAGACTTGGGGGTGTGTGCTGTTGTGTTGTCAGTCAACCTGGAGTCTTCTTGTCTCTCAGTGGCACCATACCAAGCCAGTCCGTAAGGATGAAAGTAGACTCCTCAGAAAAGTGTCCATCGTCGAAGATCAAGAGAAACTCGGTTCCGTTCTCGCCGAGACCTTGAAGGGAGTGAGGAACACCGGAGGGGAAGTACCTGGCCACAATTGTTTAGTACGAGGATAAGAAGGAGGAAACAATTTCAAACAAACCAGAGATCGCCCTTTTGAACGTCATCGATAAAGTTGCCTCCCTCGTAGTCAATGGCGGTGATACGGCAGCTGCCATCAAGGACGTATGCCCATTCAGCTTCCTTGTGCCAGTGGAGCTCACGAACGACCCCCTCGTCTAGGCGCATGTTGACACCAGCCAGCTCGATGCTGGTAGGAAGCTCGCGAATCGTGGTTTGTCTAGTCCAACCGCCCTCCTACAAACGGAACTAGTTAGTACCATTATGCTTCAACAGAAGCTATGCGGACAAACGGACCTCGATGCGAATGTGAGAATCAGCAAAACTCCAACGCATGTTGGCAAGGTTGCCGTGATCAGTGCCTGGAGGTCGAACGAGATCAGGGTTCTGTCTGGATCGAGCCTCGTTCCAAGGGCCGAGAACAGAGGCTCCGAGGCCATTGCGATATGGCAAGGGATCGAGCTCGTCGCCAATAGAGTCGATGGGACTATCGTACTTGTCCTTGTGGCCAGGAGTGTAGGGAGGCGAGCCACTGCGGTACTTTGTAGGAAGGCCCTTGCCGTCGAGGAGGCGCTGGCGAGGACTGTCCTGAACAGGAACGGCGAGGGTCGGAGCGATGAAGCTCAAGACAGCTCCCGAGAGGAGCAGCGGGAGATGCATGATGATGGTGGGAAGCGTATAAGAAGAGGAAGTCAGGAAGAAGGAGCTGCAGGTGATCTGGTCTTCATTGCGAGAAAGGTAAATTGGTCGCGCTGGCTTTTATATTCCACACTTTGTAGCCAAGACGCGAAGATCCTCGGTCCTGAGCTGGGAAGATTTCGGAGCTCGAAGCTCGGAGGAGTTTCTGATTGACTAATGACCATACGGTTTCGAACCCCTGGTAAGCTGTCTCGACCAGTTACACTGCTATCGGAGGCCATAATGAGGTGCGGTAGGGCAGTCGACCATAGAAAGCCTGCCTCCGAGTGAATGCCGACGCATCTCCGCATACCATGGGTCGAGGACCTCAGGACATGGAGCTATCAATGATGTGAGGTGAGGAGGACGAGGAGCTCAACCGAGCGCGGCGAGGTGTCGATGCTGCGGGGTACCGCTGTAATCGACGCTGCCCAGGCCCCCTTTACCCCAAGCTCCGACCCCTGTAGGCGGTAAATGATTGGAGGCCACTGCGTGTCATTGGCGACCTGGGCTGGTCTTTTGGCATGTTGGACGGCACCCGAGCAAGAGTGGTAAAGCTTGGCTGATTCTGCAACGATTGTGAAGGGGGTGAAATGTGAAGAGCAAGTGGAAGATGCAGAAGACGAGTAGACAAGTACTGTGTAACTGATTATTGCATCAAAACGATGACGCGTCGTACCAGAGATATTCCGCTTTGATCACACTGCCGGATTTGTGCATAAAATACATGGGAAAGAATTTCTGAAAGGGCAAGACCTCTTTAAGAAGAGGTGCCTGCCGTGCCTGCCTACTTCCGTACCTGCCTTCTTTCCCTTCCTTGGCTTCGGTCACGTTACCTCGCTTGCCTGTGACTTCACTTTGGAAAATGTCACCCGCCTCTTTTTCTTGGCCTGGATGTACATACCCTGAAGTCTTCCAATCCGCATTGAGATCAAGGAGTCCGAGTCTTGGCATTCATAATATAATCATTCATTGAATCATTCTCTTGGTAAATGGCGACAGGATTCATATGGTACATGTGAAGCATGTTTGCCTACTGCTCTGAACGCACCCAGGTCTCGATACAAACTAGCCATGATCCGTCTCCTTGATGACATCCCAGTCAAGACCAATTTTTCAAGTCTCGATTTATGTATCAGACTGAATATTCAACAGCAAGGAAAGATATTCCTTGTGGGAAGATGTGATGATCGATGAGGAAATATCAATGGATTCTCTCAGCGGCTTAGGATCGAGTAGATTGGGGAATGAAGCAATACATCAAGAATTGAAGTACTGTGAGAACTGGAAATGATAGGTACTATGTGACTCAAACTGTTAGTAAAACTCTCAAACATGAAGTAGGCCTGTGGCAGTCATATATCATAACTTGCTAAACACACTTTCAAACCCTTATTCAGGGTATTACACCAGGCTTTACACTTATATCTTACATGATGAACTCGTTTTTGTACCTGTGAATGACGAAAACCACGCTTTATTGCTTAACATTCTCACTAAACTAAAGCATGAAAATATGTATCAAGTGCCTCATTTGTCAACACGGGGCAAATGTGTAAATGTTTTGCGTGACACTGAACTCATAAGCTGGCACGATCTCATACACACAAGAAACAACTGGCTAGAACCACATTAGAGAAAGCACCTCAAAGGACGCCTCGACCGAACCCGAGGCATCAGCATTCTGTAGCCTCATACAAGATCAGCCATAATAACGTAGACCATAAAAACTGCCTGCTAGGGCTTTGGCAAAGGCCCCGTGTACATGAATTCAGACAAGTTTCTTGTGATACCGTCACTGACTTTCTTTCAAAATCAAAACAACCCATCAAAGATTTCTTCCTCTTTTTATAACACCTCAAAGGCAATCACCAACTTGGGAACGCTTCGATTTGCCAGCAAAGGCTCCCTTCAGAGCAAGATGGCAGGAGCTCTGAAACCTGGCGTGTACGCATCACATACATAGCAACATTCAGGAGCTAGAAGTTCACCAGAATAATTGTGCCGTGGAGGCCCTCAACAACAACATCATCGCTGGACAGCAACCGCAAATTCTCCTTGGTCTCGACGACAATCCTTGATGACTAAACGCCGCGCTACTAGTCTCTTGAGGTTGGCTGTTTTGGCTACTTTTGCAACCTATCCCCACATCACAGGAAACGAGCAGGCATGAGATGACAAGCAGCAATGGCGAGTACAGAAATATGATCTTGGCAGTAAGAAGCATGATGAAGCTTGGGATCACTGAGGCTGTGGAACAATTCGGATGAGAGCACATGCATCTTGAGCACAGTCAGCAGTGATAGCCTGCGGGCATGTCTGCCGATAGAAAGAACGCTTCTTATTATCGAGCTAAAGACCTGCCATTTTTTCATTCTACTCGCTACCGGTGAATTATAGAATTTCCAGACGAATTGTCGAAGACGAGATGAAGCCGGGTACCTATAGCGTGCGCATTGTATCGGCGAATTCATTACGTAACACATGACATGAGAGGATACTATTTGAATTGCCACATGGATTACTATTATATCTATATTTTGTGCGCTTCCTTTTTGTAGACCAACGCGCCTAAGATGAGGTCGAGTTCGTCAAGAGAGTGGCCCAGTATATAAGCTATGCCATATGTTGAACCATGTGAACTTTGCGGACTCGTTTACAAGTAGGCAAGAGCACCAAGGGCAAGAGCAGCCAGGATGCCAACGGGGCCCTGAGTAGTAGCACCGTTGACAGTGACGGGGGTAGCGGTGGCAGTGGCAGTGGAGGTGCCGTTGCGGGTGGTGGTGGCGCTCGTGACAACAGCAGTGCGAGTGGTGCCAGCGGCAGCGGACGAGGCAGCGCTCGTGACGGCGCGGGAAGCACTTGAAGCAACGGAAGAGACGGAAGAGGCGGCGGAAGCAGCCTTGCTAGTGGCAGCAGAAGCAATGGAGGAGACGGCAGCGGAGGCTGAGGCAACGACGGAAGATGCAGCGGCAGAGGCCGAAGCGACAACCGAGGAAGCGGCGGAGGCGGGGCCACCACCTCCAGCAACGGCAGCGCAGATCTTGCCAGCGGCGGGGAGGACCTGGTCTTGAGGGGTAAAGTTAGAATCTTGGTGAGATAGACGAGGGCCTTGATGATGGACTTACTGACGGCAACGTCGGCACCGCAGCTTTGGAGGACGCAGGGGGTACCGGCGGTGACGATGGCCTGGTAGTTGGCAGGACTGCAGAGGCAGGAAATGTCACCAACAGTGCACTTGCCGGTGGAGGTGACGGCGTTGGCCAAGCACTGCTGGGCACAGGTGGGAACGTCGGCCAGGGACTGGGCGGCGGCGAGGCCAGCGAAGGCAATAATGGCAGCGGTGAACTTCATGTTGACGGTTGGGGTGATGTCGAGTGACTAGACTAAGAGTTGAGTGACTGAAACGACAGCGAAGATGTTGGCTATACCGGGTGAAGCGAGAGTTGAATGAGCTGATGAGGGAGAGAAGAACCGGGATTCGAAAAGGTGGAAACGCCATCTTCTCATATACACCCCGGACTACCTACCTTTGGGTCACCGAAATAAACATCTGCGGGGGGTTACACCCGGTCTATTCCTAGCTCGGGACTGAACAGCTTTGTCTAGGGTTGAGTGAGATGTTCCCGTGAGTATCCAGTTTCCGGGCTGGATGAGGAGCTCTGGAATGTTGCGATTCAGCGTTTGCAGCCACGCACGTTCCCACATCCGTCCCTGAGACACACGAGGCCAATCGGAGCCACCAATTCGTCTTCTCCAGCTCCTAGGTTCCTGTGGCGTCTAGACTAGACCGCAGCTTGTTGAGAGGTGTGCCTGACCGGACTCGAGCCGGATTCAGCAGCTTCATGTTGGCGCCGAGAGCATCCGCCTATTTTGGTGTTGAGCGACACGGCGGGAATCCATGGCTTTCTCAGGAATCCTTTACCTATTGCGTCTCGGTTGGGGTGGGAGTAGGTAACACAGATTGCTGCCGAGGAGAGCTTTCATCGGAGCTGCGTCATTGATCTACCTTGAGAGGTCTTGAGCTCGATGAAAAGATGAGGAGGTTATGACCTCACGAGAGCTCTAGAAGAATCAATACGAGTATTGGCGGAGCAAACTTCATGGCGTTCATCTCATTACCTAAGGTAGGGTGCCCCCCTCAAAGTAACCCACAAGGTGGGGGACTGGATAGATAAGACAACAATAGAAGCTTAACATTCTGGATCCCGCGGGGAAAAAAGAGAAACATACAGGGATGAAAAGTTTGCAGTTCGTCTAATAAGTCTTACTGGCTGGGTATCCTGTCTGTCATCGTACGGAAAACGTAGGAGAGGATATCTTTTCGCCGAGCCGAGGATGTGGTAAACTTGTCAGAACACCAAAGACGCTTATCGTGAACTATTGGAGCTGAATCTCCACGAGGTATGGCGTCGGCCAATCGGTTGGCGTCTCTCTTAGTGGACATGGCCTGGGTCGATCAAGCGCGCTGACGGAGGCAAAGGCTTGCGCTGCCAGCACCAACAAGTCGGTTCATATTGACTAACAATTAGTTCTTGCTCTAATATCTCCGGAGGAGCCACGTTGTTGAGCTAGTCGCTGGCGCCCCCGAGGACGTGATGGGCCGTGGCAATCTGACAGGTCGGGGGGCTGGGAACTACGACTACGACTCGAGCACGGCGTCAGGGGGATCCAATAGATGGCAATAATGATTACCTGATAACCTACAATGGCGCTATCTAAATACAAGACCAAGTGACTAGCTACACGACACAAGAAGTCTACAAGATGCATGCTGTTTCGCGCCCTTGAGGGCACACCGTCTTCCAGAATCCGCCCATGCGATCCGTTACATGTCTAGTCCGTTCCGTATCCATGCCCATTCCAAATTCCGCAGTGACAAAGGAGAAAGAGTAAAAGTATCAATGAAAGACCCAAGCGAGGAACCGATCCATCGCATGCTATGTTGCCCCAACACAGAAAAGGAGAAGAAAGAAAACACAAAGGAGACGCTATACTCGTGCTATCCGTCCGTCCGTCCGTCCTTCGCCACGCTAATCACTCGCCATTCCCTCGCTATTCCCATTTCCATAATCCCAAAAATAAGTCGTAAGGATTTAATCGCTCTTGTCACCCTCGGAGTGAGAGTGCTGAGACGACGACCTCTTCATACCCCGTAGATCGCATCTTCGTATGATTTGACTGAACGTGACAGTCAGCATAGTGTTTAGAAACATGGGTAGGTGATGAATTAGACTTACATTCCACCTCGCTCATTGGGGTTGCGCACAACCACCAACTGCTCCTTCTTCTTATCATCATTCTTCTTTGTCTTCGTCGACGGCGCCCTCGCATGGGACGACTCTCGAGAGCGCGACTGCACCGAAGGCGTAGACAGACGTCCCCGCAGCTGACCAATCTGGTCCTTGAGGCTGTTGACCTCAGCGACCGAGGCGTCGTAGGAAGCGCGCATGCCGTCGAGCTGGGCATTGACGAGAGACAGCTGCGACGTCAAGGTTGCATTCTCCTGGCGGAGCGCAGGCGCCATGACGGCCTCCGTCTCCAATCTCGCGACGCGGGTGACGAGATCGTCACGCTCGGCGGTGAGGGAGCCAAGCTTGACGGTCTCGGACTGGAGCTGATCGTTGCGGTCCGTCAGCTCGGCGATGCGGTTGCGGAGCTCCTCCATGACTGCCGGCTCGGAGGGCGTGATGGACTTGGCGGACACGGACTCGGCCTTCTCGGAGACGGCATCGGCCTCGACGGGAGCTGCCTCCGGCTCGGGAGCTGGGGCGGGCTCAGGCTCCACCACCTCGGGTTCGGGCTCCGGAACGGCCTTGGAAAGCTCAGAGGGTGCCGCTGAGGTGACGCTGGCGGCGTCGTCTTTGACTTCCTCGGGTGCCGGCGCCGGTGCATCTTCGACAACCTCAGCCTCCTCGATGACTTCGATGACGGGGACCGCAGGAGGCTCCTCCACTGGGGGTGCGGGGGGTGCTTCTTCGGGCGCTGGGGGAGCTGGAGGAGCCTCTTCGGGAGCGGGCGGGGCCTCATCATCCTCACCCTTGACAGTGTCTGTATCGCTGTCATCTGCCGAGCCGATGACAGACGGGGCGGCGGAGCCGATGACCGAAGGTGCAAGTGAACCAGGGAGAGAGCCGGCGATAGATCCCATGAGTGACTCGGCACGTCGGAGCTCGCTAGTGACGGATTCGTTCTCGTCCTTGAGCGACTCGTTCTCCGAGCGGAGTATGTCACGTTCCTCTGCGAGACTAGAGATCTGAGACATCTTGTCGTCTTGATCCTTGAGAAGCTCGCCGACCTGCCCTTGGAGTGTCGTGTTCTTGCCCTTGAGCCCTTCGATGCGGGTTCTGAGCTTGTCGTACTTGGTCTTGAAGCCCTCGAGGTCCTTCACCTGGGTCTCGAGCTCACCCTTGCTGAGCTCAAGCTCGCCCTTGGTGGCCTCGAGGCTCTCAAACCGGGTCTGGATGTCAGTGTTGGTGGTCTCGAGCTGGGTAAGGCGGACCTCAACCTCTTGCTTCTCGACTTCAAGTGCGCCAAAGCGGGTCTGAATGTCGTTCTTTTCGGTGTTAAGCTTCTCCATGTCGGCTTCGAGGCCCTTCTTCTCGGCCTCAAGGGCATCGAAGCTGGCTTGGGCGTCCTTCTTCTCCGTCTCGAGCTTCTCAATGTTTGCCTCGAGACCCTTCTTCTGTTGGTCGAGATCGTCGATGCGTGCCTCCAGGCCCTTCTTGGCCTCTATCAGGGCGCCGTTCTCCCGGTTGAGTTCGTCGACTTGGGGCTTGTACTTGTCGACTTCCATGCGGAGAAGGTCACGCTCGGCGGCGATGTCGCCAATCTCAGTGCCCTTGCGGATGAGGTCCGTCTCAAGTCCAGTGACTCGGATCTCCATGGTGTTCTTGATCATCTCGAGAGCGGCAATCCTCTTGATGAGGGATTTCTCAGTCTCTTTGGTGACAAAGTGAGCATCGCCGACGCTCCTCTCAAGGTCGTGGCATTGGGCCTCAAATTTCTTGGTGAGCTTCTCCTGCTCGGCAAGAAGCTTCTCCTGCTCGGCAAGAAGCTTCTCCTGCTCAACGAGATCCTTCTCAAGTACTGCATTCTTGGTGGTCATCTCCGTCTTGGCTTCCCTCTCTTGCTCAATTTCCTTCTCGAGCTTGGCGGCGTTGACTTCTAGTTGCTCCTTGATGCCCTTGAGCTGATCTCGTTCACGCTCAACATCATCGAGCCTCTTCTCATGCTCACCAAGAGCGCTTCTCACGTCATCGAGGAGGCGGCTCTGCTCACCATAGTCGCGAGTAATCTGGTCCTTGAGGGTCTTTTCTTCACGGTGTTGCTTCTCAGTCTTCTCCTTGGCGGCTGAGAGTTCCGAAATTTGGTCGAGAGCATGTCCGAGTCTTCTGTCTGTGTCGGTCTGCCTGGTGACAAGGCTCATGGCCTCCTCCCTCATGCGCGCGATCTGCTTGTTGAGCTCATCTTGAACCTTCTCGCGCTCAATGAGGTCGTGTGAGGTAATATGTTGGACAACGGGAGGGGCAGGAGCTACAGGGGCCACCTCGATGTGGATAGTTTGCCTCTTGGGCGCGACGACGTCGACGCGGGTGCCCTTGAGGTTGGCGGGCTTGGCTGGCGCAGGAGGGATGGTGCTAGTCCTGACGACCTGCTTTTCGGTGGTGAATGGCCGAGTTCGAATGGCTTGGGTATATGAGACGGACTTGGAGGAGTGAGAGTCAGAGTCGTCCACGCTCGTCGCGGTCGTGAGGGTTGAGGCAGTATCGGAGCTGTACTTGGACTCAACATCCGAGTCATTGGTTTCATCGGCTGTGGTGTAAAGGTTCTCAGTAGATCGCCTCCACGGGCGGCTGAGCTCTGGTCGGGAAGGGCGGGTGCGAAGCATGGGGGGTTTGAACTTCAAGGGAGGCTTTGCGGCGCCGTTCTTGTTTCTCCAGTCTCCGGCTGAGCTGACGCTCAAGTCGGATCCGCTGTCGTTTACCGAACGATCCATGGGGGCAAGTGAGATCTCGGAGACGTTGGCGTTGGAGAGATCAAGTCTCTCAAGAGGAGTGTTGTCTGGGATGGAGACTGAGGGCCGCCTGAGTCTGGCGAAGCGACCGCGGCCCTTCGCGGGCACCGGATCACGGGTAGGAGCCATGAGGACGGTGATGAAGATGTGTGAAATGGAGATTCGCTCAAGAGCCAAGTAGCTCTGGTAAATGATAATGTTATTCTTTTTTTTGGGATTTCTCAAGTTATGTGCCAAGCTGGACGTCTGATCTGGGGCTGGTGGACTCTGCGAGTGACATTGAAAGTGTATTGGTAAGTTGATGAGGGGTAAAGTTGCATATCGGGTCTGCTCGGATCTACAATCAAAGAATGATGAGATCGGAAGAGGAAGTCTGGATGTGGAGGCAAGTTGGTTTTGTTCAGAATATCCAGAGTATAGTGTTGTGGGATGGAAGAAGGGGGAAAAAGGGAGGCGGAGGGTGATCTACGTACAGGAGCCCAACCGGCAGAAAATGATATTCGACACTGCCCGCCTTCATCCGTGGCCTCCCACCAGCGCGCCTACCCCCGTCCAATAGGGCACATACGTCAAAAAAACAAGTTCGGGGGGTCCCTCGACTTCTCGTCCGCGAGCGACGGGACACGGGATGGTCGAGCCAGACGAGCCAGCGTCAGGGATGAGGCGTGGCACCAGAGCGGGACTCCCAACTGGCCCTCCACGGAACCGTTTGGCGGGATGCCCAGCTTACATCCGGGACACAAAGTAGCGTCGAATATTGCAAACGCAACGTCGTCACTCCGTCGCCCTTCGGGCAGAGAGGGCTTGGGTGATTGGGCCATGGCGCTGTCAGGAGGAGCAAACCCTGCTTTTCCTAGTCTATCGGCCGTGTTCACGGTCCACGGCGTACACCCCCATGGTTTCTCGAACCCCCCCTGTCCAGACCCCATCAACGCTTCCCGCCTGCCTGCCGGGGACTAAAAAGCGGGAGACTGGGGGGTGCCACCATCCATCAGCTTGGGCGAATGGGTTCGGGTTCTGAACAGGACGGAGTCTAAGAATACAACTTTGCAACATCCTTAAGTGGCGATGAACATGTGTAAGTCTCCCGTTGCTGGGCGGATTTGAATCTCTCTCGACGCTGCGGTTGAGCTTTGAGGCCAACTGCTTCCGTTGGATCTCTGCTATGTTTGGCGGCATGTTCGTACTTCCACCCCCTCACTATTGGAAAAAGACCCGCCAACGACTTGACGGCGGTTGTTCATTCTGATGTCCATTCTCATGCTTTAGCTTGCTCTGTCGAGGGCCAAACAGGCTTCAAGCCCTATTTTGCAGGGGCCGAACGGGCCACCAAAGGCAGAAGAAAACGAGTCAGAAAGTCTTCTGTAGGCTGGGATGAGTCAGGAATTTTGGGGAAAAGACATGGGCTTCACAACCAGTCGATTTGGGCAGGGCAAACAGGCGGAAATGAATTCGACTGGCGGCCGTCTATTTTCTCTTTCTCTTCCCGTTTGTGCGCATGGTGTTGTGGGTTGGGCATCGTTCACTTTGCTTTACTTGGGCTAGACCGAGACAGTTGGGACGCAACAAACGTGGGATGGGCCACTAGAAGACTGCACGTTCCCGGAGCCGACAGGGGACCATGACTTGGACGTGGGGTTTTCTGATTCGTCCGCTTTGCGGGCCGAGCCATGTCGTCGAGTCCGGACCCTGGCCGGCTTGTTGCCGGCCTCCCACTTCATTGTAGGTAGGCTCAACAGAGGTCTGCTCATTTGTTCAGCCTCCACGAGTATGAGGCATCATGGAGGTTGGGGAAGTGAACTGAAAAGATGGCTGATATCAAGCAGGATGTCTTCGCCCGGGTGCGTGGCTTATATGGTGGCAACAGCTTGAACAACGTGATCGTCTCCTGATGTCTGGCTTATCAGATGGAGCACCCAATGTGGGCGGCGATAAACTCGTCCCGCTCTCGACATTCGGGGGCTGGAATATCCACGAGCCCCTCACCAGTCTCCATTGGCCGACGGCTGATTCAAGTGGCGACGTGTCTCGTGCAACAAGTAACGTGGACCTCGTCAGGCGATACCTATAGGAAGTCTGGAATCTGGAACCCTTGGGGAATACAGATGGAACCTCCGGATTCTAGGTGGAGACGCGTCCGTCGCTGTTCGCGCATACTCCATATACCCTGGACAATAACGGGGAACCCATCTCCCAATCCCCTGGGTCAGTCGACGACTCCTTCTCCTCACGGAGTAGACATAGAATGATGACAGCTACGTATCTCAAGTTGAAGTGGCCTGTCTGAACATAGAGCTCAACTCACTTCCTCTAGCTTGTTGCCAGACCGACGAGGTGCCAGTCTCTCCCAACGCGATCTGGAAAGGGAAAGAGGCTACTGCAACTGGGAAATGAAGACATGATAATAGTTGCAGTAGCCACGGTGCTGGGCTTCACTGCAATCAATTGAAGCTACCAAAAGCAACAGACTGCAGATACCCCCTCACCTGAGACTGCAAAGGGCGCTTTACTGCGGCTGGCGTGGCGAGGCGGTCGAGAGGTCTGCAACGTCCCCGGTCCCTTGATCACCGTTCCTCAAGTGAGGCTGTTTTGCGATGGTTGCTGGTGTGACAACCCGCAGGTAGCATGCATATGCTCGGTGACGTACCCACATAGATTTACTTACCCCTTGCGTCTTTCAGTCCACATACGCAGCTTGACGATATTCATAGGCATTCTGACTGTTTAGTCTATAAGTCAACGCTCAACACAGACCCCGTGCGGCTACAAGTATTACGCCACAAGCAATTACCCTTCTGTTTAAAGCAGCGACGAAATCAAATGAAGGCAGTAACAAGTTGGTCGTGGTTTCATCAGCATGCACATAATCAACATGGCCACGCATGATCTCCAATGACAACCATCTTGAGGGCAACATTTGAGTCTGCTGAGTGGGTACAAGCACTTCGTTTAAGGCTTACGGCGTCAAAGGCATGTCGACACTTATGAGATATAGCTACGGCATCGGCAAGGCAAAATCATCGAGACTAAAGGAGAATAAAGCCCAAAGTCACTCACAGTAACTGACAAGTGGCCACATGGACACCCAATAGACTTTGATGCTCCATAGCCGCTTAATGATAGCCCACTTAACACAGCACATCCCTTTCCCCGCTGCTTGCGGGGTCGAGTTGAAATCAACTTCTTTGGACGGAAGTCTGGAGCTGCCAAACTACGTGCTACCGTCTGTGTCACCCCTCCCCATTGCATCAATTACCGCGTAGCATAAGCGGAACAAACAGAAACAAACAGACTCAAGTCGCACTGTTACACTTGTTCTTGCCTTGGGGGAAGGGTCCACAGCGACGGACAAAGCAGCAGTGTGCAGACGCGAAATCGTTTCGACTCGGTGTTCATCCGGGGTATCTCTCGCCTATCAAAGTCTTCTTGTCACAAAAGTCAAGCCAGAGGCAAAAGTATATCTTCAGATCATGCGCATAATTTAATTCCTTCCCGGAGCATGGAAGAGTTCGTTTCTCCGCTAGCCAGGATAGTATGATGAATCCGAGGACGGTTGTTAGTTCATATGATGGCAAGCAGTCGAGTTGGTGTTATATGGAGTCATTCAGAATGCGTCAAACTTCAGGATGCTTCAGCTATAAAGTTTCGTAAAACCGCCGGGACGGATTGCAAGTTGCGGGGTCCTTCCCGTTTTGATACTGATAATTGACCACTTTTGATGAGCCTCCATATTCTGTGATTGTAAGAGCTCAAAGTTCAAGGGGCTTTTGAGAATTGAGATATTCTCATACCTCTGGAAGCGACTGCCCCGTCGAGAAACGTCCGCTCGGTTTCGGCATGGATTATGACATGGTTGGCCTTGACTGAAAGTCGCATGTGTTCTGAGACCACGGGATCCAATTGCCAATTCAGGATGCGAGACGAGTATTCGGTATTGAGAGACTGTTGCGTCTGACTGCCCAATTCACCCACGTGTCGCAAAGCGAAGCTGGGATTGCTGGGTGAGAGACCACTGCCTGCTTCAGTGCCCAGCTACCCCGCGAACCCTAGTCCTGGCGTATCCTGTCCGCTCGATAGCAGAGCGTCCCAAAGTCTTTGAGTCAGTCTTGAGACATCACACCCTATCGGTTCGCGTGGCATTCACTGTAAGTACCTGAAAAGGCTGGTAGCAGCGACTTCGTTGCATGACCTGGATATGCTCCCATCCTGCCAGGAAGGAGACGTGGCGCAACATTTCTGTTCACGAGTCAACTCCAAACGAGCCAATCCTGAGATTATATCAATCGGAGGGAAGGACTTCATTCCCCGCTGATCAATCGAAGTCAGGTCCTTATCTAGGTGATGGACTAGTGTATCGAAGACGCCTCAAACAACGCGCTACTTCGCAGAGGGCACGGCTCAAAGTAACATCTTTGCCGTTTAATTTCTCCGCTGATGAGGCTTGGATAGCTTTTTAATCTGTTAGCAGCTCTTTAAGATTGGAACTACCGAGGAAGCTTCATGATCAGCTGAGAGGAAGCTTTCCCCGTCCATCGTAAACACACTTCTTCTATGCATAAACCTCTCCGGAGTGCGGGCGTCATAGCTGCCGACTTATCCACGAGCCAATCAATGACTGACGTTTCGGTGTAGCTATCAGAGTTTGACAATCAGGACATGGTCAAGGCTGATTACTACCAAAGGTCTGGGCTCGACTATAGTTTCTTGCTGGGGGACGCTCTCACAAGCATAAACGTTATGTGGCAAGTATATACGAGACGCTTCCCTCAAGTGACATCTCCGCGGAGACCTGTTTTCCGACAACGAAACTTGGTTGCACTACCGGCTTTCTTTTATGTCGAGTCGAAGGCAATCTTGGCAACGCCCTTCCGAATAGCAAAGTGATCATCTACGGGACGACTATGTCTCGCCCCGCACCGGGCCGAACCCGCCGACCTATCCCGCCGGTTTACCCACATTTCCCGGTCGCCGATGCGAGATGTCTGACAAGGAGGGGGCGGCCCCCCCGCCGGAAGGCGTAGTGCCTGACTTTCAGCATCCGCAGGACGTATTGCATACCATCAATTTGGTGTCGCAGATTCTTTCTATTGTGTCTGTCAGTATCTTCATGATGCTGCGCATTTATGCGAAAACCCTCATCGCGCCGCCGTTCTACTTAGACGATTGTAAGCCTCTGTCACTGGGATCTCGTCTCGGGTCTTTATGCTGTGAAACTTGTAAGCTGACAGTTACAGGGATGGCAGTGATTGCCTGGGTAAGTCCCTCAAACAAGTGGCCAAATGTGCTACCTCAATAGCGTCCAAGCGTGAGCTGATAGGTGAATAGATATTATCAGTCGGGTACAGTTCGACGGCACTCGTGAGTGAGTGATAATGGGGTATTTGGGCACTTACATGACGACTGATTCTATCTCAGTGCATCGCTATGGGGGTGGCTATCATATATATGAGATATCCAAGGATAAATTCGTTGGTTTCTTGAAGGTAACTACTTTCAACCAAGCGCACATCAATCAGCTCAACCGCTAACACCGCTACAGGGGCTGTACGCGGACACACTTGTCTACGGCCCAAACTCATATTTCACGAAACTCGCACTGCTACTCATCGTGATCCGAGTCTTCAGGCTGAACAAGAAGACCATCATCGGCACATATGCCGTCATAGTGTTCATGACTGGGTATTACGTGCCGGTCCTCTTTCTCAAGATGTTCATTTGCCACCCAATTGCTGGGTACTGGGACTCGACTCTCAATGCTACCTGCTTGAACCAACGAGCCATATTTGTTGCCGATACTGCCGTCAGTGCAATCACGGACACCGCCGTATTATGTCTGCCGATACCCGTGGCTTTGAGTCTACGAATGTCATGGACCAAGCGACTCAAAGTGATTCTCATGCTCAGTGCAGGAGGCGTCGCCACAGCAGCAAGCATTGTACGAATGATTCTCGTAATTCAGCTACAAAAGTCGGATGACGAGCCTGTCGACTTCATTCGTTTTAATCTACTTGGGTGAGGCCTGATGTTCACTCTCGTATCAATTTGGACAAGACACTGACTCTGAACTTTCCCTAGGACTGCGGAAGTGAGCATAGGCATGATCTGTGCGTGTCTTCCTGCAATCAACATCTTATTCATGCGAGGACTCAGTGGTTCGCAACAATCGAGTCACAATACCGGCCAGAGCAGCAAAAAGTACTTTGAGCTCAAATTCCTCATGGGCAGTAAGCTACAAACGCAAAATTTAACGGCAGTAAATACCACTGGGATAACCGGGCCTGTGGCTGTAAGCACTCATGATGCAGAGAGCATAGTGCATGAACATAGGGATTCCATCTTTCCGATAGAAAGGATGAGCCGAGTGACCTCACTCAAACCAGAAGATGTGGAAAGAGGGATCTGGTCAGATGAATGGTACTCCAAAGTCACGGCGTCGCCTTTCTCGGAACCTGGGTCTCCGGATTGGGCTCGAAAGGCTTCCATGGGCTTCATGGAGACAATAACAGAGTTGAGCTAAGTCCCACGTCCTGCGGCATTAAAGGCGTACTTGATTTATCAGAATATCATTGGGTTTATCTCGTTACGAATTACCCAGCAAGGAGGTACGTAGCCAGGAGCGAGCTTGAAGTTGCGAGATGTCGAGAGCAGGTAGACTAGACCGACACCTCTCATCAAGCAGGAGGAAGTGAGATGCGTTTCATTATATCCATATAATACAAGAAGGAATAAAATTACACAGAATGCTCAACAAAATCAAGCTGTCATCTTGCTAATCGGGAGCGCAATCAGTGTCGTTACCTTCCCCTGCCAGTCTGTAAGCTTGTCAGTCATTTCCTTAACGACTACTGGCGAGTACGTTGTTGCGGCAGCAGTCGATTTCCAAAACGCAAGCTCGCTCTTGACATAGCTCTCAAACAGCGTCCGAGCAGATGAGACCTGGCTCTCAAGATTGGCGGGAACAATCTGCTTCCATGCGGACGCAAAGTCGTAGCTGACGCCCTTGCTGAGGGCGTATCGACCAAAGTCGCCCCAGAGGGTAGCCAGTGAAGCATATGTCTTTTGGTATGAGGTGATGACGCTTGATTCACTTCGATACGCGAAGGTGTCAATCACATCAGACAAGATGGCGATGCGGCCTGTGGGGCTGTAGTTCTTCCACGTCGCCTGGCTCATGAAGTCGCTTCCAGCAACGATGAACTCTTTGTAGCGATTGAAATCGGCGTCGCAGACTTGAAGGTTGACTATGTTGGCGTTATTGAGACCTGCGTCTGACGTTCGACCAAGAAGACCTGTGAAAGCGTCGTTGATGTTGCCCGCCCAATCTTGGACAACCTTGAGAGTGGTGTACGTCTTCGAAGGCCAGATATCCTGGAACAACTACATATTTGATTTTTAGTTGAAACAACAAAATCCTTTCAAAAAGGAACGGAAGGTTAACTTACGCCATTGAGGTCGAAGACCCCAGTGAAGGGAGCTTTACCGGCTGTGAGAGCAACACCCTTTGGCGTATTGCCATCCATCATCCACTCAACTGCGTCACGAAATTCTTGCTTCTCGAACACATGCTCCGTAACCCAGTTGGTATTCGCATCAAGGTTAGTCAGAGCTGTTATTCCGACAGCGGCGCAGACACCCTGCTTAGCCACCGTGAAAGCCTTCCCAGTAGTGCGAATGATGCTGGTCGCACCGGGGTAGTTCTGAGTGTAGATGCTACTGCTCTGCTTGCCGGGTGCACACAGTTTCATAGCAACGTCTCTGGCACCGCGTTTCTCCAACGACCTCCCAAAGAGGTCCGATGTGTCCATGCCAGCGAGTGCCGGATGTTCTGTTACCTCCGAGCTTGTGTCATTACTGTCGAATCCCTTCTGATGCGGTCGAGCCGCTCGAATCATGTGTCGTCTCTTCGTAGTTGGCGGTAGTATGCAGTTATTATCAAAGATATCTCCTTCCTTGAAGACATTCTTAGGGCTTGAACCTCCCTCTGGGACTGTAGACAAGTCCGGCAAGTTTGCTGGGCTGGGACAAAGACTGATCTCTGGCAGTTTGGGCTCGGCTGGCGTGTTCGGATTACCACAGCAGAAATATGAGTATGTCCCAGAGCGACAGCCAAAGCCATCAGTTGCAACAGTCACTTCTCCGCTCTCACAGCCTGTTTTGCAGTCTGTTGAAAAGTCAAAAAAGAGGTTGGCGAGGGGGCCGGACAATATCTGCTTCCATTGAACCCAGGCAGTGTTTCCGGATCGCCTACAAGACAGTCGGTCAAAAATTCTGGTAGTATTTGGTGGAATAGTACTTGCCATTTGCATTCTTTCCAAGGCACGGGATCTTTGCAGCAATAGCTCTTGAAGCCTCCGTTGTAGGCACACGTTTGCTGGCCTCCCTCCCCCTGCTTCCCAGTGGTCAGCTCCTTCGGCTTGTCCTTGTTAGGACAGCCGTATGAAAGGAAGGAGAATGCTCCAGCAACAGGTGTCGTGCCGAGTCCAAGGATGGAACCGAAAGTCGCGCCTGCTGAGCAAAATGGGGCAGCACCGAGCCACTCGCAAGAGTCAAGAGTACTTGTGGAATCAGTCTTGGTGCAACACAAAGACTTATGCCCAGTCCAGCATCCGTCTGTGCTGGCAGCAATCTCGATCTCCTTGCCACTGCATCGGTTCTTCGCGAGCGCGCCACAGAACTTGGGGCTTCCCTTCCACTTACAAGTTGGTGGATTCTTTGACGGACAGCAGAAGTTGCGCTTTCCCTGATTGCATCCTAGCTCGATGCCAAGTGGACTGGCGTTGCTCCCTGAACTCTCGACCGGAACGAGACCAGATGGGCACGATGCACCGCACTCGCCCCAGACACACTGGCTGTGGTCGCTGCTGACTGCTTTGGCGAAGAGAGATTTCGACAAGTCGGTTCGGCCCGAAGCTTTCGCTAGAGCCTTGATGGCAGTCCCCTTAGCGTCATCTGTCGATGCAGCCCACACCATGACTCCTCCAAGACACTTGCCGTTGGCGTAGTCCATCTTCAACTTGAGTGTCTCTTCATCGTCGTAAGAGACCCACTGATTACCACCCCAAGTGACAATTTTGACGGCTGCTGTCTTGTCTGTTGTCACTTGAGCTCCGCCCTTGTCTATGATCTCTTGGATCTCAGAGAACATCAATGTCCCAGCAGACGCGGAACATCTGCCTGGGGCGCCACCGGCGCTGAAGCCACAACCGGCGGTCTTGCAACTTGGATTCGAGAGGGTGAAGCTGCGTCCGTAGAACCCCATGCCCATGACGACCTTCTTCGGGTCGACATCATTCCGCCATAGAAGCTCGAGGGCACGGTCGATTTCTGTCAAATTCGTGTGGCTGTTGACGTACGGCCCCAGATAAGGGTTCGTGCCATCCCAAGTGCCGTGTAAGTCGTAGCTCATCATGTTGAACCAGTCCAAGTATGGCTGGATGTTCTTGAGGTCGAAGTGCTGAAGGTACCAGTATGATGCCGGTAGCGTGATAGTGAGGCCCTTCGTTCCCAGTGCTGCGCGCAGATTCTTGAGAAAAGTGACCAAGTTCTTGTAGTCTTCAGGTGTGCCAGAGCGTTCCTCGGCAACGGGATATTCCCAGTCGATGTCGACACCATCGAAGCCATATTTACTATCGGAGGTCTTTTGTTAGTCAAGCCTCATTGAGATAGATTGTTTAGCAAATAATGACTCACTTCATAAAAGACAAAAGAGATGAGAAGAAGGCGTCTTGCTTCGCTTTTGATGCGGCCAGTTCAGAAAACGTGCGCTTGGTCGGCTGGTCAGGGTCGTTCATACTCCAACCCCCAATGGCAATCTAAATTGCAAATATGAGCGACAAGTCCTTCTAAACGGATCTGAAAATTGAAATCTCACCCAGACTTCCATCCCAGGGTTGTAGTTCTTCAGTGCTGTGAGTCGAGGCATGAACTTCGAGTCGGAGTCTTGCATATTCGCAATCTTATACGAGGTCGGGTCAATGAAGGCGAAAGCGTAGTTGAGATGAGTGTAAGCCGTGTAGAGTAAGTCCTCAGGGTTCACTAAAGAAACTTTTGTTAATTGCCTCCTATTTATCTTGGAAGAATTACTTGAAAAGGCAATCACAGGACTACTTTAAGAGGCAATAACCGTAAAGAGTAATTCGTCTTGGAAGGGAATTGCTCTTAAGGGCGATTCAATTTGGAGAAAACAAAACTTGGTCAAATGAAGATTGCCTTGAGTGGTAATTTGAACTTACATCCATTGCAGGCCTTTGTTGTTGACCACCCTTCATAGTAGCCGATCACTCGCTTGCCTGCAGAAGAGCCACCGGGGCAACTTGGTGCCTTGACCTTTTTGTCGCCGCAGAACTCCTTGGTAGTTCCGCAAAAGCCAAACTTGGAGCAGCATACGTTGAGGGGGCACTTTTCTCTCTGGCTCCAAGCGGATCCCCAGCCTGGGTCACATTCGCTCTTCGCACCGCAACTGGAAGTGCAGTTCGCGGGCGCGCAATAGCTAGGCCCAAGGCCACAGACCTAGTTCTCCAATCAGCAATTGTACCTTCCTCTGAATCTGGGATTTTGCGAAATCGGAGTCACTCACATTATTCTTACCGCAGCAGCCAAGTTTGCATGGCTTGGTGGGGGAACAGCTGTAGTCCTGCTGAGCTATCACGCCTGATGCGGCGAGTAGGAGACAGAACACCAGCACAGCCGGTTTGAGGAGCTTCATTCTTGCAATTGCGTGAACTTTCAGTGTAAGTGATTTCGGGTTGAAATGCCTCATATCCCCGAGATAAACTCATTCTTTTGTTTCTTCGTGGAAACCCTAGAAAAGGAAACGGCTTCGGCTGGCCCGGATTCCAAGGGGGTCCCAGATTTGATCACATGGTGACTAGAGACAAGTCGTATCACATTCGAACTGTGTAGGACTGTGTGGAAGTGACGATCGACTCAGACCTCAATCAACCTGCCTCCCTTCTTCGAAATCAGGGGTAGTCAATCAAGACAGGTGATTGTTGGTATCGTGGCAAGCTTGAATCGTTCCATCGTACTCCGGACTTCTAACAGCTTCTGAATATGTCTTAACTAGTCAATTGCAAATTGAAATTGACTTTGCCATCGGCATAAAAAATGATCTGATGTTCAAGTTGACAACGCTGATTTGGCGCCACAAGTGTGATGGAGCAAGGGGACACTTGGGATAAGGTGCTTCATGATGTCGTGTTTCTATCGCCCTGCGTATCTGTCTGCTACCTCATTATACATCACATGCGCCATTTAGTAACAGTAAGACAGTTCTTGCCAGTCGATCAACTACATAGGATGGTATTCTAAGTGCAATGTGTTGACTTAGGTGAGGTGGTAAGCTCATGCATGTCAGATTGACTCAAATGACTGTACATCGGGAAGCAAAGACAGACCTGAGACAACGATCAGCGTTTGACTCTTCCTACAGCTGCTTGGCAAAATTTCAGCTCATGTCTTGCTAAAAAAGAAGCTTTCAATATGACAGTGCACGAATGGTTGGAGGTCGGATGCCCGAAGTAATCCTCGACATTAGTAGGTATTCCACACTTACATAGACCTTTGCTCTCCTGATTCCATCCACCTTGAGGTTATCGGTCAGGAACACATCTCGAAGAAACCCATTTTACTCACCTAAACTTGAAGCAGTTGAACTCATTATGAAGTCAATTGTGGCTTTGAGCCTGACTATTTCGTTATGGCCAATGGCCATATTCGCTGACCCAAGTGTGAGTTCTCCCGGGCTGCTCTAGATATATCAGAGAGTAGTATACCGAATGCAAACGTCAACTAATCTGTATTTAGTTCTTCTTCTTTACCAATCAATCTGGCACTGTCTTCGATGGCATCTCGTCCGGATGCAACTTGGCAGTATCAGCCCCTGTCCCAGAATGCCCCCGAGAACTCTTGAACCTCCTCGGAGGTGGCAGCTATCATACGGTACTCAATGAGACTGTCATGGGCGTTCTTTGCGGATCTGAGTGTTCTCCAGCATTGGCCACTTATAGGAGCAACGTCGTCTCTCAGTGCGCCAAAGATCCCCAACCTAGGAGTGGCTATCCGCCGACCTACTGGGTTGATTCTACTACCGCTGTTAGAACGCAAATGTGTCTGAAAGACTCTAAGACCGGAGAGTACTGCACTCGTAAGTATGGATCTCTCGTTAAACATCCCGGGTCCGTGATCTGACTTCGCACGAAGAATACCTTGAGCGAGTACTCGGCGATGCCACAAGCCCAGCAGACCTGCTCGGCGGATACTCCACTGCCCAGCTGTGCTCCGAGTGTCTGGTCAACCTATTCCGCCATCAACAATCGACCCCGTACTCAAACTATGACCCCGAAATGGCTCAAGCGTGGGCCGCCATTCAGTCAAAGTGCAGTCTCAGTCTTCCAACAGCAACCCAAACGTTGAAGACAAATGTCACGTCGCTTGGCAACTATGCTCCACCTGGGTATGCCACTGCAGTCTGCGTTGCAGGCCGCACATACACGGTGGCTGCTAGTGACAACTGCATTGATATCTCCAAGAAGAGTGGCGTTTCGACGGGCTCATTGATTACGCTGAACAGCCTGCGGATGGACTGCACGAACATCTTTGCTGGTCAAGTAAGTTCTTGAATCCTCTTTGAGAAGGACCATTGCTAGGACTTCGTTTGGCTGAAATCGAGGATTTATAGAGTCTCTGCCTTCCACCTACTTGCGCTAGTTATGTGGTTCAAAGCGGCGACAACTGTTTGAAGGTCGCCTCGCAATTCAACACTACCTACCAGCAAGTAATCGCTTGGAATCCAAGTAAGCTTTGTCTTCTGAAAATTGTGGCTGAGATCAAATATCACTTTCTAACCGCGAAATCAGCCGTCGATAGCTACTGCACCAACTTGATCGCAGGCCAAAATATCTGCGTTGGGCCACCTGGTGGTGTTCTCAACTTCACGACGATCCCAGGTGCAACCGTAACTAAGACTGCGATCTATGCGTCCGCTACGGCTGATAGACCAGCGCCTGTCGCGAGCGGAACCACGACCAAGTGCGGCAAGTACTACAAGGTCCAACTGGTATGCCCCTCTGAACTGTGCAGTTACAAAGTAACATGGGCTCAGACGAAGCTCGTCCTTGAGGCCGAAGTATCAATCAACACTAACCGTCAACTTTCGCATTGATGTAGGGCGACTACTGCGAGCTTGTGGCTTTAAACCAGACAGTTTCGTTGGATCTATTCCGTGCGATGAATCCCCAGGTGAGGTGAAAAATAACTTATACGCTCAAAGGCCGGAACTCAACTAACGGCATGACCCAGATCAACAGTGGCTGCACTAATTTACAGGCCAATGTGTTCTATTGCGTACTGCCCACCCAAGACTGGAACACCACAGCGACTTCAACAACCGTGCCGGCTCCAACTACCACACCTCCCGGAACCACGGACAAGTGCTATCAGTGAGTCTTTCGGTTTTTGCTGCAAAATATGCAATTATTCCAGCTCTTCAAAGCTCACTCTTTTACTTTTTTTTCAGGTGGTATGTGATCCAGTCTGGAGACTATTGCGCCAAAGTCCAGGACAAATTTGCGATTTCTTTCGAACAATTTCGTGCATGGAACCCTGTAAGCCTAGGATTCACCGGGAACCACTGTTAAGTTGCTAACGAGGAGTCCTAGGCAATCGCAAGTGACTGCTCCAATCTGCAGCTGGGGGTGGCATACTGTGTCCAGGGCGTCGCTTCTCTCGCAGCACGGGCGACGGTTGACGCCGGCAGCTACTCCGACCCCAACCAGGTAGCTCATTATCGAAGGAACGGAGCCGGACCTATTGAGACGGGAGTGTCCGAGTCTGAAGTGGGAGGCGTTGCTATCGGGTGGCCTGGCGTGGACTCTCCAAGATTGAGAAGGGCAATGGGATTGTCAGAGAGAACTGAGTTGTAGAGGGGTTATTCTTTGCTTGTACAGACGTCAACCCTTACATCTCGCACATCTAGATTGTGCACGTCCCAACAATTGGATCCAGACTAAAATCTACGGCGCTTTCGCATTCTTTCTGGAGATGGTGCCGTAGACCACCAAATATCTTCCAAGTCCTCGCCCCCAGATGCACTGGCTTCGATGTCCGCTAGACTTTCCAAGCCTTTAACACTTCGCGTGATCCTTCTCAATGGCATGATATCCGAGTCGAGAAGCCACCAAAACTCTTCGACAATGGTCTCTGCGGCAACCTTGAAGATTGGCTTGAACCACTCCCTCTCTTCGTGGCCCTCCTCCAACCCGGGATCCGTGTCTGCGGCGACCGCGAGAAAGAATGGTGCCGATGCCCGCCACCATTTGGACTTGGTTGTCGGTCGGTCACCTTCGCCCAAATCCAATACAGATGCTACCACAGCCGAAGATGCGACGAGAAATACTTTCTCTGAAAGGCCGGCTGGAAGATCGGATTTCATGTTGTCGAACTTGTCGCGCAGGTCATCGGCGGTGGCACCGGCGAAGGCCGGATCCTCAACCCATCGTATCTCGAATTTAGACTCGGCATCATTGAAGTACTCTGGCACATCGGCTCCGTCTGCATCTCTTTGAAAGGGAATCTCAACGATTCTCTGGGCCTGCCTGGCGAAGGTCACCCATCGTTCCTGGTCATCGTAGCAGGCCGTTCGGAAGGCCACCATTCCCCACGTCTGACCCTCGTGGCGCTGCTTCCAATGCTTCAGCCAGTTCGGGGGCCTGTACTCGACCTCCGACTTCTTTGCAGTCTCAGCAGTCGACTCGTCGCCGGTTCTTTCTGCATCGCGTTGCTGCTCCTCGAAGACGTGCATCGCCAGCTGCCCTACACCTTCCTCTCCTAGGACATCCCGTAATCCGGCCTGCATCTTCAGCAGTTCGTCTACGGGAAGAGAGGTTACGTCGTCCGCGGTTGCATGTCGATAGCGGTTGTAGTTCCAGCCCGGTGGCCAGTAGGAACTGGATGCATCCGAGTAGACAGGTTGGGTGGTAGGAGTGGCAACCTGGGGCGTATCCGGCTCCGGTGCGTCCTCGGCGAAACTGGGGCGCGGCATCTCGTTTGTCGATCGATTCTCTCAAGCAAGTTCTCCACGGATCAATACACGGAAGTGTAGATGTTGGACTTTGTATTTGAGACGTCAATGAAAAGCTGGCGAACAAGTTGAATCGAACTGATGTCAGGAGCAGGAAGGAACCCCTCCGATGACATGCACCTTCCCTTACTTACACCACCTCCTTACATAAGAGCGGTACGTACTCCCAGACATCAATCAGCCCCTGATTGACTGAGTCTCACTCTCACTCTCACTCTCACTCAAATATCACACACGTCTGCGTCAACTTCATGCAGTCTCACTCTGCACGTCGTCATTTAACATCACACTGCCGGTCTCAACTGGGTCTAGCCTTTGTGGTGATGAGATACATCCGATGACCGGCTAATGGGACGATTCTTCTCAGGATCAATCTAAATGATGATGCAAACCCATTTAGGGAAATGCTGAAGTGGCCAGCCGTGCACTGGGATTAGTCTAAGTGTGATCATTATTTGGTGCTCAAATTGATTCAACAAAGGAGAGATATATGATTAGATCTAGACACATTCTAAGGGTATTGTTCGTAATGAATCATGCTTGGACACATCATAGAAAGACAAAACCATAATACGTAAAACTTTTATCACAGATTCCCACCGACAGGCTTCATGCAAGGAAACTTCTACTCCTCGTCACTCTCGGAGCTGGAATCATCGTCGTCCTCATCGTCATCATCTGTAGAATATTAGTAATTGTAATGCTGAGTTCATAGACGTTGACATGTGCTTACCATCAGCCGGGGTCTTGTTCTCAGCAACACCGTTGGCTCTAACGCGAACCTGCTTGTAGTGAAGAGGATCGCTCTTCAGATCCTCACCCTCGACAGCAGCGCCGCCATCCTGCACGTACTCCTTCAAGTCGGCAAAAAGCTCCTCGCCGAACGCGCCAGACTTCTTGGCTCTGGTAATCAACTGGCCCACAACGCTGGACGCCATCTTGGCAGGCGTGTTGAGGATCTTCTCAATCACCTCACGATGACCGAAGCCACACTTGGCGTGAGGGTCGTCGACGGGCGCGCCCTCGGCCGAGCTGTCTCGGAAGCGCAGACCGGGAGTCTGGTAGCGACGGATACGGACTTCGCCGTAGGCCCTGGCGAGATCGACGGCGCTGACCTTGATCTTGGCGGGCTCGGGAGGGGGCCACAGCTTCGACTTGGTCAAGCCCATGATGGCGGATCCGAGGAGGAGCTGCTCGCAGTCTTCCGCGGTGCCATCCTCGGTGCCCGCGTGGCAGTAGCGAATCTCCTCGCCAGGGTAGCAGGAGGGGTTCAGGAGGCGGTGGACGGGGTTGCTGACGGCCTTGATGATTTTATCAATGGCCTCAGCACGGGTGGTGGTAAGCATGCGGATGACTTCGTCCGAGATGGGCTGGTCCTTCCAAGGACGGCCCTTGGAGTCTTGGAGGGCTCCGTCCGGTCCTACACGGGACTTGTAAGCCGCCTTGGCCAGTACGCGACTGAACCAGCGGGCCTCGCCAAAGACCCAGCTGAGGACGAGAGTCTTGTCCTCATCGTTGCGGGCGCCGGCCATAAGAACGTGGCGGTTCAGAGCAATGACCCAGTCGTTCATGAAGGGGACGAGCAGGTGGGTGGCGGCGTACTTGTCGGAAGCGAGGGCTAGGTCGTACAGGTCGCCGACGTTGGGCATGGTGGGGAGCTCGTGGAACTTGAAGTGGGCAATGGAGAAGAGCACGTCCAGACCGCTGGCTGTGTCGGCAGCAGACTGGAGCTCAATCACGCTGGAGGTGTTGTTGGCGAGCAGCTCCTTCCAGACGCGGGAGGCAGATGCGAGAGCGGCGGAGCGGACGGAGTACACGATGAGGGAGCCATTTGAGTCGCGGACCTTGATGTGGAGGTCGGAGTCCTCGTGGTAGGAGATTCTCTTATCGGCCTCGGGGGTAGCCGGGCGAGGAGGGAGGATTGCGACGCGAGTTGCGAGCTGGGCGCCCTGCGGCTCCTGTGCCTCGGCCTCATTCTTCTCCTCATCTTCCTCCTCATCCTCAGAAGAGGAATCGTCGGCGTCATCCTCGGCAGTCTTAGAAGTCTCGGCTACGGAGGCAGCCTTGGGCTTCGCGGACTCGGCTTCGGCGGGGGCGGGGGCCGAGGAGGCGTTCTCCTCTTTCTCTTCGGGGACGGTCGTGGGCTTGACCTTCTCGTCAGGGATAGAGGGGACGGCGGGGAGGGCGGTCTCCTTGGTGCCGAGGAATGACTTTTCCCGGCCGGGCATAGCGGTCATGGGTCTCTTAACCTCATCGCCATTGTTTGATTGGACCAGAGAAGGGATACTCTGAGAGGAGTCGGAGCGCTTCATGAAGTAGCCATCCTTGACGGGGCCGAAAGTCGGAGTCGGAGGGCTGGAGGTGGCATTTTCGTTGGTGGTCTTTGTGGTAGGGGCTCTATACACTTGTTAGTACGAAATCTCACTCAACGTCGGTATAAGTAAACAACTTGTGCCGGTACAGATTCCTCGAAAAGGAGCTTATACAGTACTGGAGTGGCATGGGAAGCGAGGGCATAGCAGAAAAAGACCAAGGAACGCTACCGAAGGGAGGATATTCGCAAAGGCACAGACGGCGGCCGCGGCGGCAACACTCTTTTAGGATGCCTCACGATTGTGCTCGCAGAGCGGCGCCCTCCTTGAGGGTCTTCCGCCATTGCATCTTGATCCTGCCAGTGACGATGCTGGGCAAAGGAGTCATCAGGCGCGTCACCCTTGGGTGGTGTTGGCGGACTACGAACACCCGTGTAAGAGAGGGAAGCTGATTGGAGGCGAGTTGGGTTTGGTTGGGTGTCGACGTTGTTGTTTGGAGCCGCGACAGACACGTCAAACATGCAAGACGACGAACTCGTCGAGCTTGAGTCGATGGACCGTTGAACAACTGGAGGGGCATGCATCTTTGGTGGAGATATTCAAAGCCGCGGCGCCCGCTGTTGCAGCCGGTCCGGTCGAAGCGGGACCCCTTTCAGGGTCCAGCATAAAGGCAGGGGTCGAGGCGAGCGATGCTTGCAGGGGGATGGGCAGAGGATAGAGAGAAAGAAGAGCGGTGAAGCTGGATATCGTGGCCGGGACAACTGAAAGAAGAGAGAAAACAACTTTGAAGTAAACAAAACAAAACATACCTCTTGAAGCGGTTGTTGAGGAAGAGAAAACCACTTCCAGACTTGCGACGTTCGGGATCTTGACCAGAGGGGGTTCTCCGGTGAGACTCAAAAAGTGCGGGAGACATTGTGAGGGGGTATCAACGGCCGTAATTTCGGAAAACAGGAAACAAAAAAAGAAGACGGGAAAACCAAAAGCGAAATTCGTCACGCCAAATGAAAAGCAACTGCTAGACGGAGAAGCAGTTATGCAAAGGTCTCAGATGTCGTGAGTCGTGACCAAACAGAGATGAGGAAACAAGAAAGAAGAAAGGCAAATGCGAACACTGGACTTGATGCTCATATATATGTGCTCGTCGGTTCATCAGCCCGAGATAACCATGTTCGCAGTTCTCAAGCTCAGTATTCGTATGGTATCCACCAAGAGAGTCGGTATGGCAAATCAAAGTAATCAATACTGCCCGTCCACCGTCCGTGAACCTCTCGATGGCCAACATTCTGGAGTCGCCGAGGGGTGGTGCGGCCCACCGAAGTGGCTGGCCAACTAAACCTGAACCAAGATTAAACGAAATGGAAGGTCGAAAAAAAACATTGGGCACCGAAGAAAAAGCTCGCGAGTCGCATAAACAATCACCGCCCTCTATGCGTGCCGCCCTCTTTCTTCACCGCTGGCATCGCGTCGTCGCCTCGCCGGACGACCGCGTCCAGGGCTCCTGGGAAAGATTGGAAGATTTTCTCACGAACCCTTGCTGGATATGGCACTCTTCTCCCCCCGGGAGCTCGGGACACCTGCAGAATTCTTTTCGAGATCCACCCCGTAGTGACATTTTAGCGCAGTTCGCGTTGGATATCCTTGGACATCCTTGGATATCTCATCCATCAGCAGGGGGGATGCAGTCACATTTGGCGATCGCCTCCACCGCCCTTTGCATGAAGCACCCTTGGCTGCATGAAACATTGACGGCGGCCGTTTCTACCGCTCTTTGCTTGTGAGGATGGTTTTGAAAATCTGGGAAGAAGGAGGATATTCACCAACGTCGGGTGAGGCTGTCGAAGTTTTGAGGCGAGAAAGGCGACTCGAGGACTGTTCACATGTTGGTGGATGAGAACACATGTAGCCATATGGTGTGATGGCCTACGAGTTGTGCATGCACGAGAGTTGTGCATCTTTGACTAAGTACTTAGGTAGGTAGTCATTGGAGGGAAGACCGTTTCTGATATCTCTTGTTGCAAGCTAAAGCATGGAGGCTCTGCAAGAGAGGGTCGAGAAGAAGACTAAACCCAGCCTCCTGCAGTCACTCGCTGAAAGAATGATTGGGCAGATCGGAGGGTGCATCTAGATTCGGCGGGAGATGCAGGATGCGCGTTGAATCGTCAAACGATTTCTCGGCTTCCCATGACCCTGCAGTTTTTTAGTTCACGTTAGGCACAAATGCTTCATAACAAGAGCACGGTCCATGATGCTTTATACAAGTTGAATATTGGGAATAATTTGTTATGAACATGTCGCAATCCTCTCCTGACCCAAAACTCCAATTAATGCCCAAAGATTTAATAGAAAGAAGCAGCTTCAAGCTTTTGCAAACCCCATGCCACTTACTGCCCAACGATGACGCCAGGAGAAAGCTCCAATCCTATGGGCAGTCCCTTGATAAACTTCTGGGTAAAGGGAGCCCCCGACCGTTGAGCAATGACCTCCTCGATGTCCTTGTACATGTCGTATCTGTCATGTCATTAGTCATGATAAGAAAAATATCGTTGGAAGCTGTACAACTTACCCGTTCATCTCCTCAATGGTGAGCTTAGCTCTCTCATCCGCAACCTTGTATGTGCTGGTGCTGGTGTTGTTTGAGAAACCTGAGTGAGGATCAGCTTCATGTGTTTCTTCAAAAAGGTACCTTTGGTTTATCGGGCTTACCAATACGCTCGTTGATGTTGTACGCGGCCTTGGCAGCGGCCGACTGCACACGCGTGGCGCGGGGCAGACGGACAGTGTTGTAAACTTCCAAAGTGTCTTTAACATCTCCGTTGAAGTACTTGGGGTGGAAGAGAATTCCAAGAGCAGCGGCATCTTCAATGGCCATGCATGCACCCTGACTTTGGTGAGGCATCATCTAGAGGGCTTCAGTTAGATTTGGCTTCGCATCGGATGGATGGCTCGTTGACTTACAGGATGTCCCGCATCACCCAACAGACAAACCATGTCCTTATTGACGTAAGGGTAAGGGTCACTGCATTCAAGTCAGAATCATGAACTGAGAGTAAATGATTGGATAACTTACTGCATCCACAGACGCCAGGGCTGGATATCCTTGCCGATAGCGAGATGCGCAAGGACCTGCTTGTCAAGCTCAGGGTACGGCGCCAGCAACTCCTCGACGGGGCGGTCCTCGACACCCCAAGCCTGGTTCACGTAGTCGCCCTTCTCTCTAGGGAAGAAGCAGTAGTACGACAGCAGCTTTCCGCCGTTGCAGGGCGAGAGGACGATCTTGTCCCACTTGCCCTCCTGACCGCCCCAGTACTCGAGCGCGGCGTCTTGCGAGTAGTCGACGAGGCCGGCCTTGACGGCGTCCTCGGTGAGAACGTTGGCGTGCAGACAGCTCGAGTCGGCCGGGCGCTTCTCCGGCTTGACGCCGATCAAGCCTCGCACCACGCTGCCGATGCCGTCCGCGCCGACGATGAGGTCGTGTGTGGCAGTCAGGCCGGTGTCGAACTCCACCTTTCCGCTGGCCAGGTCGATGTTCTTGCACTATTATGGGGAAACTGATTAGCTGCTGGAAGAACGTCGAGTTTGGAAGGGAATGTCTCACCTTCTGGTTGACCAATAGCTTGGCCGGAATACCCTCGCCCTCCTCCTGCATCGCCGTGTCCTTGAGCATTGCGTGCATGTACTGACGGTGGAACATGTTGTAGACGTATCCCCAGCGCTTCTCGTAGTCGTCAAGGCTGTACACGCTGACGGGTTCGCCCGTCTTCCAGTCCCTGTTGATGAGGCTCTTCAGGACGACGGGGTCGCCTTTCTCGACGTCCACACCCCACTCGTGCAGCCAGCGGGTGCCGTTGGCGGCGCATGAGACGGAGGCGCCGACCTCACCGGCGAAATCGTTGCGCTCGTAGATGGTAACCTTGTGTCCGGCCCGGCGCAGCGCGATGGCGACGCTCATGCCGCCGATGCCTCCGCCGACGACACCGACATCAAGTTGCCTCCAACCAGCTGGAATAGATCCCATATTGTATGTTTGATGATGACTGAGCTTGTCAAAGAGGGTATCGCAAAGTTGTTTAGAATGGAGAAGTAGAAGAGTGCTCAGTCCGATGGCGTGTGAGTGATGAAACAGAAGAGACAGACAACGATGAGATTGCCGCGATATGTATACTCATGGACCGTCATCATTGTCGGGGCGGTACCTGTCAGATGAAGCATCACCACACCCTCCCGTCCCATCTCTACCCCATCCCGTCCCGTACGTGCGGCTTTCCGCGGTGTCGTCGATAACAGCCACCAGCTCTCTGAGACCATCTCACCCGCGCTGCGGCTACGGGATTAGGTGCAATAACCGCCGCCAACAGTGTCCCTCGATAACCTATTGAAGACCCCCAAACTAGGTACCTTCAATGGATGTTCCATGGAGGTCGGCCAATAACGAAGGCACTGGTTATCACCTAGTCCCAGCGGGTCGGGTCTCGGCTGGGATCCGAGATCCTATCTGCAAGCAGTGCGCGGCCCGCCCACCACTTGGTGCAATTACCGCAATCTTTTTGCACTGTCTGCTTCCGTCCTTCCGAATCACAGTGCATCCGAACAGTGTCGATGTGTCGATCCAGGGCAGTTGCTTGACTTCCCAGCTAATTATCGCACGGCTTTTTGGTCATCAGACTAGCCAAAGCCGCCAGAAAGCGAGCGGTGTTGGGAATGTTTCGACCCCAGACTTTGCAGCCAATGAGTAACATGAACAGGCAATGCCTGGCGATGCGACGTTCACTTTAGCCAACCAGCGTACGCGAGGAACACTCTTCTGGGCAATGTTGCACGCAAGAGGGGAACCGCACTTAGTTTGAACTAACGTTTAGGAAGTTCCGAAGCTACCAAACTGTCGTGCCTAGGTAGTCTTACCTCAGTATTACCTTTGTTCGCGGTTGATTATCCGACGTAACATTACCCGCCCGTCATGAGCTCTGAATACCAGTGCTACTAGGTAGTGTTCTGTCTGATAGCAAACGGGCTCTAACAACGGAATTCTAGAAAGTCATTTCATCATCTTCAGTGAAGCAACTCAACTAGGCTCTCTTGGCCATTCCATCAGCGCTTCCTCTCATCAAGAATACAAACTTTCTATCCATGCATCCCTGGATTTTTGAGTTGTGGTGGTCAGTTCCACGATGGTTCAATGAGTTTCTCGATAATTCCCAGGCAACCAATATATAAAATGTTCCAGTATCCAGAGCTAGCACGTCCTCGGTATGACGAAACCAATCATTGAAGCTGTAAAGTAAGGAGGTATATCATCTGCCGCTAAACCCAACCATTTACCGCTATGTGTGGTAGTCACCATAGGATAGAAATATGCTGCGCACTTCACGTCAATGAGACCATTTTCCAGAAATTCGGCTGTTGTCAGTCATCAAACACTTGTACCTGTAGGCTTATAGACGAAAGAAGAATGAATCATGATAAACAGCCGTATACCTCTGACTACCGTATCTTCATCTAAATAAACAAAATTGAAAATACCGCAAAGACTCAAAGCCCATGACTCGGGGACTAGGGAGCGTCATATCAGGATGTACACTAGAAGTAAGTATGCTACCGGGTACCGAGAACCTCCATCATGGTTGGCGCGTAGGTAAATCAGACGCAATGGTGAAGGTGGTTACTTAATCATACTTGTTTGCAACATTAACAGACACTGAAATTGCTCATGAGGTTTTGGTTCGGAAGTGTGAGAGAGCGACGTTCAAGATGAGAACTTTGGTCATAATTGGATTGCTATCCAAGCTACAATTCTGTCATCACACGCCTCTGACGTGAGCTCCAATTCATGAGTATCCCAATTTTAACCATCAACGCCATTAAAATGCTCAATATTCGTGCAACCTTGTGTGTAACAGTCTTAGCCCTGGCCAAACTGAGGGGTGTTGAGCGACATCGCCATCAGCAAACCACCGATGAGACCCGCGCAGGGCAATGTGACGATCCAGCCGGAGAAGATGAAAGCGACTTGGCGCCAGTTCACAGCACCAACGTCAAAGTTCATCAGCGCCACGCCAATAACAGCCCCGGTCAAGCACTGGGTGGTACTGACGGGGAGACCGAGACGGCTGGCCAAGAGCACGGTAATCGCGGCGCCGAGTTCCATGGCGAATCCTGAGAGCGGTGTTAGTGACAAGAAATCCCCTTCGATAGGAAGCTGGCTTACCTCTTGTGGGTGAAAGCTGAGTAAGCTTGTTTCCCATGGCCTTGATAATGTGGTGGCCCATGAACCAGAAACCGGCACCGAGCAAGAAGCCGGCAACGACCAGGATCCAGATCGGAGTGTCTCCCTTCTCGCTAACTTCACCCGTCATGTAAACCTGGTACGCAGCCACCCAAGGGCCGACAGCGTTTGCAACATCGTTGGAACCGTGAGCGATGGACATCATCATCGCACTGGCAACCTGAGCATAGGTCCACAGGTGCTCGACGCGGTTGTCGTACTTCTTGGCCTTGCCGTGGATGGCAGCGAGCTGGGACGAGGCGTGTGTGACGCAATCACGGGTAACTCCCTGCAGGAAGAAGTACTTGATGAAGCTCCAAATGCGTCTGGGGTTGTGGATAGGGAGGTGGGCGGTCGGGGCAAGGAAGCGCTCTTCGGGCTCGGGCATGCGCTTGTATCTTTGCACCACTGCTGGGTTCTCTTGAGTCTTCTTGCCACGTTCGACATCCTCAAGGGACATGGGGACGGGGGAAGGTGTATCAGAATTGCTGTCGTTTCCGACCAGCTTCTCGCCTCTATCGCTGCCACCCTCGGTCTTGACAGCTTGCTTCTCGACATCGCCTTCGTTGGTGGGATTTGAATCATCGTGGGCGCTTGCGTAGTAATCGATGACGACTTCGTTTCCTTTCGCGGGCAAGTAGATTGGTGGGTTCTCCATGTACAGCAGAGGGCCAAGGAAGATGTGACGGAGACGAATGCGAGTATCCTCCTTGACCAGCCTTCGGTGGACGTAAGGCACAAAGAAGATGTAGGAGAGGAGAAGAATCCCGAAGAAGACACCGAGGATGATACCGCATACTGTACCGGCACCAAGTTCCTCAAGCGACGGTGCACCGGGGGCCTCGACCGTGATGAAGAGAGCGAGGATAGCAGCCGTGAATGCCAGGTAGAAAGGAATGGCCTTCATAGCCTTCTCGAAAGAGTTCTCGCGTTCCAAGACGGTGAACTTGAGACTGCCGAACAGGATGGCGGCAAACGCAGCCGAGATACAAGGAGCAATGCCCCAGGATGCGGCGATCTGGGAGACACTGCCGTCACTCCAGGCCCAGGAAACCTGTGCCTGGGCAGCGATACCGACACCAACGAGCGCTCCGACGATGGTCTGCGTCGTGGAAACCGGATATCCAACTTTTGTAGCAGCAAGTAGCCAGAAAGCACTCGCGAATTCGGCGCAGCCCATAGCGAGGATGAGCGTGGAAGGTGTCGTGCGGAACCGGTCGAGCTCGATGATGTTGTTCTTGATTGTGCCAGTGACCTTGGAGCCGAGAACGACGGCACCGAAAAACTCTGTGCACATGGAGAGGAAGCCGACCTGGGGCATGGTCAAGGTCCTGGCTGCCACTGAGGTGGCATATGAGTTGGCGACATCGTTTGCTCCGTTGCCTATGGAGCTGCCGCAGAAGGCGATGGTGATTACGGCGATGATCCAGTCATACTGCGTAAGGACAGGAACAGCCATGATGAAGGCGGACTTAGAAAGTGTTCTTGTCTTCCGGGGGACCGGGGAAGAAAGAGTTCAGAGGAGAGGGAGAGGGTTTCACCAGCAAAGGTGAGAAAGCTCGGAGGCAGAGGCGCTCGAAGTGGCAAGGCTTGTCGACCTCTCTCTCAAGGTTGCCGAAAGCCCTGGAGCGCCACGATCTTTATACCGACAGCTTGCCGTTATTATTAAGACGACTGGAAGCTCTGACTGTTCTCATCCTTCTCCACAACCTCGATGGCAAGCCCTTCAGGGTTCATGTTTCTGGAGTTCTTGGCTATAGCCACCTCAGCTTGAGTCTTGGTCAAAAGAGGAGGGGGAGAGGAGGGTGAAAAAAACTTCTCAACGGTACGTGTCTGTTTCGATACTGTTCAGTAAGCTACAAGATGGCATTCTTGCCCCGACATGCCAGTGTCGCGAGTCCTCGACCCATTGCGGTGGATGTTCTTGACGGATGCCCAGTCTGCGCCGAGCTCTGCGCTCATCCACACAGCGAGCTGAGATTGGTGAAGCGGGTGCCACTGGAGGACTTGGCCCTCTTGGCTTTCAAGGTACCAAAAACAGATCCGTCAGAGAAAACCAGCCAGTCAGAGTGGTTTGTGGGAGCACGTTGTCGTCTCAATACGCTCTCGATGATCGAGCATGGCTTATTTCTCAGTGTCTCTGTTGAGTCTCTGCTCAAGATCCCAACCCTCGTCGTAATGTCGCCAAGCCTGCGATCTGACGCTAGCAGCGCGACACCAGTCCGCTGTCGCGTGCCCTCTTGCTTCTCTGAGAGCACGGTGGGAATCTACTGGGCAGGAGGGCACGCGAGCTTTTCCCTCTTTTGCAATTCTTTTGCGTTTCTTGAGCGAGGAGTTTCCAAGGATCCTTGGTAGGGTGGCGTTCGGTATACCTCTCTGGCGACCGAGGCAAGCGGCCAAGCTTCCTCCGGGTGGTTTTTGGATGAGCGCCGTCGGTCAGATTTTCTGACGTTGGGCAACACCGCCGCGCGAGTCACGTAGTGAAGCTCTGCCAGAAGATGTGAGCCCCAGCCAAGACTGAGCTACGAGGGTTAGCGAGTCTACACAAAACCAACTTGAAGCTACTGATCTGCCTCTCTTGGCAATAAAAATCGAAAACTACTGCGATGTTCGAAGATGATGGTTTAACTTCCACCCATCACAGCTATCGCCCTGCAGCAGTGCAGCTAGCTACCTTACCTCAGCCCCCATTTGCATCACGCCTTTGAACGCCCATGGCCCTGAACTGCTTTGCGGTGCTGAATCGAATTTGCGAGAGAATTCGACTGCACATAATTAGTGAATGAGACTTCACAGCCAAAGGGAGTCGAACGGAGAAGCCCGGCAGTACTCAGCAGGTAAGCATTGACAGCAAGTGCGCCTTCGTTTCTATCCCAGCGCAACGCAATATCTTCGGCACCTGCTTCGATGCAACCCCCGCTAAGGCCCCTAAGTTCATGAGGTATCCATGAATATGGAGTCTGCTACATCACGTTATGACGATAGTCAGGCATCTTTACTGAGACTGCAAGTTGATCCCACCCGATAACTCAGTACGGACTGTAGAGTGGCTCAGCACTACTGTCGCAACCACGCGATCACGACACTTATTGAGACATGAAGCTTATTGGACGTAGTTGTTTCTGGGGACCGCCAAGACTCTTAAGACGAGGAGAACTTGTGTGATCAGCGCTCCAACCTTTGAAGCTGTGGTATTTGTCTCTATTAGCGTGAGCTGTTCGGATTGCCTCTTGGCGCTGTTTGGACCCTCACCAGCTCCGTTGCTATAAATAAGCCTCCAGACATGGACTATCAAAGAAGAACTTCAGTTGACACTTGACATCCCGTATGCCAAGGCCGGCAGTCTTTCTCGGCGTGATGCGGGTTGATCAACATCGGACCATTTGTTTATTTTGCAACCTTACTTCATTCAAGCTTAATAGAGTCAACATTGGCATTTGTTTCATCACGTAAATCATGTAATACCAGGAGCTCCAGAAATTCCTCTGCTGCCAGTCTTTTGTAGACGACAGATGTGACTCTGTCAGAAACTTGCGAGCCAACATCAACTTGCTTACTACGCACCGTAGTTATACCTCAGAAAGAGTGAGGTGTACCACGTATACGTGCAACAAAAGTCGATGACGATGATTTAAATTCCGAGGATTCAATCTATTGCAAAGAGATCTCGACGATAACTTAAGTGATCAAGGCTCCTTTCCCTCCTTTCCAAATGCTGCATTCCGCGTGTGATTTGTGAAGAAAGTTTCGATGCTACAGAAACTACGCAACCCTAATTAAATCGCGGAAAACAGACGGTCAAAATCAATGTGATTGAACCCAAGCTATCCGCTGGTCGACTAATCATTCCCTTCAATATCAAACGCTTGGCTGTTCGTGGAACTCGTTCAGAGTCTTGGCACGCGGGATTGTCCCTCAACTCACTACCGGCACCTACATGTACCTTACCTTACTTACGTAGTCTGCAGCAATGATAGGCCGAATTCCCCCGAATGCAACTTCAGGTTGACTCGAAAAACCATCGTATCGTAATGCGCAGATGTGTAAGGTAATTTGCATTGATCCTCGAGGATGGGATCTCGGAGAGGTTTTCATTTCGTAGATTATGCCGGACCTTGGCAATAAGACACACCATTAGAACGGAACCTAATAATATTGCTGATTGATGAAAGTTTACAGGCATGAGTTTGAAAGAGGAAAAAAAGGAATCACCGATGGGTAATCGAACAAAAGGTTAAGCGATGGTGTATAATGGAGGAGTTGCCCAGGCATCGTCACATAGGCCCCCGCCTTTGACCACTCAGCCATTATTTCCCAGTCACTTGTTGAGGGCGGAGGAGCAATAATACAATCAAGTACCTTCCGTGCTGTATTCGAGGTATAGACAAGCGATGGGAGGTGAATATACTCACGTGCACCTCGTGGCTCTGCCCGGTGCGATCAACAAATGACCCACATCCGCCAGTATGTCACCTGAACTACTAGTACAAATAACATCGTGTAAACATTGAAGATATTCCATAGCATAGGCAACTGCTGCAATGAAGTTGAACAAAGCATGCTTCCAGCAAAGAGATGGCTGTTCGACACAGCTTCGGCCCAGCTCCTTTATCTGCCGCCATCTTTACTTATTCGACCAAAACTTCTTATCGACTTTGTCGTCCTCAGCGGCTGGTGCTGAGTCATGCTTCTTCTCAAAGTCCTTGTTGTGCTCGTCCACCTCTCGCTGTTGCTCCTCCGTAAGCTTCTCTCCGTTGACGCTGGCGTTGGAAATCTTTGGCTGCGGTGGCTTGGTCTTCTTAGCGTCTGCAATGTCCCTGATGTCCGTGGATGCCAGACCGGGCTTGTCGCTGAGAAATCTGGCGCCGGAAGCAGCTGTTGTACGTGCGGCGAGAGGCATTGGACGTGAGGCCGCCACCGCGGATGGCAGAGCCCGTCTTCGCATAGCGTTGCTCAACATTGTGAAGAGATGAGATGTTGGTCACAATTTGCTGGTGATTGTGATTCTGGCGAATGAGTTCCAGGGGGTATTTTCAAGTCGATATCTGTAATGGCTTTAATCAAATCAATCTCTCAATGAACACCTTGATTGTTGTCTCGAGCTTCTGATAAAGGGAGAGAGCTGCATGATGTCATTCAGCCACACAAGCCGAGGCCGGGCGCATGCAGTAGCGATCGCCGCTTGTGTGATTGGCCTAGCGGCACGCAGGATCATGATGACATAGCAGCCTAACGCGGTATTGTAATACCTTGTCGTAGTTGATAGCAGGGGGGAACATAAGGAGATTGCGTTTTGCCTGTGACCTATTGTTGAGCTGACGCCAAGACACTGGAGGTATGATGCGGTTTTGATAAACATGCGGAAGGGAAACAAGAGTTGCCCTACATCACAGACGGTATAAGTAGCATAGAAACAAACGCGTGTCAATTGCTGGCTGCTATCCGAGTCTGCGAGAACGATGTGTCCTTCCATTGGCCAAATTTCACGACAGCATCGAACGAGAAAGCCAAGAAGTGTAGCTAAATCACCTCAACAGGCATATGGCTTGTGGATATCCGCTGACCATCAGCTTCTTCACACTCCTCCCATCATTTTCAGACATTGTAAGTTTCTCGCACTGCATTTGGAACGTGTTTCCCAGTATCGGAGTTGCTTGCCTCGGAGGAGATGCGCACCCCCTTTTCCTGCACGAGAACCTCGTCGGCAGATGGCCCAACTAGACGACCACTCGCATCGTGAGTGCTGTCCCATTCGGGAACGTCGGCGTTGGGTATCTTCCGGAGTTGATTGCTTTGAGCCCCGTCATCGAAGCTAACGAGCTCTTGCCTCAGCTTGTAGCCTCTCCACTTGGGAAGAAGGGAAGCCCAGAGCCAGTAGTAGGCAGCGCAAATGAGGAGACTGTAAGTCCCGCAATCAGCGTTCGCTCAAGAAACAGATGCTAGAGGAGGGATTCCACTCACATGCCGATACCAGTAACGGCGTACGTCGCGTACCAGAAGCTGACATCGCCGGCATACTGTCCACCTGCCGGAGGGTACCACGGCATGATGAGAAGGTAGAGCTGAATGCAGATGTTGAAGATGATAACCACATGCCAAGCTTTGAACTCAGGCTCCGGAAGATTAGCCTTTCTGCGGCGCCAGCGAACGACGTAGATTCCCACGGCCATGGCCAGGTTGAAGGCAGCCGTTGGGAACACTCCGAGGTCATTCACTAATGAAAGTCAGTCTTCTGCATCGAGCGCCAACTGAGTGATGAAACTCACCAAAGGTAAAGGCATCTCCGGCAGGAACCGCCAGAATCATCAGAGCCGTCAGAGACCAGATGACGAGATAAGGCCCAAGGGGAGTACCGAAGGGCTTGGTGGAAACCCAGAATCTCGTGTATGGCAAGACGCCTTGTCGGCCACACTCTCTGATGCGTCGAGACAGTCCGATGATGACTGCAATCATGTTTCCAAATGAAGCTAGTGCGATAAGAAAGTTGAGTCCCCGAACATTGCCACTGTTGCCGAAGACTTGGGTGAAGAACAAGCTCGCCACAGTGAGGCCGGACTTCTCCAAGAGTTCTCTTGGGACTGTAGCATCCTTTCGTTAGATATGATGCTGAATCTTAATCCTAAAGACTTGGACAACCTACCGGCGGCAAAGAACGCGACATTGGCGAACATGTACAAAATGTACACAGTCGTCAGTGCAGCTGTCGCATAGATCTTGAGGGATCGCACAGGATTCTAACGGAGTTTTGGATCAGTCTGGGATTATTTTTCGCCTGGCGTCATGGCTCATACCTTGACCTCATTGGCAACGTTGAAGGCGTTATTGTAGCCACCGTAGGAGAAGATGATGCGGTAGAGAGCCGTGGTCATACCATAGGCACTGGCTGTCTTGCTACCTGACCAGGCATCCTGGAAATTGGCCGTTGGGTTCTCAACCCTGGTGCCACCACCGAGTACGACAAATCCAGTAATGATCACAAAGAGCAAGGTACATATCTTCACGATTCCGACGCCATTGGAGAACCAGTATGCATACTTTGTGTTGAAAACCAGCGCTGTAGGTTGTTAGTGGATGAACCACGCCATTTCGGGCTTATGCGAAGGGTCTGGTAGCGTGGAAACTCACTCAGTGTGGCCAGACTGTAGCAGGCCAAGGCGGTGCCCTTGATTTGCCAATTGGTTCCCTCGTGTCCTGAAATGGCAATAAGATAATTGGCCATGACGGTGGCATTGGCACTTCCGAAAGAGAGAATGACGCTCTGAACCGCAAAGGTAGTTGGAAACAACCACATTGGGCGGGGATATGCTTGCTCAAGGAACACGACCTCAGATCCTGATCGACTGGGGAAGTACGCTGTGAATTCGAGATAGACCGCTCCGGAAGCAAGGCACAACTAAATGTAGGGGTAGACGTGGTCAGCATTTACTTCATTCCTGGGGCAATTGCATTGTTCCATGCAGTCATGGGTAATACCACAGGAACGTACCAAATAGCCAAGAGTCCAATAGATGAAGCTGACACCGACTGATCCGGTGCCATTCAAGATAGAAGCCGCTGAACAGATTTAGCAAAAGTTGGGCGAAAATATCGAATCGGTCGAACCTACGAGTAGAATAGATACCCGCGCCAATCATCATCGTGATGTTTAGAAGCGTGATTGTGACAGGGCCGACATCGTATCCTAGAGGCGAGTTGTTCTCGACAGGCGCTCCGGAAGCATCCTGATAGGTAGGAGGCGCATCGTTTCCTCCTTTCTCGCCGATGTACTGTGTGCTGCCATTTGCGATCTGCTCTCGCTGGCCTTCAACAACTGTCCCTTGCGCGCTAGCGCGATCGCCAAACGGACGTCGCCAAGCCATTGAAACGAGTACCAAGACGCGAGGACACGGGTAGGGCTGAGTAGACGGCCTCAGGAAAGTAATTTTCCAGTGTAGTTGAGCCGGCGGTGTAAGACGGGCAGGTCTCAATCAAGGGTGCTGCACTGTGAGCTCATCAAAGGAATCGTGCTGGCTTCCACCTACCTTTTTAAACCAAGGGCCTCTCATTCTTCCTGCAAAGTTTTATCCTTGCAATTTGACTTTTGCCATCCGAAGAGGTTTGAACTCTTTGCGGTCTTCATCCGCTCTCGATGCCGACGAGCTCGGGTGGTAATCTGGTAAACGCTCGCTAACGGGCCGTTCCCGATTTCAACATCCGAGGGGTGGATGACACAACCAGCCTCCGATGTGGGGGACCAAGGGGTTAAACAGGGTCTGGCGATGACAACAACTGTCACCAGCATGGCGAATCTTCCCGGTCAACCAACATGAAGAAAGAAAACATGAGAAGACGAAGAAAAACAGCAATAGTTGAGCGCGGTTACTCAAAGCTTCAAAGCTCGTACAAAAGCGGCATTGATTTTAAATTGAAGTAATTCACCGTGCCATTATGACGTGGAAGTGTATTTATGTCGAACACCCATCTGTAGACCTCACATTACTTGATAATGATACTTGACCATCACTATATAATCTGCAATGTATTGTATTCGGTCGTTGGGTACTTGAGAAGAGACAGGAGACAGTAGGCCGACGGTCGGCACCTCGAACCAACACCACTTCATTTTTTGGCTGCAAAGTAGTAAAATGGTACGTAACAATGCGTTAGTGGTTATGGCGCAATTCAACGCTGGACTCCATCGCGCCGCGCGGGAGTTCCGTGTAGGGGTCGAAGTTGCGTGCTACCAGACATCGCCTCACCTTTCAGCCGTCGCCAAGAAGGGGATGAACTCCGGCACAACGGGAATCTGTATGCAGGTGAATGTTAGGATATCCACTATCAAGCCGAGCTTTTCCATGGACGCGGACGCCTTAGTAAAGGATGAGATGGCACGGGGGTTGCAGCGGCCTACGGCCGACGCCGATGGCCCATGTAGTACCGTTATCAGCAAAAGCTCTCGCAAGACTGTCGAGGTTTTAATGTTGGTACAGGCATTACGAAGTTTCCCACACCAGATCCGCTTCCATTACGTACTACGATGTGAAGTGAAGGTCTAGACTAATGATATCAAAGCCATAAGTTGAGCATGCCGATAATAAGAATTCTTTCGAGTTGAATGGGCGTCAACAAGACTACGTAACACCGAGTATGGGTTTGTGAATCTGTACCTGTATGTAGAGACAGGAATACATATGAGTAGATGCTGTATCAAGAAACGACTTCTTAGGCTTAACATTTCTGAGCTAGGTAGACTGCAGCTAATCTGTTCGGTCATGCGGAACAACCACTTCAGAGCCCAAGTTTCTACACTCCTGCCGTTCCATGTGAACGCGATGGAGGCTCATGACTGGCAAATATCATCCTTTCAAACATATGAGCCGGACTGTTTCTTGCGTCCCACATTTAAGACAACCGCGGGCCATTGTCAGGTACCCACTTACTAACATGAGCGAAACTTCTTGTCGGCATACTCTCCATGCCCAGTAGCTAACATCGAAGCATCAGTGCCTTGTTTTATAGAAAGATAAAGGAGTATAAGGGAATGAAGCTCAACGGGGCTTGCGACAATGCCATCAACTACGCAGCCGATTACCTTCGAATGATTTACCACTTATATAGAAACTCGGCCTTCAGTACCGCTTTTGAATACCCAGTTCACGTTCCGTCTCACCATTAAGCTTCGCTGTGGCCAATCATATCTGCCGAACAATCGTCTGATAATGTGGCCTGCCAATTGAGAGCAGCGGGGAAGTTTGCAAAGTTGAACTTCAGATGATCTGGATCCTTGCATGTCTGGGGATATTGGGCACTCGGCGTCGGTACTCGGTGAACATACTTGGCCGAAGCGGTAGTCTCGGGCACATAGGCTACCGAACTCCTGTAGTCTCGCAACATTAAGAGTCAAGACGTCGGCTTTCTTCTCCCTCGATACGCTTAAAGAGTAGGCTGTCAGCAGAGGTCGCAACTGGTTCTTTGATTGAAGAGAGGTACAGCAAGTGTTCAAATTCCCGCCGTCTAACTTTCCATTCGTCATTTGGATCGAAGCATCTCAGTAATGAGCAATTCCGCTACACAACCCCCTTTCAAAGTGATCATTGTTGGAGGGGGTCTTGCTGGCAGCCTTCTGGCCAACGGGCTAGCTCGACACAATGTCAACTTCGAGGTTTATGAAAGACAAGAGAAGAACTCCAAAAGAGAAGGTTATCAGATCCGCTTAGGCGAAGATACATTCATAGGCATGCGGGCATGTCTTGACCAGGACCAAATCGACTCAATTTCCAATCACTTCGGCAGGTCAGCATCATCGCAGGCACCCATCTTGTACGACAAACACTTTCGTAAGATTTTCGAACCCGGCCGAGACCCGAACTACACACAATCCTCGCCCATTAGCCGCGTCATCCTCCAGGATGCTCTTCGCGAGCCACTTGACACAATTGGCAAGATTCATTATCAAAAGAAGTTCAAGGACTTCAATATTTGTCCAGGAGTTCATCTAGATATAGTTGAGGTGAACTTCGATGATGGCACCTCTGACGTCTGCGACATTTTGCTTGCTGCTGATGGCAATAATTCGCAGGTAACTCGTCCTCGGTTCCCGCGCTCTTCTATGGATTTGCTTATTCATTCTAGATCAATAATCTCTGCGGACTAAACAACATCGAGGAACTGAGCTCTTTTAGGTCCTTCTTGACTAGATGCGACCTTCCATTGTCAGTCTGCCGCCGGCTATCACCGGATCCGAGTTCACCCATAGCTACTTTACATGATGGAAAGACCCTGTATTTCCAAGGTATTTAGTCACTGCGGAATCGTTTGAGCTAATTGGGTTGAAATTTGTGCCAATAATCATCTTTTCAGTCTATATGCGCGGTGACATGACAGCTCGTCTTGAAAATGCGGAGGCCGAAAATGAAGAAGAGTTAGCGTCGTGTATGCTCGGTGTTGGATTCTTCGTCGATCGCATGGCGACCTCACGCAGCTTCGAATCTTTATCGCAAACAGAAAAGTGGGATGCTGTTGACCATCTTTTTTGGGACTGGTCTCCGAAACAGTGAGGGTGTTTCCGCAAAGCCTGCCTCAAGTTCGAAGTGTATTACTTACATGTTTCTCTCCATAGCCGAGACATCATTGGAGTCTTCCGGGGTCAAGAGATGTACTATGGGGCACCTCGAGTGTCCTCACGCCCGTTGACGAATTGGCGCAAATCGGTCACATCAGCTGATGACAACCGGCTTGGGAATCCGCACATTTGGCTGATAGGAGATTCTATGCACTCAATGTTTCCCTCGAGGTAAACTCTTCGGTAGGCGATGCAGAATGCCGGAACTGACATCAACAGAGGAATGGGTGGCAACCAAGCCATGCGAGATACGGCCGATGCCTTGCCGTTACTAGTCCGATTAGCAGAGACGGCAGTGACGACGGAAGGTCTGAAAGAGGCCGACATAACACAGGCTTGCGACAAGTATGAGGGGGCTGTTATACCTCGAGCCTTTGAGTGGGTGAAGAGAAGCGGGGGCAAGAATCCAATGGTGAGCGCCTTGTAACGACGAATAGACAACAGTGCAGATGCTAATATTAGAATAATACAAGACGATTGACACATCTAGAGTCACCGACCGGACTATTCTTTACATACTGTCTTATGCTGTGGCAGCGCGGAGATTGTGGCTTTGCTTGCGTTCTTGGATAACGCGCATGATATTTGGCGTAAGAAGCAGCCAGGGATAGCAGCAAGCGCAGTTTCCTGCTGGCTAATCAGGGACAAAGAAGAAAGTAAACAACGCGGAGCTTCACAAGGTTGGATATCGAATGAAGTATGAAACATTATTTAATACTATGATTACAGATCATTCCATGCTACGCTTAATTGAGGAATGGCTCATAACGCTTGCCCACCGTAGTTCCATTGCCAACCGCAGCATCTGTGTAAATCGACAGGACGTCGGTACTGTTCTTGTACTCGACACCACACTTCTCAGAGAAGCCCGAGAACTGGTCCACTCTATCTTGCAAATACGTCTCGAAACCCTTTCTGGAGCAGGAAGTGCCAGGGCCATCGGCGCAGTCAGGAAGGGGTTGAGGTGCGCTGTTTACCAACACACGGTAGTAATCGCCGTTGTCGTAACCGTAGGCGCCGGTACAGTTAAGACGCTCAACGGCAATGTTGCCAAGGAATGGCAGGATGCTGGAGGCCTTCCATGCACGGCGGTAGTTGATGCGGTCAAGCGGCATGGTGTCGTTGATGGAAGCCTCGCTGCCGCCGAACTCAGAGTTGTTGAAAAGACCCATCGCGACGATAACCATAGGAGGCAGCTCACGGTGAGTGAAGCTGACGTAAATGTCCTCCTCGCTTGAGTCACCCATGAGCAGGTTTGCGGTGGCGTTCAGCCAGGGAAGGCCAACATATCCCGACGCCTCGGCTCCATAACCGACGTTGTAGTGGTAGCGGACGTCTTCCGTGTACTCCCAGGCGAGCCAATCGTCGGGGGTAAAGAGCTCCAGGTTGCAGAAAGGAGACTTTCCGCGGATGACCGTCTCGTATCCGCAAAGCTGCTGCATGCCAAAGATGTCGTTGGTGGTGAAGTTGAACTCGGGGGCCAAGTCGTTGAAGCGGGCAATGATGGGCTTCGTGAACTTTTCCTGGTAGACGGCCGACTGTTTGCTTCCCGCAGAGGAAGAGTAAGCCGGGCAGGCCTTGTAAGGAGTCAAGCTGTCTGCGCCTGACTCCTCCGATTCGTAGATGCTGACGACGTTCATGGTGTTGTCGTCGGTCTCGAGCCCGCGCACGAGAGACTGGGCAGACTTTTCTGTCCTCTCTGCGGAAGAGGTCCATACTGTCTTGGGGAGTCTGAGGTTGGGGTATCTGAACTCGAGGTCGACGCCGAGTTGAGTCGCCTCAAGTCTTCCAACCCGTGTCAAAATCTCGGCCTCGGCCTCAGATACCGGTGCATCCCAGCCCGACAAGAAGTTCAGGTAGGGAATCTTGCTCCATTCGATGCTCGTCTTGTTGCCCAGCTTTTCGAGGAAGGGCTCGATGTACTCTTCGAAGTCGAAGTCGTTTGCGTAAATGGCTGCATGTCGCACCAGGTAAGCTGCACGTTCTGCTTTGCATCCCTGTGGCGCGTCGGGTGATGATTGAGGGTCTTGTGATTCGAAGTACGGGGCAATGCCTCCCAGGTGTGTCAATGGGTTGAAGCTATAGGTAGAGTACAATGCTGATGCCGAAGAGTAGGCCACGAAGGGCAGCAGTTGGATGAGCTTAGAGCTCAGACTCTGTTGGCGAGCCATTGTTTCGCGCAAACGATTGTGATGAGATAAAGTCCGCACTTTGGAGATGAAAATCAGTGTGGAGCAAAAGCTTAAAATCATCTAAACATTCTGGGCAGCTGTACAGAGCTCATATAGCTTCCGCTGTGTTGACGTTTTGGTCCAATTTGGGTAGATTTTAGCTGCGTCCAGCCATAGGTGAGATCATTGAGGAGCCGGAAAAAGTGGTAAACCTCGTTTCCCACTAGATTCCCTGTTTTGTTGACGTCAAGAGCAAATGTCTCGAACTAGGCGACTGGCTGGACCAAATTGGCAATGTGGATGGGATGGGGCTCTTAAGTTCCCCACGAAAAACCGGCAAGTCGGCTCAAAGCCAAGACGGGTGAACTTGCTTGGCCTGTGCCTGGCCATTTCTACGTCATGGAGGGTGGGAAGATCGCCTCTATCGAAGCGCTGCGGCTCTTCCGTTCAATGTTAGCAACCACACCGACTTCTACCGAAATGAGCCTGGGTTGATGATTGGCACTTGGGTCCTCGGCCGATGCGTTGTGCCGCTAAATGACAGCACTTGTCAGGGGCGTCCGTTGGCCGCGTGGAGCGTCAGCTCAGCGGACCGGAAGTAACGTGGAGACAGACGGACTACCGATGGCGATGATCCCTTTACCTCGTGCTTTGACAAAAGCCTGATGGAACGAATACGGTCGAGTTCACTGACGCGCGTAGCGTGCTGTCATTCTGGTTTCCCTTCCTTGTGTTCACGGAGCTAGACAGCTGGCCGGGTCCAGACTACCTTGGTGCGTAGGGACCGTGTGTGTGTGTGTTCAGCTACCTTAGCTGAAAGGTCTAGCACCATGGTACCTGATGATGTGTCTGAGATGCCAAGAAATTCCCGAGGGTCATGCAGAGTACGCACAGCTGGATCTGCAGCACCATTGTCTCTCCTCGGATTATTAGTGCATTGTTTATTTGCTCTGCAAGACACAAACCAGGACGAACGCTCGTTCATCTATGGACCTCCGAAAAATCGATTTGCTCAACTACCAATAACTTGTACACGTGGAGTCTGTGCTCGCTACCTCCCCTGAAATTGGACGAATGCACCAGATCATTGTCCTCCACACTCCCGCGATTCTCTACCAAACACCGATCGCAGCCAAACCATCACCGGACATGCAGCCTCATAACCGGCAGATGAGGGCCACTGACTGGACAAACAGGAAGGGTAGACTCGTCTTCACGTTGCTCCTCAAATGAGAACAATAAGTAAGGTGAGGCATCGGAGCTGCAAACATTCTTGAAACCTTCATGAAAGCGAATTTACGCGACAAGGAAATGCCACAACTAGCATTTCCCAAAGACGGGGCTTGCAAAGTTCGTAAGACCGGCATGGCACCTGTATCCAAACCCGGTGTCTTCGATTTTGAAAACGGAGAGTTTCTACGCATTCATGCAGAACACCACAATGCCACTCAGAAAAGAAGAAAAGTCGATTTCAGCATGAAACAATACCGACTGCGTCTTGGTCAATAATAATGTCAAAATAGGCCTTTTCTCAATGATTTGTACCACATGAAGCATTTCAACGGGCTGGGTTTCCCGCAAGCTCGGCCGAGTTATCTCCACTCCAGATCGGACCCGAATCAAGTTTCGGCGCCGAGCGGGCCCATACGGGGCGAGCAGCTCCGGACCAGGTTTTGAGGCAGTCACCGCTACCGACGAGCTCATCCTTCCAGAAGAGTGCACCATCCATGCGATGGTATGACTGGGTACCTGTCCATGTAGAGTTCAAACCTCGTTCAATAAGTAAGATCCGAAGCGCGAAATAACTTGCAGTAACCTTACAAACGGCCCCGTAAAACTTGGAGTCAAGAGAGATTATGAAATCTTCAAGAGGGACTAGAATCAGTCATTATAAATCCGCGTGCTAGGCAGCGCTTCACAACGTCCGCTTTCGACAAGCGTATCCAAGCCTGTTTACTCAAGGTAAATGACTCGCTGCAACGACACTGCTACCTGACTGACTCGTGTGGCCACGTCGAGGCTTTGAATATCTTCCGTGGCCATCCGACTCAGCCTGGAGTCTTAGCTTTGAATAATCTGACTATCTATCCCATGACCTTCTACAGAAGTTTTCGAGATGATAAAGTCGAGGCTGCGGGAAACAATGTTAGATGTGCTGGGGGCTGCTAAGCCGTGCCTTCGTCGGATCCTCGAGCAGGTGGTAAAATCGATCGCCTCAAACAAAGCCCAGACAGCATGGGGAGTCGCCACAGCTGCACTGCTGTACCTGAACCTGAAGAGGATCCCGTTTGTTTGGCATGTGAGTCACAGCTGTGAACATGATTGACTACCGTATGGAGAAACCGGTTCTAATGTTGAATGCCAGTTTCGTGTGTTCAGCCACATTTGGTGGCCCAAGAATGGCCTCTTCGAGCACAAACCTGGCGCAATCTTCCAGCCGGTAGTCACACCTTCTCGCGTTGCTCTGCTGGAAACCGACTACAACTTGCACAAGTCAAACAGCACCTACTTCTCTGATCTTGATGTTGCTAGGACGGACCTTCTCGCTGCCCTGAGAGCTCAAGCAATTGATGGCGATCTATACAAGGAGTACAAGAAAGGTGTTCAAATTCTGCTCGCAGGCACCTCCTGTACCTTCAAGAAGGAAATCAAACCTGGTGCCGCCTTTGACATGCAAAGCAGAGTCCTCACCTGGGATAAGAAGTGGCTGTACATTGTTACCCACTTTGTCGAGAAGCAGAAGGAGGGCAAGTCGCCCACCTACAAGCCGTGGAGGAAAGCAGGTAAGGGCAAAGACGCCCAGACATCGCCTCTTGTCTACGCGACGGCGATCTCGAAATGCGTCGTCAAAGCCGGTCGTCTCACTGTGCCACCGCAGAAGTTCTTCCAGGCGGCAGGTGTTCTTCCTTCGGAGGACCAACCTGAAGGGTCCATTGCAGACGTCACACCAGAGGCAAATGACTTCGGAGGGTGGACTTGGGCAAAGGTTGAGGAAGAGCGTCTGGAAGCATTAAAAATTGCTGATGGTTTCGCCAGTGGTTTAGATGCGGCGCATGAGAAAGCCAATTTGTTGGTTTAGACGTTGACGGAGTGTTTCCATGCAATGCCAACATGAACGCGTCGAAATAGAGAGAAATCAGAATGGTAGAAGGCTGAGAAGTAGACATACCGGAAGGTGCGGCACATCATACAGACATGCGGGTGTAGAATTGAACATCACGCAACCATCGCTTTTGCTGACGTGAGGTGCTCATATGGTCGATGGATTGGCCCTAAGATGTTCACGTGCTTTTCTTGACCCCTTGCCCTGGGGCCTGATCCTTTCGATATTGTACTTATCTAGAGTGGATGCCGCGATTCCGCGGATCACCTCTTCTTCACCGCAACCTCTCCCTACTAAAGTGCCTTATCACACCAGACATCACCACGTTCCACCAATCCTTTGCCAACTCCCCGTCTGATAAGTTGCGTTGCGGACGACCGTTCATCTATACGCCAGCCTCGCACTCTGCAGTCTTTTAACCCAACGTAATCGCTATCCGACAATGCCAAACACCGTATATGTCATTACCGGAACCAACAAAGGCATCGGCCTTGGCCTAGTGAAGACCTTGTTAGCGAGACCATCTACAACAGTTGTTGCCTCCGTTAGAAATGATGGAGCTGCTTCTTCACTGAAGTCGAGCATCCGAGATGTAAACAAGGGCAACGGGAGCGAGCTTTTTGTCATGTTGCTTGACTTCAACATCGCCCCTGATACCACTGCCGTCCGCAAAGCCTTTGATACGGCGACTGGCGGCGCCGTCACCCGAATCGATGTTCTCATCAGCAACGCCGCCATATCCGCCACAGCATCGCGCTCAGTCTTGACCACCGCCGAGGAACTAAGGAGCGCATTCGAAATCATCACCATCGCACCCTTGATGGTGTTCCAAGGTCTCTCGCCGCTGCTGGAAAGACCGCAGGGAGCAGACGGCCCACCTGCGAAGTTCATCGGAATCACTTCATCACTCGGATCCATCGAAGAACAAGAGCCTCTTCCTGCTGGCGCTTATGGTCCCAGTAAGGCTGCCCTTAATTGGTTGGTTAAATCGTTGCATATACAACATCCGGACTTGGTTAGTGTGGCTGTCCACCCCGGATTTGTACGAACGTCTATGGGTGAGAATGCCGCGAAGCAGTGGAGCTTTGATCTCAACCGACTTGACACGATTGAAAGCTCTGTTACTGGCGTTCTCGAGGTCATCGACGGAGCGAGCCGCGAGTCCACGTCTGGAAAGTTGGTAACGCAGACTGGCCAATTGATTGCATGGTGATGGGGGACCCCTGATCTCACATCTCCGACCGAGTTTACTCATTGGTACGAAATCCCCGACAGACTGGATTTCAATGGCCTTTAAGCATATTCGAGATGCCTCTGGCACTATGATGCAAGTCCCTGGTAGCTGCGGGACAACTGGCTGTAACGGGCACCCTTCCGGGCACCTGGTTATGACTATGGCCATAAGTAAAACCCCCAAAAATACTCGCAAATTGTAGTCTAATACTGTCATACCGCGTATCGACAATGATAGAAGACGACTTGAAGATCTAAAAAGAATCCCTACCTTGGTTTTTGACGTGAGTAGTGCGGAACACAATTGTGTGCCGTCCCAAACCCCAACTCTGTTACTAAAGGTATTATTATGTCCTCTTATTGCTGTTACTTCAAGTGCGTCAACAATTACATCCGATACTCTCTATATCCCTCGGAGAATACGTGTCGAATAAAATCGTAAGGTGATAATTTTACTTAGTGATCTTCGGGTGACAGGCATCCAACTAAGGTTTATGTGTCTGCTTGAGGCAAGAAATGCGCCTTGTGGTGGGCGGCCGACATTATCTCCATCGTAAAGGCCCTGTGAAGGCATATAGTTGACTAGACTCTTTCGTCCACTTCTGGCGCCAGTGGCATCGTCTGTAATTTCCATCATTTTCTCTGATAGGTTCGCAGCCGTATCACTCCCTAGAAGTTTGACAACCATGGGAATCCTTCCACAAATGCCGATCACGGCCCCTGCTGCTCGCTACGACACATTTCCACAATTACGTCGCGTCTGTGGAATTAGCTGCGCTGTGGTTAGTCGGTCGGCTCTTAGCGGCGGGGAAGTTCAAGTGGATGCAACATCAAGCGGACTATGCCCGTCACTCCTCACCCACGAGACGATGTCACCGTTGAAGGGACCCAGTAAGAGGAACTTTCAGGCCTCCACCGAAACAGACCCAGCACTGGTTGCGGAGGAAGATCAGCAATTTAGGACTTTGGTCGAGATTGTGATGCCAATTTCAGATCAAGTAGAAAACATAGAGCCGAACTTTTTTTCTCTGCTACAACTCGTTCGCCATCGTCTTCAATATGGCTTTGCTCAGTCTTGGCAACATTTTGCTGCTCTCTGCAGCCTATGTGTTGTGGAAATTACTTTACCAAATCGTGTATTATCGCTTCTACCATCCGCTAGCCAAATTTCCCGGCCCTTTTTGGGGTTCGGTAACTCGACTGTGGATAACGTATCATAATGTTAAGGAGGATGAGTGTCGGGTGAATCAGGAGCTTCACAAGAAGTATGGTAAGTGCACGTCTACCAAGGCATCAAGTTCGCAATAAACTTACCTTGCATGCAATGAATATGTTGAGTCCATACATTCAAACAGAGTCAAAAGTTGACTCGCAATATTAGGGCCTGTCATTCGCATCACACCTACCATGTTGCTTGTCAGTGACGCAACCAAGTTACCGGAAATCTACCACCGAAATGCCAATAAGTCGCAACACTACATCACCGGCAGTTTCGGAAAGATGGAATCATTGTTTAACATGCAGGACCATGTAGTTCATGCTCGCTTCCGTAAGATCGCTGCGGCACCTTACTCTTTCTCAAACATTCGGAAGATGGAGCCTCTTCTTGACAAGCACATCGAGCACTGGATATCCAGACTAGATGCGTTCGCTAGTTCCGGTACCAAGATGGACTTTGCTCCATGGGCAGTCTACCTTGCTTACGACATTGTCTCTGAAGTTGGCTTCGGACAGCCTTTCGGTTTCATTGAACAGGGGAAAGATGTTGAAGGACTGATCCAAGGTTTCCATGACGGCCTTGTGCCGTTTGGCATTTTAGCACGGTGCTATCCGTTCACAAACTGGGTCAAGAGCACTTTCTTGGGGAAATACCTTGTCGCATCGCCGGAGCAGGACTCTGGAATCGGGACTTTGATGAGATTTCGAGACGGGCTTATCGTTCAAAGATTCAAAGCCATCGAGAAAGGAACGACAGATGGACGTATCGATTTACTACAAACGTCAGTATCCTGCCCTAAAGTTACCCAAAGTTTCTCAGTATCACTTACTCACATATTCCTAGCTTCATTGAAGCCCGGGACGAGGATGGAAACCCTCTTGATCTGGACTACATCAAAGCCGAAATCTTACTCGTCTTGCTTGCTGGAGCAGATACTACGGGCACTGCATTCCAGGCTTTCATGATGCATATCATGACACATCCCGAGGTTTATGATCGTCTCATGGCCGAGATTGACGAGCAGACTCGAGCTGGTAATCTTTCAGAGATGCCTCAGTACGCGGAGGTCCAGGAACATTGCCCGTTCTATGTGGCGTGCATTCGCGAAGCCATGCGATTGAATCCTCCAGCGCCCAACATCTTTCCTCGGCTTGCTGGAAAAGGCGGCATGGAGCTTTACGGCAAGCACGTACCAGAAGGAGCTGAGGTTACTTGCAATCCGTGGCTGGTGCATCGCGACGAGAACATCTTTGGTCCCGACGCTACCGAGTTCCGACCAGAGCGATGGCTGGAAAGCGAGGAGAAGACAAAGGAGATGCTCAAGTACAACATGGGGTTTGGCTACGGTGCCAGAGTTTGCCTGGGCAAAGACCTTGCAATGATGGAGTTGTTCAAAGGACCTCTGCAGTTCTTCAGGACTTTCAAGCCAGAGATCCTCAATAGTGGAGAGCCCGGTAAGTATGTTGTGAAAGGGGGCGTCAGTTTCTTCAAGGATATGTGGATCACCATCGAACGACGACCGAAGGCGCTGTAACTATCGCGTATGGATTTCTTACGATGTAACGGAAGACAGGAATCTGGTTATGTGACGTGTCAATTACGAAAGATTACTATCCTTGGCTTTCATATACGTTGAAGCAAGTGAAAGCAATAAAGTTGCGATATGAAGATGCTGTCTTGGTATCCATCGAGGCGGGGAAAGAGAGACACGATGTATACTCCGGCCGCAGCGGCGTACCCTGTGCCATGAGTTCCCCGGCGCTTTCGAGGAACTCGGGATGTTTGATGAAAAGCCTGGGATCGAGCTTGTATCTCTCTAGCCGGCTTTCGATCTGCAAATGGTTCGCAACCGCCCAGGCAACACTCGGCATGTCAAAAATGTCTGTTGCCTTGAATGTTGGCAAAGACACCGGCCCCTCGCTGGCGTCCCCACAATCAATCGTCCCCATTGCTTGCACAAGGTCCGCTACTTTGATGTACACCTGCATAGGAGGCGAGTTTACAACCAAGTCGCTTAGTAAAGCTTCGACAACATACATGCCGACGATGTCGCTGACGATTTGATCAATACAAGGGTTAGCGGCATGATAACGTATAAGACAGTCGCGGATGGAGGGGAAAGGAAGCCAATCAATAACCGCAGGGTATCCGCATTGCAGCTGCAGCAGAGTTGGCTGATACTGTGGATGGAGCCTATTGAAGGTTTCCTCACAAGGGCGAATCTTCCACACACTGATGTCCCGGGTATGATAAAGCTTCGTCTTAGTATACCAAAACATCACATCCTCCCGAGCAATGGTGTGAAACATTGAGAGAGCCGAAGTCGTGGCTAGATAGAGTCTGCAGTCCGTTAAGTCCGTTAGCTGAGGAAGAGAATGTAGGTGGGACAGGTGGCATTGCTGACAATGGTGTAGATAACTGTGAGTTGAGCAACTCTGTTCTACGTTGTATCTCTTGTTGGATGAAATTGATGTGGTCTGAAAATGAGGAATTTGAGTCGACCCAGATCTGGCGCCTCAAGAAACCCAGGTCTTGGGAAGAAACTAATGCGTCATGGTAGACTTGGGGTCCCATTTGATATTCGAACGACCAGATGTTGGGTACCTGCTGAGTCATCCCACACGAGTTCAGTAGTACACTGGGATCCGAAATCGGTTGAAAGCCATTTTCTTGGCCTAGGTCTGGCTCAGCTGGCTGCATCTTCCGCCATTTAGTTTTGACAACTTGCATGAATAAGGAGCCAAGATCGGAGGGCATACCGGTGCAACGGATTGGGACTCTGGTAGAAGATCCGCCGACATGGCCTGAGAATCAAGAATAGGCTCCAAATGAGAGGTTTGGTCTTCGGTGGACTTTGTTCTGGGAGCTTCGTCGTTTGCGTCTCCAAGCCTTGGAGCCGTGTTCAAAACCAGGGCTTGCACGCGAGCCAGCAAGCTATTCAGCTTGGCATGCGCTTCTGCGAGCTGCTCTCGGAGAGCAGCATTCTCGCGTCGTGTCTTGGCCAAAGTTTCGCTCTCATCTATGTTGTTGTTATCCGCTCGTTCGCGAAGATCGCGGATCAGATCGGCTCTGCGGCGTCGAAATGCCTGCTGTGACAAGCGGTTGCGCAGTTTTCTAGCTCGCGGGTTCAGTACTTAGTGTAAGGAGATCGGAGGTCGCGCTTTCTGGGAACAAACTTAATATCCTCAGAGCTCGTAGCGTTGCTTGCATGTGATTCCCGGTCCATGGCATCTACATAGATCGTCGAAGGTTACTACCTCGGGTGGATGTTACGCTTGAGAAACAAATCGTGATGTGAAGTTAGAAAGTTTCTTCTGGAGTTGCATGTACGTACTAGTCACTTGGCCCCGATGACTAATCTCCCTCTACGTCTTAATATCTATCTCTTCACTGCCGTTCCCGTCCTTCCGAGCTTCAACTTAGTTCTCCTTGGCGTTCCATTACTGACGCTGCATATCCAGGCAACCCTGACTACTAATTTGTAAAGATTTCACACCTTAGAGGGACGAACCCCAAGCTGTTCTTCGATGGTTATCAGCTCTCTCATGCCAGTCCGCAATTCCAAAACGGCCGCTTCGGACAAGACCTTGAGAGGCGGTCGCGGGCTGCCCCCATACCCAAACAAGTCAGTAAGCGCGGCCTTTGTACCCGAAATGCCACGCGCGGTATGTTCCCAGTCGCCGTTTGCCAGAATAGCCTGCATCTCCCGCGCTTCTTCCACTCGGCCTGCTTGCCACAAATCGAATACTCGGACACAGGTTCGTGGGGTGACGTTTGCACCGCCGGCTATCACACCGGTAGCCCCTGAAACGAGGGCAGGTAGGATGAAGTCCGCCAGACCTCCGAAGAGAGCGTAAGACTGACGGACTTTCATAGCCGTGGAGACTCGGCTTAGTTTACCAGTGTCGCCGCAGGTCAACTTCGTCCCTGCAACATTCGGGTGGTGGGACACGCGACTCAATAGACCTGAGTCCATCTCAAGACCTGCAGATACGGCGGGAAAGCTGTATAGAATGATGGGGATCGGTGACTGATCCGCAACATCAATGAAAAAGCTCTCGATGATGTCGGGGCTCATGCTATTGCTAAAGTAAGACGGTGGCAGGACAAGGGCGTAGTCGCTGCCAGCTCGGCTAGCCTCCTTGCAGAGATGAACTGTGCCTCGAACTGAATGCTCAGAGCAGCCAGCAATGATCGGTGTCTGCTGGCTGCCGATACTGTCAAGGGCCTGGCGGGTTTCGCGGATGATTGTGTTTCGCTCCTCGATAGAAAGGTGAGGCGCCTCTCCATTGGAACCCATGACCACAAAACCGGAGATACCCGCCTCAGAGAGGCGGATAGTGTGTTGACGCTGAGTTTGTATGTCGATGGTTTCGGTTGTCTTGTCAAAGAATGACATGCTCGCGGCATAGATGCCGCGAGGCAACTCCCTTGTAGTGCGTTCCATGGTACAAGTTGTTCGCTTGAAAAAGTACTCAATAATCAGTGGGTGAAGATGAAAATCATTTTCAGACGTTGCCATGGAGTATTAATATTCGTGATGATGCGTATCGGACGAGGACAAATCCTATGAATAGCCATAGTATGTCACCAATTGTTGACCAATTTCCACACCTACTCCAGCTTCATGAGGCACGATTCATGATGTCTCCTGCACATTAGTCAAATTAGCAGTACGTAAGTCGAACAGTTGATTAGCGTACAGTGAATAGTGCGTCCAAAAGAGCCTGGAGTAGTCCGTCTGTGGGGGGATGCGCCGTAAGTGTAATCCCACATTCCTGTTAGTCATTCAGCCAGTACGTAAGTCCAACAACTGAGATGCTTGCCCAGGCGCCATGACTCCACCACTTTATTCCCTGCGGATCTGTCAAGTGGTACTCGTCTGTACGGCTTCAAATATCATGATCAATTCGCAACCAAGCTCTACAGACTGGGCTCATGAATGCTTTTTGTCTGTTTGTTCATTCCTTCTTATCTCTGTAATTCAAAAGTCACTGAATTTCATGCATGCTCACGATGTTTCTCTCTACCCGAGGCGAATCTGCCGAAAAGGCTAGCGACAACTTACACATCTGGAAAGCTTTGGGTGATCTCTACCACCCCACTGTCAATTCGGCAGGCTTTGCAACTCTTGGTGTGTCGGAAAACACGTTGATGGCCCAGGAGCTATCAGAGCATATGTACAAACGTTTCAAGTTGCCAGTTCATTCATTCACCTATGGAGATGGCATGACTGGGTCTAAGAGGATCAAATCAGCCCTTGCTACGTTTCTCAACCGACATCTGCAGCCTGCAAGCACCCTAAAGCCAGCACACTTTACAATCACAAATGGCTGCAGTTCTGCCGTTGAACACATCGCCTGGGCCATAGCCAATCCTGGTGATGCCTTTTTGCTGGGACGGCCTTACTACAATACCTTTGTCCCAGACCTGGTTTTGAGAACTGGTTGTAAGGTCATTCCAGTGGACTTTGGGCTTATCGACCCCCTGGCCCCTGAGGCAGTCGACCACTATAAGCGTGCCCTCGAAAAGGCAGCTATGGGGTGCCAGCGAGTCGCAGGGCTTATTATATCAAACCCACACAATCCCCTCGGCAGATGTTATTCTCGCGACAGCCTGCTCAACCTCATGAGTTTCTGCTCCGAGAATGACATGCACTTCATTAGCGACGAAATCTACGCCTTGTCGGTGTGGGAAAATAAGGTGGACCAGGGACCTGAACCAGCGCCTTTCACTTCATGCCTGTCACTCACCTCAACTGACTTAACACCCGACCGAATCCATACAATTTGGGGCATGTCGAAGGACTTCGGCGCGAACGGGCTGCGGATCGGGGCTATCATCTCCCAGTCCAATCCGTCTCTGCATAAAGCATTAGTGGCTGTAGCTCTTTACAGCTCTCCATCTTCTGCATCGGATCACATCGCAGCCAACATTCTCGAAGATGACAAGTGGTCAGACATGTTCATCCAGACGAACAGGACAAGGCTAGCCGACAGGTACGGGCTTGTCGCGCGCTGGGCGAAGGCCCATGGCATCCCCTACACAACCGGCGCGAACGCGGCTTTCTTCCTCTGGGCTGATCTTGGGAGTGTTTGGAAAAGGCACAATCCTGGAACTGTCAAAGACGAGGACCTGGATGACTTCTTGATGAAGCTCTTTTTGAAACACAAGGTATATGTTTCTTCGGGAAAAGACTTTGGTTCCGAGAGTGTTGGGTGGTTCCGTATTGTGTTCTCTCAGGATGAAATTCAGCTGCTTACTGGCCTGGAAAGAGTCGCTGCTGCACTAAACTCCGGTGAAACAGCCAAACTATAAGTTAGTAGTCTCCTCGCCACGGAACCATTGAATTGATTTCACCCATCTGTAATATCCATGATCCTTCCCACTTCAAAACATTCGAAGGCTTTAGGTGTCAGCCTTAGCGAACATGTTTTGGATTGCTACGCAGCTCGCATTGCCGAACTCGTGAGAAAGGCTTATAATATCCGGGGGTTGTGATGCGTAACCTACCTAGGTATCGACGGCACCAGGACGGCCCGAAATTGTCGATTGCAGACAGAAACACACTGAATGCAGGGTGAATGGGGGTGCTGGGAAAAGGCCAGAAGTTCCAGCCATGAACCGGAACTAGCGTCTTATCGTTGTATCCAATTATGAACAGAAGTATGTTCCAGGCATAGGTGTGTCCGTACGATCCGTATGATTACCGGTATTGCTGTCTCCCCCTCCCCTTTGCCGAAGCTTGAACTTGCGGGTGATCGTCCTTCATGCGGGGTAAATCTGGAGAGTTCCCCGCGCGGTGAAATCTCGCTATCGGGGCAACTAAGACCACCCGGTGTTAGGCAGCATGGATACCTATGAAGTTCCGGAACACCCGACCAATGCTCAGTGAACCTCGTCTAGGCAAATGAGAAGGGGCTCTATGGTTTTATCCCTTCGTCCACTTCAAGTGCCCTTGCTCGAATTCCGACCATGTTCCAGACGACATTACGCTGAGTCTCCCGAAACTATCTCATCGTCTCTGACGCGCTTGATACTGTCAGGACTCAATCTTGCAATGGTGCCCTCGGACGGGAGCAGTGATCAGCTTACCGCACTGCGTCATCGACGGAATAGAAGGGTCCCTTACGTCAATCAAGCATGGTAGGCCTTCCGGAGACCCGCCCAGCCCACGAAAGTTCTCTGACTCCTTTCCAAGCATCGAATGCAAGAGGAAGAAGATCAAGTGCGACGGTGTTAACCCCTGCGCGGCATGCACACGGAATTCGGTCGTATGCCAATACCACCCACAGCGTCGATTACTAGGCACTCCGAAGCTCAGTTCAAAGTAAGTTAAATCCCTTCAATTACATGTAGTTATTCTTCAAGTAAACTCTTGAAATCTTCTCTCCTTCGTTGTCCCACCGCAGGATCTAGGTAGCTCACGAAAATCAAGGAACGCGGATACAAGCAGACCTTCTCACACTTCTCCTCAACATGAAAACTTACTCAGCGTCTCAAAAACTGTATCTACACAGACTCGATCATCACAATCGCCTGGCCAAGAGACGAGTCCTATCCTTGAGTCCAGGTCAAATCTCATGTCATGTGACGCAAGTAGTAATTCACCGGAGTTTTGTGGCCCATCAAGCTCTGAGTTCACTTTCGGAGTTGTCAAAGGCAATCTCGAGGCCATGGGAATCCCGCCCGCTATCTTGGACAAGTCTACTCCGAAGACCAACCCTACATCAAATATGCCATCTCAGCTGGCACAATATGGGCCACTCATGAAGATTTTGGCCCGAGATCCCCTATGGGAAATCAGTCTCGAAGATGCTAGCAACCACATTCAACAGTGGTTTTCGGGCACCGGCTTTCTCTACGCCGTGGTCAGCGAAGAGCAGCTGCTCAAGGTTGCTGGTAATGTTTTTGACACTCTACGGACCGTCAACATTCACGAGACGCGGGGTCGAGGAACTCTGGCAGAGTGTCTATTCCACAGTGATACCAACAAACTGAAACTTATCCTGGCCACTTGCCTGACTTTAGAGAGCGGCAGTTGCAATGACTTAGCTCAGAGGCTCTTTCAGAGCGCCACCGAAGCTGGCGAGGGGCTTTTATGGGGTAAAAACTCGATTAGCAACATACAGATGCTGGTGCTGATGGTGCGTATTGCTCTTACCTGAAACAGGTGGAATATCTTTCCCGGGTGATGTTACTGACGTGTGCACACATAGGCCCTTTACTACTATCACCTTGATGAAGAAGTACGGACCGGTCGTATCATTGGATTTGCAGCTCGGCTCTGCCTCGAAATGGGCTTACATCGCAGGACTTCTGTAGATCGCTTCGCCAACTCGGAAGAGCAAGCAGCGGGGCTACAGACGTTCTGGTGTGTTTACATGTTAGAAAGAAGGACGAGTCTGGGCCAGGGGATACCGTTCTATATACAGGACTGCCATGTCGACCCCACACTACTCGCAATGGTAAGACTACACTAACTCTGTGACGTTGCACAAGATTGTCCTCCAAAGACCTGCTGACAAGCCGATAGAACGGACATGATCCGGTTATGACCGCTCTTCTCGACTGGACCAAACTAGCGGGCAAGACGTGGTACGCCCTCAATAGCCAAGTCGAGAAAGAGAGTGAGCTTAACCTCGACGAAATCGACTATCTGGATTACCGGATAGAGCAGTGGTATCAACTTCTGGCTGACGACCTGAAGCTTGCACCCATCCAGCCGGGACAAGAGGTTCGACATGTTCAGGCCGTGCTGTTTCTCCGCAAGAGCCATCTGCACAACCTGATCTGTCGCCCGGTACTCCAGTCTGGTACGCGAATCACGCAGTATCAGAGACATGCTGACAAGGCCGTCAACATTGCCAGAGAGTCGCTGCGGATGCTCTCAGGCCTCAATGAACACACCGCCATCATAAAGCGTAATCCGCTTTTCTTCAAGCACCTCTTACTAACTGCTTTTGGCAACCTGTTGCTGGCGGTTGTGAATGCCAGCTCCATGTTCTGCGACAAAGTCACTGTCGAGTTTGACATCGCGCTTGATATGATCAGAGCCCTAAGCAATAGGTCGACGTTGCTGTTGACTCTTTGGGAGCGTCTTCAAGGCCTACGGAAACTCACGGCACGGCTGTCTGCCTCCTCGGCCACCGCATCGAGTGGCAGCGGGGAAGGTGAACAGAGAGATAGTGTCGAAAGTCCTTCTGATGCTCTATTGTTTGGAAATATGGGAGATATGATGGTTTTCGATCAGCTGAACGGGTTCTTTGATCTTACGCCCATGTCCACCAATTGTTCAATGGGCAATTGGACCTTTCCGATTGGCGATTGACCAAGTTCCGGTCACTTCCGAGCCGGAACTAATAGCGGGGTCAATCTAACTCCGGTCATCCCGTCAGAGTAAGAACTCATTAATTACCAAGCAAAAGAGTCAGCTCAGTGCAGTCAACTCCGCTGTCTCATCGAACAAATGCTGAAGTTGATGTGATCAAGATCTGAAGCAGTGTCTACTCTAGTGTTTGTTCAGCTTTAAGACCCTGCATTCTTAGCAATTGCCTCTCTACGATCGCAGCACTTCCTAACATGGGCTCCCCATTTCCGATGGAGACCTTGGCGGGGTACACGTCACGAACAGTGCCCTTCAAAGCTACCTCAGATATAACCATCAACGCCGATGTCGTATACCCCGAGAAGTCGGATGGCTCTCCCGCTGTTGTGCTGCTTCATTATCACGGCGGTTTTCTTGTAAGCAATTGCTTCCGCTCGAGCCGTATACCCAGATGAATTATCTCACTGGATCGCTTGATCTACGCTGTTCAGAGCTAACATGAGGACTTTACTAGATCGTCGGAGATCGGTATTCGTTCTTGCCTCACTGGCTTGTGCATGCCTCCGCCTCCCGTGGATGGGTCTTTGTGACTCCCGAGTACCGCTTGATGCCCGAGTCGACCGCACACGACTCCGTTGAAGATGCTGCGGACGCCTATAAATGGGCCCTGTCGTCACTGCCGGAAATTATAGGCCGCCCGGTCGGTTCAGTTTTAGTCGCTGGGTCAAGCGCTGGAGGGTATCTAGCTCTCAACACGGCCGTCTCGGCTGCTCAAAAGCCTAGCGCACTTCTGCTCATCTACGGGATGCTCGATCCTTCTGGAGCTCGATACACAACTCCCGGGAAAAACATATTCGGTCGGCCGCCAGTCGAGACTGGGCCAGTTCTGGAAAAGTGGCCCATGGCTAAGGCTTCGGGCGAAGAGAGGAAGCCTGTCTCAGCTTATCCGATATCTGGCGACCCGTCCGCTGACCCCAGATTTGCTCTTGCTTCGGCACTGCACATCGACGCCCTCTTCCCCGACTACATGACTGGCGTCTCTGGTCTTACTAGTCAGATTGCCACTCAAGGAGCTGCAGCAGTACCCAAGGAACACCAACAGCTATTCCCACTTGACTTTGGAGATTTTAGTGGCTTCCCGCCTGTCATGCTGCTCCATGGTGCGAACGACTCAGCTGTACCGGTTGAGTGTAGCACCAGAGCCGCAGAGAAGCTCAAGGCATCTGGAGTGAGTGTGTTGGCAGAAATCCCATCTGATGCGGAGCACGGTTTCGATGGAAGGTCCGGTAACGTCAACGTCGAGACATCAGCTGGGGATTCGGTGACTGCTGTGGAGTCTCTCAGGAAGGCGATTGGTTTCCTCGAGCAGAATGCGGCCAAGTAGCGGCGACTTTGAAAAGCCCAGCTTTCAATGGAGCTTGAACATAAGCCGCGTCAACTTACAATCGATAGGGATGTTAGAGTCAAAGAGTGAGATTCAACAGGTGGATACAACGTACCTCTTAGGATCGAATCGTGAACCTATTCAGAACCTATCTTGCTTGATTTATAGTTGATTGCACATTGATCATAAACTCTGGAACAACTTGAGTGTAGTCAGGTCATTCGAGATAACTGAAATAGTCAGCACTCGCTAGCACAGATAGAGGCATTCAAGCTTGATTAGTTTCATCCATGGCGCGGTCACATAACCGCCATTCTCTCATTCTTTTTCGACTAACTCATAATCACAAAGACGCTGATATGAGACACGTTACTCGATTTCTTGCACTTTTAACCTATCTTCTACGAACACGACACAACAATGGACCTTCTTTCTCCGAAATTCCAACGCTGATAGTAGAGATAGCTTCCATTGGCTCCACCGCCTCAAGATCATAACATCTAAATGTTGTCGCAACAAGCTTGAGCATGTTTGTCATGGCCATATTGCGTCCGATACACATGCGATGGCCCATGCTAAAGGGGCTGAGGAAACGCTGGAGCTTCTCTCCTTCTTGATCATAAAATCTTAAGGGGTTGAAAACATCGTGATCTTTGCCCCAAATGGCAGGGTTGTGATGAACAACGTGGTTTAGGCTGAACAGGCCGGTCTTGATATTTTTGTAAGCAAATCCAGATCCACCAATCTTTGGAGAAGGGAGAGACGTACGCCCTTGGGAACTACGTAGCCCTCGATTTCGAAGCCTTCCTTGGCAGTCACTTCCCGCTCCAGGGGCATAGTGAAAACAGAGTTCATCCGGAAGTTTTCATCTAGACAAGCCATGACGTATGGAAGCTTTGCTTCAAGGTCTTTGATAGGCACGATGGCCGAACCAACATCATCAACAGTTGCATCGACCTCCTCTACCACTTTGGCGTGTACAGCCGGGTTTTGAAGAATGTGAGAAAAGAGAAGAGTAAGGGTTCCAGACGTCGTATGGGAGCCAGCAACACTAAGGAGAAGTATGTTAGAGAGAACAGCGGAAAAGTTCATCTGAGCAATGCAACATCGGACAGCTTACATGAACGCAAATGCCTCTGTTTGTATGTCTAGCTCTGTGAGCTTAGAGCCTGTCTCCGGGTCCACGGAGTTGATCAGACTGGTGATGAGGTCTTTTCGAGCAGCACCAGTGTCAACTAATCGGTTTCTCACACACTCCGCGGTGAGTCTCTTGAGGTTTTGTCTAGCGGCGAGAAGCTGTTGCAGCCATGGAATCGGAATCCATGGAGAGATGGCTTTGATGAGCGGCATAAAATCAGGAATCATGCCCATCAGGCAAGCAAGAAAGATGTGGTCATTGATGGGGGGCAATTTAGAAATGTCCTTTTCGATCTGCGAGTCAAATTGACAGCGGAAGGCGAGATCTCCTAGGACATCAAGGACAAAGAAGGCTATTAAGTCCTTGAGGTCGAAAACTTGGCCTGTTTGGGAGTACTCGTCGAGGTTTTTGCGGAATTGAAGCATGTGACCGTCAATGTGCTGCTCCATTTCTTTGATCGACTGCAAAGAGAAAGCGTGTGCCATCTGTCGCCGCCGCATCGAGTGTACCTTTGGAAATTAGTGCGGGATCTCCAATACCTTGCTAAACTTCCTCCAACGACTCACCTCTTCATCTCGAGTTCCGAATAGATTGGGATTAAAAGAAGTGAAGCCATCATAAAAAGCTGTCTTCGCTAAAGCTCGGCCGGCCTTGTAGATCCTCGGTACGGCACTCCCTTGTCTGAAGGAAAGCATGTTGGGTCCAATGCGGACTACATCCCCATACTTCTCGTGCAGAACGACTAGTGTCTCCGGAAGATGCAAGTTCCATAGTTCCCGGAGTCTCCAGAAGTTGGTAACTGACGCAAGAAAAGGGCCAGGAAATCTGGCCAAAGGATGTATTTTCCGGTAGTAAAACGTATAGAGACCGATGAGAACAGCCAAAAATGCTGTTGTCGACCCGAAAGGGTGCGCGGTTGCGACTGGCAGTAGCTGTTTGGCGTCCATTTCAGCCTTGATTTCTGATCTTTGGTGTTATCGGGTCATCGGATCTACGCACATCTAGGAGGATAATGAAGGCCTATTATATGCCTAGTCCTTTTGACTTCAGTCGTGCAGACACTCGCAAGTCCATGTCTCTTCACATTCAAGTGCGGGCGGCCGAAATTCCGGAAACACACTTCGGATTGCTTCATACAGTTCGATGATTCCGTCTAGGCCAATCGGATTGCTCCACCGGCAGATCGAAACGGAATTCCAAAGGGTGGACACTAAGAAATGGAGAGGGACCGTTCCGTGCGAGCCAATCAAGTTGGTCTAACTCACGGAACCCCAACTTACATGGGTCATTCTGATCGTTCATCTCGATGGTCTTGAACCTCGGGCCTGTCAGAAAGTACTGCCGCCTGGTCTATGTTAAGTCCTGGGGTAGATCTGCCCACGTTATGATGCAAGATACCCATGTGTAGTCTCAAAGCATCATTTCAGATGTTCTCTCATTGTCAGAAATGATATCTGAAGGTGATGGCTACATCTATCCGGTGAAGCACATCCATTAGACTGATTGCCTCCATGCAAATGCCCCTCTGACCGCCCCTCTGACCTCGTACCGTCACACTAGTTTAGTTCAGTCTGGATGTACTCAAAGTCCTTGAAAAACAGGTGATGTTAGTCTTTCCGCCTTATCGAAGCTTAGGAGATATTCAACATACCGCAGGATTTAGAGTCGGAAGTCTGGTTCCAGTACTATAGATCGCGAAATGGGTTCCGACGAAGTTCTGCCAGCCCTCGACGTATGACTGGAGCCAGCGATTCTCAACAGTCGCAAGCCAACTTGGTGTTTTGTCTCCTGTAGAGTATCCTAAACGATATCCTACATCCTTGGCCTCGATGAAAAGCTTCACTGGCTCACCATTGGCAACATCCTCATCCTCAATGTAGGTGGTATTGAGTGTGGCGTCGGGACCCGTCCTAGTGTGCGTGACTATGCATCGCCTACCAGTATCGTTCGAGTAAGTAATGGCGACTTCGTTGTGGTAGTGGATGCTGAGATAGACACTTGCACCGGCCTCCTGTCTCCACGATGCCGGGCTGAAAGAGCTGACTTCGGTGCTAAAGGTCGTATTGATGTCGACCTGCTTGCGAAGTAGTGCTGCCGGGGTTTCGCGATCGTTCAGAGTGTAAACATTGCCTCTGATTCGAAGCTTTCCCTGGCTGGACTCGAAGTCTGTGAAGCCTTTGTATGGTGTCCGTGTATAGTAGTAGGCTTCATCAGTGAGTCCACCCTCGAAATCGTCGCGCCATATCTTGGGCCGGTCCAAGTCGTACAAAACGTCGGGCATGTATTCAGTAATGGGCTCGTTGTTGTTGAACATGGGCCACCCATCAGCGTCCCATGTTACAGGACACAGGAAGGTCTCGCGACCAAGCTGGGGAAGTCCGGTACTGTTCCTAGGATTTTGTGGTCGAATCGCTAGGAAAACTGCCCACCAGTTTCCATCGACGTCGTCAACAATGTCTGCATGTCCCGTCGCAAGTACTGGCAGAGACATATCTTCGCCATTCCACAATACAGGGTTATGCGGGTTACCTTCCCACGGGCCGTCCAAGGTCTGCGAGCGATACACATTTGCTTTGTGATTGGCCTCCGTTCCAGAATCGGCAGTGACCATGTAATATGTGCCGTTGAGTTTGTACAAGTGGCTCCCCTCAGTCTAACATAGTTTGGTCGACGGTTAGCTAGGACAGATTCATAATTTGCTGGTCGTTATGGCTAATGGGGCTTACAAGTGGGTAGCCAAGCTCTGGAGGTACTGTTGTCGTGTGGAGAACACGAGAGTTACTTAAGGAGTCGCCAGTCTTGATATCAATCTCCGTGATCCAGTTTGCAAAATTACCATTCTCGACAAACTCGGAGAATGTCGAAGTCAAATAGACTTTCCCATCGTCGTCGAAAAAGAGGTCTGGGTCGAAACCCCACTGGTCAACATATGTAGGTTCACTCCAACTAGCCTGATCGAAGATATTCGGGGTTGTGACGTAGAATGAACGGGGGACCCGTGTAACCTGTGGGAAGATCCCGTCAGTAAGTAGATAAAAACACCTCAAATACTACCTTTTAAAAACCTTACATTGTCGGGAGGGCTGATCACATCAAACACTGTGTCAATCAGGTAAAAGAGACCGTCATGGTGTCTCAGCGTTGGCGCAAAGATACCTCCACTCGGGGCAGTACCCCGCATGTTCAACTGGGACGGCCGCGATAGTGCATGGCCAATGTTTTCCCACTTCACGCTGCATCGATTGAGTGAGCATTGGGTAACACGGTGCTACGCAAAATCGCCTGGAAAGGAGTAGACTCACAGGTCGGTTGAGTGGTAAATGGGGACGCCGGGAAAGAACTCAAACGTGCTAGTTGCAAGGAAGAAGTCTTGACCAACTCTAATGATCGTCGGGTCCGGATTAAACCCCGGAATGATAGGGTTCACGAGACCTTGTGCGAATGCTATCCGGATGTCAGCCTTTGGTATTTTAGTCGCTGCTGATAACCTGATGAACTCACTCGGAAGCAATACAACGACTGAGGCCAGTCGCATGAAAATAGTGGACTTCATATCGGCTGTCTTAGTGTCATTGGACCCAAATGCAACACATAGATGGTACTACCCAACCTTCTACCAGATGTCACGGACCAATCTTCCCGAGGTATGGATGCTTTATATTGCTCTGAATGAATCCGGGGTAAATGACGTTGGGCCTGCACCCCTCACGGATAAATGCCTGGCTCAATTGACCCTGGGCGGGATGCCGGGTGTGGCAGGTTGCATTGCATTTAAGCTAAAAGTGGACGAACCTGGCTAAAATGGCTCCATTCGGTTTTCGCGATGATGCTAGCCGAGATGCTAGAAGAGCCATGCCGTAACCCTCCCAATTTCAGGGTTTCCGTTCTTCGACTTGTCGTGGGTATCATCGTGCTGTGAGCAAGCGGCGGCTGAGGTATCATCAGATCTCTGCAATTACCATATTTGCTTTCCAGAACCTTGGGTGGTGCGACCAACTTGGCATTTGGGCCAGACAACGTGTAGATCAAGGTAGGTGGTCAATACTACTTTATATCCTCCCGGCAATGCCTTAAGCAAGAGACGTCAACTGAGATAGCTCAACTGAGGCAAGCATACTTGTGATCAAGAGTTGCATGTACTATTTCTTTTCACGTAATTGTTAGTGCATTCGCGTTGATGTTGAGGGCGACACAGAAGTATCTTCCCCACGCACCGAAGACAATTGCGTTGTTGCCAGCCAGCAGTAACACGATGTGGGGCGCAAAGCTCAACTCGATGCTGATGCTGCCGTGGGATTATGCTTTGTTCGAAGGCTCGGTGGTACTATTCATCTTGATGACTTCAAAACAGATCAGTTTACTTTCAAAACTATGGTACTTGGGTTCAATCAACTCTTTGTAGGCACAAAGCCTTGGTTCCTAAATTCGTTGTTTTAGAAGCTGAACAAAGCCCTTTTCATGATCGTTCTCGTTACAATGCCACTGTCATGGCATTCATTGTCAAGATGACCGGTTTAGAAACGTAGATTAGACCTTTGCCAAATTCTCTAAAAGTGTAATGAATCCTCCACAGTGGAACACACAGCAGAACCCTACCCACGATACGTGTACCATTTCCACGACAACAGCATCTTATACCTACTTTACACAGCTGATCCACTGCAACCTCCCCAGACCCAAAACAACTCTACTCTAAGAACCTTTGCGGAATATCCTGCGCCCACCATTCGATATGTGTGACCAACCGTCCGTTGCATTCTATTGCACGCAATGCGGTAAGCCATACGCCTCAGTGTTCCTTCCCGGCAAGTTTGAGCGCTGTCAAAACCCCGAGCCTTGCAAGAAGATAATTGAGCTCGATGGAGGCAGCGTTGCTAGGGGCGTTTGCGAAGACTGCACCCGCCATCTTGTTGTTATTCCCGCACTCGCTTTGGTCGAGTCTGAGCTTCTGAGAAATCAGCGTAAATGAGCAGGTCGAAAAGCATACGATTTCCAGATCTAGGTTATTATGTACAATAATGGAATTACTCCAGTCTCAAAGAATTAGACATTGGTCTTCGACATTGAAGGGTAGATTTTTGTTCAACGGAAAACAGGTGGCTTATTTCCATTTTCGGCCGCAGTAGAAACTCAGTCTCTCAACTTAATGTTCATGTCGCCACTTAGTTGCATGTGGCATCGCATCGAAAAGTTACCTCGCGTGTGCCTGCTCTCCCTTATCCCACTCCACCTGAGATCCAGTCGATTGAGCAGCAGACTGACTTGCTGTAAGCGGACCCGAAACTCCAGCCAAGAGTCGCTCATACTCTCCTCTCGGACCACCAAATACTTCCAGGCTTTCCTCTTTTGTCATTGGCGCCCCTCGTCTAGCATGTGCTGCCCATATCACTAGCATCCGGTTCAGTTCCCTATAGGCAGCCTCTTCGGAGTCACAAAGCAAGGTCATTGTCAACATTGGCCCAAATGAACTTCCGTTGTCCCGCAGAACAAAGTACAGTCCAATATTCGTTCAAAGTCAGGGTCCCGACAAACTCTTGGAAGTTAACGTCACTTACACGAGATGTTCGCGCGTGTATCTATGGCCGAACTACCCTGCGGAGATGAGACAGGGACTACACATAGAATCACAGAGTCTCTGGCGGTCAGTCGACGACATTCAGCTGCGGCTGAGGAGGAATTGATGGAAACTGAAAGAGCATCAGGCATTAGAAGGAAGATGAGTACTGGGATACTGAGATAATTATTCGTTAGAGAAAGAGGAGTAGTCAGCATGAATCATACCATATCAGACTGTGCCATAGATGCCTTTCTGCGACATCCTTCTGATTTGATTTAGTCAAAACCTGGGCACCTGAGGGAGGCCGTGAAGCATGTTTACAAGCTGAGGCATGCACATGCAAACGTCCCGCATCCATCAATGGCCAGGTCTTTGTTAAGAGCTTGAAACCGTCATGAATGGTAATCACATAAGTATGCAATCAACCAGGACATACAAGATGATGCTTGGCGACGGAAAAGGGGAAAGCAGAGTATAGGTTCCTACGTCTCATCTACCTAAGTAAATGTTTGTTCACCGCCGTCAAAGGTTCCTTACCCAGTAGTACTTCAATGACGTTTCGGATAGCCAGATCCTCGAAGCCGATTCTTGTTTCAACAGCTCCACCAGCGGTGTGACATGTCAGACTCACATCTCTCATGGATATCAGACGCTTATTGATGTGCGGCTCGTTCGAGTGTACATCGAGTCCAGCAGCGAAAAGATGCCCTGACTCTAGCGCATCAGCCAATGCCTCTTCATCCACCAGGTTTCCACGCCCAACATTGACCAATCGAGATCCTGCTTTCATTTTCGCTAGGCGTGAGGCATCCACAAGGGCCTTGCCGCCTTCTGCGCCTCCAGGGGCTGAAATTACCACGCAATCTGCGACGGCGAGCATGGAGTCCAGGTCTGGGTATCTCACTGCTTTGACAGTGGCTTCCTGCTCCGCTTGCTTTGGAATAGGATCGACGTATGCTATCTTCATGCTGAAGGCGGCAAATGCCTTCTGTGCAATGCGATAGCCGATGTTTCCGAGGCCAATGATACCGAGTGTGTGCCCTGCAGGGTTGTGTGCTGCCTCGCTATTATGCCGGTGTGCATCAAGGAACTGGTCTGCATTACCACTACGTGCTGCCGTATTGGTCCATTGCATGTTGCGGAATACTGATATGATGTGGTAAAGCGCCATGTCTGCCACAGCTTCTGACGATGCTGAAGCTCCATTGCAATACAAGATTCCTGTTGTTCATGTCAACAAACGTCTCGAAAATGTTGAGAAGAAAGGCAGTGGTGTACCTTTCTCAGCCAAGACATCAACATCTGCCCAGTCATATCCAGCACCTGCGGAGGCAAAGACTTTCGCGGAGGAAGGCAGAAGTGAGATGAGCTCTTTGTCCCAACGGCCCATTTCTCCGCCTGAGTTCCAAAAGGGTCGCAAGATCGCTGAGAAACTGCCCCATTGCTGTTCCCTCAGGGCCTTCAAGAAGGCGTCCCTCTGCCTCTCTTCTATGGTTGGCCGGATGATTGTAGCGATCTCTTCCAACGCCTTGTATCGCTCTGGATTGTATTGTATCGGGTCTCCTATATGGAGCACGATTGGCTTGACAGCACTAGGCATTTTGTGGTCGTGTTGTGGATGCCAAGATCTTCTGAGTTGCTGGGCTGGGAATAGTCTCGATCTATCTTACAACATGTCGCGTACAGGTGAAAACACGCAGTCATAATGTGCTGATTCACAATAACGTCCGATAAGATGGGGATCCAGAGACCTTAAATCTTGGATGATTTCAAAACATCTGCCCATTCATGTCCTTCTACAGAGCACGGTATTCGGGCAAAGTTCCCGCCATACTCAGCGATATCGGGGACTTCTCCGAGCACATCATGCCAGCCCTCGGTTGATTTCCTTACATCCTCTCCCCTGTACTTGCATGCAGCTCAACTGATTGACCCCGCCGACAAAGCGAGGCTTGCAAGGAAGTGTGACGTATAGTGACAATACCCGACCGCTAGAACCTGCGATGCGAGCTCAGAACCTCAGAACTTCCGACTCCCGAGCCGTAGGATCAACCAGTGTTGCTAGCTGTGTTTCACCTGCGCCAACAGATTGTGATGTACTGTCAAAACCCCCTACAGATAATCGACCCCACGATCCGGGGTCGATGCTAGCGGGTATGGATATCCGGGGTTGCGGGGAAAGTGGGATCTTGATGCGCAAGTGCCTAATTTCACGAGGTCGGAATGCTGATGAAGTCCAAAATTTAGACATGAATGTAGTCCCAGGTACCAGAACGTGGAGCTGAGCTTACGGTGGTTCTGGGAAGTGTATCAAAGCCTCGAAGCCTTGCGCAGGCTTGTCTTGCAGGACTATGACTTCGATGGTCCGGGTCCGGATGTTGTGACAATTGCACTCGTTGCAGGTAACTTCTCAAGCACCACATGACACAGTTGATGCTACCTTCCTTCTAGCATCAATACCCATGTCTCAAAATAGCCAACAAGATTACTTTCCGATGAAGCCCTGTCGATCTATCTGTTCATGGTAGACTAGACCAAAATCATGCGAGAACCGACCGGCTCATAAGCCCGTTCCGACCAACCAATCTACTCGCCTGATCTGATTTCAGCACACATCTGACTATTGTTACCATGTAGCCATTCTTCTCGCACAAGATCCACTGCTAGAGCAGATTCTCCACGATTTCTTGCGGGGTAAGGAACTGAGTCTGGGCAATGGAAAAGTTGTATCCGTGAGTACCTAGGTTGCGGATATCGGCAAGCAGTCCGATGACCTCCCTTCGGTCAGCCGTAAATAAGTATGTGACTGCGTCCGAGCCTCATTCCACACCAATGCGTCCATCTCAAGATCGAACGCACTAGAAATTCTCATTTGCACACAAGGATGGCGTTGAATGACCTTCGTAAAGACGACACTCTTGGCCTTCATGTGGAAACGCTCGATCACCCACTGAAATCAGACATATCTCAGGATGTACCCATCGAGAGCAGGGCCTTGAAAGAGCGACGCCTTGTGCGGAGGATTGACGTTCGGATGTGAGTTGCTCGGTGACTTGTCGTAAGTAGTCTGGTGTTTCTGACCACTGTTCTAGGATGCCCTTGATGATGCTACTCTATAAGTTCACCAGATTTTTCATAGCAGAGCTCTCACTGACGTGGTTACCCAGAAGTACATGTGCTTAATTACTTGGACCGCAACAATGTAAAGCAATGGTCTTCGCTAAAAGAAATCACGCTGACTGTGATCAGATCGCGACGGCCCGTCTAGGAAACTTTGAAAAGGACATCGGTCTGGTTGGAACCCAGTACAATACCATTATCAGTGTCTTTTTCGTTGGATACATCCTCATACAGGTTCCCACAAACATGATTCTCAACAAGATGAGACCCAGCATCTTTCTTCCAGTCGTCATGTGCTGTTGGGCTGTGGTCAGTGCCTCCACCGGGGCTGTTCAGAACTACAAGGGAGCTGTAGTTCTCCGATTTCTCCTGGGCTTTGTTGAGGCACCCTTCTTCCGTTAGTTTCCACTAACAACTATCACAGACTCGTGGCTAACCACGCTATAGCTGGCGCCTTGTACCTCTTCAGCTCATGGTATACGAAGAAGGAGCTGGCTGTTCGTATCTCGGTACTATATGCTGCAGGGCAGATGGCAGGTGCTTTCGGTGGCCTTCTGGGCAGCGCCATCATGGGCGGCATGGATGGAAAGCTGGGCCTCGCAGATTGGAGATGGCTTTGTGAGTTTTCTCCTTGAAATCAGTGCCTGATGATATTCTGACTTATCTAAACAGTCATCATTGAGGGAACAATCCCAATTCCGGTCGCCATCGTGACGTATCTCACACTTCCAGACTATCCAGCAACTACCAAATGGCTCACCGATGAGGAGAGGAAGCTCGCTATCCTTCGAATCACGGAAGAAGCAGTTGAAGAAGATAATCGAGAAGAAGCATCAGCGTTGCAAGGTCTGAAGATGACGTTTACGGATCCAGCACTCTACATGATCTGGCTCATGCAACTTGGACTCAACACTGCTGCCGCTTTTACCAACTTCTTCCCCACTATTGTAGCGACACTCGGGTACAACCAAAGAAACACATTGCTTCTCTCTGCTCCTCCATACGTGTTCGCAGCGATGTTGGGCATCACCAACTCTTGGCACAGCGATAAGCATCGTGAGAGATGGCTGCACATCGTGTGGCCGCAGGTCTTTTGCAGTGTCGGCTTCATCATCTCGGCAACTACTCTCAACGTTGCGGCTCGATACACGGCGACATTCATGATGATGAGTGTATATGGCTCATTTGGATGTATCTTGTCATGGGTCTCGACGACGCTTCCTCGGCCGGCGACTAAACGGGCTGTATCATACGCTGTCGTGAACGCCGGATCTAACCTGGCTTCCATCTATGCAAGCTACTTCTATCCAAAGTCCCATGGCCCGCAATACTGGCAGGCGAACATCATCAATGTGGCCTTCTCCGGAATGTGCATTTTTCTGGCCACTTCACTGCACTTCTACCTTCGTTGGCGCAACCGTAAGCTCCGTATTGCCGGAGACGAGGATCTTCAGAACGAAGGCACACGCTTGGGATCACGGTCGACGAAGTTGGGTGAAAAATGGCAGTGCCACCCCGCCTATCAGTATACCTTGTAGGTGAAGCTCAAGACCCTGGAGGAGCCCCGAAGCTCACTCATTGGAAACATGAACCCTATCACCAACTCAGTCATGGAGGGAGCTCAGAGATTCGAGGAAAAAGACGTGTATATCAGTCGATACTAAGAAATGGAAGGGTCGCTGCGTGCTATGACTAAGGTAGCTCGTTAGATACTTCTAGAGGACTGAATAACAATCCAAGACTGTGACTTTATCTACTCCAGCTATGAAGAGATTCCTTTTGAAGACTTGATACCGGCCATTCATTGAGACTCATGCGGCGCTTATCAGTACTGCCCAATAGGGATTGACGTGTCCCACATTGAGACCAATATTTGCCTGTCGCCCTCCCATGGCTCTCTTCCATGGGATACTTGGAAGTTATCGACTAACAAAAGATCTCCCTCTTCAAGAATCAAGCTAATCTCTTCCTTATCAATGACGTCAATAAGCTTGTCAAGAAGCCTACGTGGGATCTCAGTATCGTCTCCATAGACGCTAGGAAGATCTGGCAGCATGTCAGTGAGCATGCGTCACGTAAGCTTTCTGCAAGAACTTACAAGTCATTCCGTCACGGCCGATATGAGGCGGATCAAGAGCACCAATGTCTCGCGTAATACCATGACGCCCGACCAGCCCGTTGAACCAGACTGGCCTGCCGCTCGCCGGTAGCCTGCGTATACCTATCGTTGGAGTTCACGTCAGAATTGAGGTTCTTGCTCTTCATGCTAGCTGAGAAACATTCCGCAGGAGCCTTACCGGGAATATGCTGCGTCAACTCCAGACTTCCATCCTCGTTCCACTTGAAATCTGATGTCAGCTTGCGCACTTGCTTTTCAACTTTCTGCTTTGTCGTCGCTTCGTCGTCTTCTGGAGTAAGTTCCTGCCCGAAGCTGTGCTCGCCAGCCCAGTTGAATTGATTGACCTTGGCTTCATTCCCAGGGGCACGAAAGACCATCTTCATCCCCAAGCCACGCTTGCTAATTTCTTCCACAAGCTCAGGGATCTCGGCTTGGACCTTTTCGAATACGTTGGCACTGCTCGCGATTGGTGTCGCGCCGCCTTCAGCACAGAGTCAGTAAGTATGAACTATCACAGGCACTCAGGTCAACGAGATCAATCTGTTTCGCAATCGCGCAATATCGGGATGAACTCGCCTTTGGGCGCTTTCTTCACACAGTAGAAGTGAATGTTTGAAGGAAAGCGGGTGTATCTAGAGTACTAACGATTGAACGTGAGTTTACTTGAACACTCAATACATCACCTGTGGCCAAACGTAAGCGCCCTCACCTCATTGTGTTGGTAGAATCTGGTGCTGGGCGACCCTTCATTGGCCGTCCAGACATTGTCCGCGAGTGGAGTTCTTTTGCCGGCCAGTCCAATTTGAACATGAGGATAGGAGCCTCTGCCCTTCTCAGCTGCGCCTACGAGTTTTGAGAAAGTCTCGGCTGAAGCGTGTCCTGCACCACGGATCAAGACGGCACCGTGCTTATCCAAGAGATCTTGTAGTTTTCCGGAGTTTCCCAATGCCCTAAGCGCCGCCGCAGAGTCGGCGACGGGAGGTGCGAGACCAGTTGGCCCGCTTGACTTGACTTGTAATCCATAGGGGAGCGCATGGCCAAAATAGGTCCTGGCGCCAGGGACCTCAAAGGCTTCGAGTTGAACTGCCATTTCGTTGCTGTATTGAAAGTTCTGTGGTCTTTCCGTACTTGGTTTGTATACAACGTTGTGGCATATTGCCATGCCTAATCAGGTTCCATGTCTACACTTATGCTACTTCATTAGCAGATACCGAATGCATTACGAGCAGTTCGGTCCGCAGTCGGATGTGCTCCGGGTGTTTGTTCAGCCTAGACAACGTTGCATGCCGATGTTGTCCAATAGTTTGTGAGGATCGAATGGCGAATCACAGGAGAAAAGCACGACATAATCGGAATATCCCCGACTCCAACAACACCCTTGTGTCGAGTAAGAGCATGTCGCCAGAAGCAGGAAAGCGTTCGGTATTGCCTCCCGAGCACTAGGACTAATTGAAAAAGGCCCTCTTGAAAGTATTATCAAGTCCTGAGTAAGTCCGGGAGTTGCGCTCACTTTACCATGTCTTCCTGGCTGACCTTCGGGGATATTCACACGACATCTTGGCTCCATAATGGCGTGCTTCGCTTCCCGCAGCTGTGCAGACATAGACGCACGCTGTTAGCTAACATTTTCCAGATTAACGGATACCACCACTGACGCTTGAATGAGCCTCAAGGTCATAAGAGTAAAACTTCTGCATTTACTTGCTCCAGGTCTTGGTGCTGCGTTAATCAACCGATCTCCTAATTGATTCCAAGGTTCGCCCTGGCGTAATTTGATATGGCGTCCAGACAAGATAGTATTCAAGGTCAGCAGAGTTCTCTGTTCGCAAGGAACAAGTTGTATCTAACACCTTCATCTAGCTGCGCCTTTCACTCGCTCTCTTAGCGATGGCGGCGAAGATTCAGACAAGGATGTCAAGCTTGGCGTTATCGAAGTCAACGTCTTGCAAGAGCGGACTATTGGACTCTTCGGAGCTGTCTCCTTGATTGTCAATAAGATCATTGGTGCAGGGTACGTCTCAAGATCTTGAATCTTGGCATCTTTCCCATTTCTGACAAGCGCAGCATCTTCTCGACCCCCAGCACTATCTTCAAGCTTTCGGGTAGTGTAGGTATGGCAATGATGTGCTGGGTGATCGGAGCAATCATCTCGACGTGCGGTATCTTTGTTATGCTCGAGTTTGGAAGTGCAATCCCTAGATCTGGTGGTATCAAGAACTACCTTGAGCGATCCTTTAGTCCCCGGATCATGCAAACTTGCATTTACGTCTTCTATTGCGTCTTCTTGCGTAAGTGTCCCTGATGCTCCGTTAAGAGCGTATCACGGCCAGCTCAAGGACCTCCCTAACACGCAACATAGAGGTTTCGGCAAGTAACGCCATCACGTTCTCGTCGTACATCCTTGTTGCATCAGGCGCCGACTCGACGACGTGGAAACTGCGTGGAGTTGCGATTGCTGGCGCCGTGTTCTCCGTCGGAATCCACACGGTTGCGCCTCGAACAGGAAGAGCGATCCAGGATTTGCTATCCGCGGTGAAGCTGTTCACGCTGCTCTTTATTGTATGCTGCGGCTTCGCAGCTTTGTCCGGCCATCTCAGGGTGGAAAGCCCTCATAACTTTACCAATGCTTTTGAGGGCACTTCCAACAGCGGATACAACATCGGATCCGCTATCCTCAACGTCATTTTCTCCTTTCAAGGTTATGATAATGTCAATGCTGTGAGTTTCAAATCAAATTTGGGCCGGTTGTTGCGGTTTACTAACCTGATATGCCCAGGTCTTGTCTGAAGTCCGTAATCCGCAGAAGACTCTGCGAATCGCGCTACCTCTCTCCATGAGTGTCATTGCAGTGCTCTACCTGCTAGCGAACGTGGCATACGTAAGCTCAATAACCTTCATCGCACTGTTAGTCGCTGGCTGACACAGACAATTAGTTTGCCGCCGTGCCCAAAGAGGCTTTCATCGCGGCAAAGGTCACCGTAGCCGCCACCTTGTTCGAGAATATCTTTGGACCCTCGGCAGGAGCCAAAGCTCTTCCAGCACTGGTCGCTCTGTCGGCACTGGGACATCTCCTGGGTGTTGCATTTACCATTCGTGAGTTCCTCAACCTCGGTCAGCACTGTGAGCTCAATCAACTGACTTCATGTTCGCCAATCAGCTCGCCTGCTGCAAGAGCTGGCAAAGGACGGCGTACTTCCGTTTTCCAACCTGTTCATGGAGAATAGGCCGTTTCGTACGCCCATTTACGCCTTGATTCTACACCTTGGAGTGACTGTTCTCTTCATTTGTGCACCGCCGGCTGGAGACGCTTTCAACTTCGTCGTCAGCTTGTCTAGCTACCCGACAACGGTCTTGTTGACAGCTATCACCGTTGGCTTGGTAAAGTTGCGTTTCACCGACCGGGAGAACTTCCAATCACCGCTCCGGGCACCCTGGATTCTGATTGTGATCTATCTTGCGGCGAATATTGTAAGTGTGCCTATGGATTCGAGGACCGTGAGGTTTGATCGCTGATACCTGGTGATTAGTTCTTAATCGTGATGCCGTTTGTAAGACCACCGAATGGTAAAGGCAGTACCTCGCTGCCGTATTGGCTTTCTTCTGTTGTTGCGTTGGGCATCCTTTCTCTTGGCGTCATTTACTACGCATTGCGGTTTGTGATCGCTCCGAAACTCTTCGGTTATAGACACCAACAGATTCAGCAAGAGCTCAGTGACGGGTCCAAAGTTACTAGGTTTCAAAGGATTAAAAGGTGATCTATAGGATATTACGTCGCCAATTATAGATGATATTAGTAACCATCTTTGATTTATGTTAAGCATCATATTCATTCGTTCATTGAAGTCGTTGTTGTGCTGTGGATTGATTGTGTTGTGCTGACGGCTGGAAAGGGGTCATGGGAGGCCCCTTCAACGCCTTGTGGGGTGCTTGGCATGTCGCGACGCACGCATGCATGTGCTCGTCATTAACGAAATGCAGTGAAAGGTAAATGCAAAATGACACTTGATCAAGCTTAAATTGAGTGATCCTGATAAAAGGGCTCAAGGTGAGGCCATCGTCATAGCTCTAAATCGCGGACAACAACAACAACCCGCCGCTATCCGCTGCATCACCATTCGATCGTGTGTTGTGACGTCGTGAAACACAGCCGCCGGGGTTCATTTGGCGCGGAAGCCAGCGTTGGCGCTGGTTGGTGGAGACTCAGCTTGGAAAATGCGTTGAGTTCATTGATGGAATTTTGGCTGAATGACATCGGCGGACAAGGGTCTCTCTCCCTCTTTACCTTGGCAACCAGCTACTACGTAGGTATGTACTCGCCTTCTCACCAGAAAACCGCGTCCTGGCGTCGGACTCGAGCCCCCCCAAAGAGCAATATGTAGTGCAGATGGAGACGGTGTCAAGATCAGGCTAAGCGTCTAGGTGTGACCAGGGTTGTTTGACAGAGAAGGAAATAGGGGAAATTGGGATTAGAGATGGAAATCCAGGGACCAGAGATGACATCAACGAGGGTTTTCGGCTATGTGACGAGCTTTCGGGATAAACTTGGGTGGAGCCTACTGGTTTTCGCGGGTGGAATCGGCTATTCCATAGTCCACGATGGAGAACATCTAGAGATACGGGCAGCAGATAGGCTTTGCGAATGGGGTCACGATAATAAGGTCGGGTGCTAATGTTGAGTGAGAATACGGATTGAAAATTAGAACTGAAAAAATCGAAATGTTTCGATCACCAACAAAATGATCCCGGTAAGCCACACACCCGAAGTTACTTGCCGATTGTTGTATCCGCACATGTCATAATCTCACGGTTCTCAACAGCTGCCACCAGCACCGGAAGACATTACGGCAACGGAGGACTCCGCTGGCCGTCCTCCGTCTGGTCAATGCTTCCACTTATGGATGTTAGTTGGTCTTGTGTGTGGCGAGACGCCGACTGCAAATGCCGTTAGTAGCAAGCAAGCAAGCAAGTTGCAAACCATACAGGCACGGGGATTGAGAGCATAGACTCTGGTAGCATCGGGCACGTGAGGAATAGCTACCACACCAGCCAAAGCCAAAACAAGTCTGCGGGGGCTGTGCTTGGATGGTCCAGGATCATTAGATGGACGGAGATGCACGAAAGATGCACAAACAAGGGGTTTCCTCAACCACCTCGAGCGTTTTGCAAAGCTCCAGCGAACCAGCAGCAGCCTTCAACACCAAGTTCCCCAGACGTCTTCCAGGAACTCCCCTGGCACTCCAATAACGATGAGAGTCTCCTCTCCTTGAGCACAACGTACAGCACTGTATCCGTAGCGCTGCAGCAATGATGAGAGAGAGAAAGCAAAGGTCCAGTCTTGTCCCCAGCGGCATCACGTTACTGCACCCGGGCTGTGCCGATTCCACCCCGCATATCGGTCGACATCACCCCACAATCGACACTCTGGAACGATGTCGACGCCATGCCCAATTGGGGCGACTGCTGAGCGTGGTGCGATGCTGGTGTCACACTGATTCTCATTCTGGCCGCGAATCCCGTTTTGCCTCCCTCCCCTGCGGAGATGCCTTGTACCGTACGGTGTACCGCTCAATGCTCATCTCAACCTACCTTACGCACTACGCAAGTGCTGTTAGCTACTGTGTGGGCGGGCGGTGCCATGCCATGCTTAGCCCCCCTTGGCCTTGGGGAGGGAACGGCTGGGGGTGACGGGGTTCTCAGACACAAGATTGGCGCGGCGCGAAAGGTCGAGACGGGACGTTATATGAATACATTGCTTGCCGCTGCCACCTCCTCATCAAGACGCTTGCTTTTAGCCCGAGAGATCTATCTAATCATCCCTTGCGATTGTTACCCACACGTAACCAAGATACAAATACCGATTTCATCCCCATCCCACACACCATCTCCTACTGAGATACCTGATCCCACAACATACAATGTTCAGACAAGCTTCAAGAAACTTCACAACCAACGCTCGCATGCCGCCGAGCTACTTCTTGCAAACTCCCCGTCGACTCGCCATGAGATGGTACGTCTTTTGATCTCTGATTCGGTCCTAACACCCCAACCTGGCACCCATTCCCCCTCTTCCCGGCTCCCCCGAATCCTGGGGTAAAACACCACAACCGCAACCGAGAGACTTTGGAACTGACGAATCCGGCATAATAGGATCCCGCCCACAGTAGCAGTCGTCGCCGTTGGCTACGGCCTCAACGCCTACCGAGAAGGCATGGTCGAACGTCGCCGAGCAAAGAACGCCGCGGCGGAGAAGCAGGCAATTGAAGATCGCATGCGGGCGGCAAAACTCATGGATGCCTACGGCGACCGATCGAGTCTCGAGGAGCTAGAGAAGGCGATGGCAGTCTACGAATCCCAAAATTAAGGATCGACCGACCTCGATGTCTCAGTACAATCACTTCAACCTTTCCTTTATCACCACAACATCATCACAACATTCGACATCATCGGAGAATGGATCAACCTCAGCATCGGCAACGGCGTTTTACAGCGATCAAGGATATTATTCGGCGGGATCACAAGGAAACGTTTTTAACATGTGATGGGCGCTGAAGCTGCACAAATTGACAGCTTGCATTTTCAGGGACGGAGGCATGGCGTTTGGGCAGGCGACTCTACATGGAACGCATCACCATGGTCAAAGTTCGTCATAAACTGGTGTAAATACTAGCAACCCGAGTACATATTGAATACTCAAAACAACACCTCTACATTCACAATGACTACCAAAATATTCCAATGATGCACCGACCTATTCCCACGTGCACCCGATCACAGAACAGAGGATCATACCCCAGTACCCCGCACGCGTCCCATGATGGACGGGATCCTCGGTGGCGCTCACAACGTTGAGAACGGCACCAGTCCGGGGGACAGATACCGCCACACCGTCCGTTCCTCTTGATTCGCCGGCGCAAGCCACGTTTATTAACGCGTGTTGCCAAGGCTTCCAGCTGAGCTGGTTGATGCAGACACGAAATACGATGCGAGGCATGCGAAACACGTAAGTCCAGCCTGGTTGACGATGAGCTTCGATGTTTGCTCTCCCTGGTCGACTTCATATAGGATGCGATGTGTTGTGAGATGCCAACATGGACGTGATTTTCTATGCATCGTTGGGAGCGCCTGACTTTCCGTCGGTAAAGCATTCAACGCCAAAGCTGCTTCGCAATATGGGTGGAGGTTCCTCCCGGTGAGTCTGTGACTGTGCCCGTGGTGAGCCCAAGTAATTGACATGAGATAGTCCGTCGCCGCCTCCGCGCGTCCCAAAGACGCTGCCGTCTACCACGATTTGGATCCAGCATTTACCTCCACTCATATCTGAGACAACTCGTCAAGCGATCCTGTCCATCAGACAGATACGCAGTCAATACTTAACGGGGGGCATATCGAACATCGCCCTCGAGGACTTGACGTCGCTCATTGAGAGACTTGAGTTATTGATTGAGGATGCTCGACACGTGGCCAACATTCGGGACTACATCACACTCTGCACAGAGGAGACCATGCTGCGATTATTGAACGATCATGAACCGATCTCGCAAAAGCTGCTTGAAATTTCCCATGCCGTAAATCCATTCCTTGGGTCACAGAGGACTGATGCGGAGAGACTGGGGGCAGCCTCTACCTCAGGAGAAGATGACAACCTGCCTATTCCTTTTAGACCGTCTGATACATGCCTGATAGATGAGTCTGAGAAGGACCTCTTGGTCTTGTTGTATTATTGCAATGTTGAGCTTCTCGAGGCTTCCGTCGAAGAGGCGCTGGGTCAGCTGTTGAAAATGGCGAAAAAGTACGGCACCGTCAAGGACTTGGATCTTCGCAAAGAATCCCTTTCGGAAACCGAGGTAATGTTAATCTAGCCACATATAGAACCTCGGCTTACCTGCGTTACAGATCAATATTCACTGGATCTTGTTCTACTTGGAGAATAAGATCTCCCTCGCGATAGCCGCCGGTGGAGACCCACCCGAGTCTGGAGCCAAGCTCGACTTTGAGAGGAGCACTCGAATGAGTCGATTGTTGACGATTTGTGAGATGTTGCTCTCCGAGGGAAGATTGGACCAAGTCTGCTTTCTCTTGATACCTTTGCGGCGGTGCATCGCAAGCCAGGACAAGACTTGGTGGCGGTCGAGGACAAGACGACTACTCAAAGGCATCAAGAAGACGCGGGCCGGTAGGCAGAAGTGGCATATACAGCTTGCGGATGAACAGCTGCTTTGTATCAAGAGCCTGGAGAATGATGGCGGAAAGTCGTGGGGTTGGCGTGGTTCTTCCACGATCCGGCCCGAGGCAATTGAGATGGGGAAGGTGAAGGGCGACTGAACCGTTGTGGAATCTGCCTTGCAAGAGCAATGGGCCAGGGACTAATTTCGTGACTGAGAATGGACTAAATATGTAGTATAGGTCTCTCAGAACGTCAATCATTCCATCTATATGAATGAAGCGCTCTGAATCGGTCGGGATCGAACGCATGTAAATGGATGGCCGCCATCCACCAAGCGCCGTGTTCACCTCCGAACAACCGGCGGATAAGTGGAGATTGGCCCCGGTTTTGGGGCCGATTCAAGTCTCGAGGATGATCCGGGCTAAACCAAAAGTCGTTTGGATTGCCATGGAATTGGTATTTCTTTTGGTCCGCGTTCCTTTTGTATTATGAAGGTAAGGCCTTAAATTTAGTATTTGAAAAGTCCAGTGCCGCGTTGGATCCTGAAGGATTGCCTTGCCTGACCAGCCTCGCGCTAATCTTCGCTGTCGTGTAACTCGTGTTCACCTGGTCCTGTTGGGAGGTGGTGCTCTGAAGTGGAACCTTTTCAATTGGGTTTTAAGGTTTACGAGAACGAAAACGCGCCCAAATTGACGATGGATGCTCATTTGTCAGACGACTTCCCAGTGCTCGCGTATCTCTTACTTCTTCTTCCCTCCTATTATCCATATTCCCTTCCTACGGACACGATCTCCGTCAATAGATTATGGATCAAACCAGGGCAGCCCCTGACTTACTTAAGAACGCCTCGAATCCTGTTTGGCTGAACTTGAAATCCACATATGCTTTGGTGCTGTGGACAGCCAGGCAATTGCGGCGCCAGTCTGCATCTGGATCCGGATCCCGGTAGCTCTGTTGCCTGCGATGGAGCCTTTGCTTAAGAAACCACCGTATGTTTTATCAAATTATCTGCTACTGTAGCATTCGCATGCGACGCGGTGTTGCCTGACCTTCACTCGTGCATGCTGTTTTGCCCGGCACTTGGACTTTCACTCCTGTTTACACATTTGTCTCTCTGTCAACGATTTTTTTTTACCATTCACAGTGGACCCTGAACTCAATCCCGAATGTTCACATAAACCATCCAGTTAAAGTGTCACTCGGGACGTTTGACAAACATCCGCCATGCTGCTGCATCGTCTGTATCTCGCCGCGGCCGCCGTCGCCAGCGCCAGCGCACAGATCCAACTCCGCTGGTCAACCGATCTCGGAGGGAACGAGAACAGGACCTATGGTCCCGACGGGCCATGGCAGGCGCCACTCCTCAAGCTCAACGACACTGAGATGCCTCTCTGGCCGGGCGGCTCTGGTATCTCTGAGATCCTGACGAAATCCATAGGCGGAGATTATACGCCACGCCGCGATACCCTCAAGACGGGGACTTCGAGAGCCTGGTCTGATGGCTGGTTCGCCAGCGCCTTTATGGGGGCGGGCTGGGCAGGAATGGAGGCCTCAGACGGCATGGTGATCGATTCGAGGATGGGAACCAGTCGCAAAATCAGTGTCAACGTGACTTTGGTCGCCGCGACTTCGTGGAATAGCTCTACCAACTCAGACACGACTGCCTACACGCCAACGGTCGGCACCCTTGGTCTCGGGCCCAGGAGCGAGAGAGACGAAACGGCCGTTCCGGGAATCCTCGAACAGCTCAGGACTTCAGGCGACATCGATAGAACCGCGTTCAGCGTGCAGATGGGGAGTGCCGCTCTCGGGATTCCTGGATCACTAGTACTGGGCGGATATGAGCAGAACAGGGCGCTCGGTCAAGTTGGCACGTTTGCACTCCAGGACTCGATACCGGTGATGTTCCTAAGGGATATTATCTTTGACTTTCAGATACGGAACCAGTCATTGTACCCTATTAAGTCGAATGCGAGCTTTTGGACGAATCCAACAGACCTCGGCATGCAGTACACCAAGTACGTTGGCGGCGCTGCTGGGTCGGCGGTCGTGATCCCGAACCCAGCTTCACCGTACATCTATCTACCGCCCGGGATCTGCGAAGCCATAGCAGAGAATCTTCACATGACGTACCACAACAAGTCAGGGCTCTACCTTTGGGATACTGACTTGAGCGCCCAACTATTTGTCAACCAGTCAGCGTACCTCGGTTTCGTCTTGGCCGACTCGAGTGCCACGAACATAACTATTAAAGTCCCCTTTCAGCTCCTCAACCTGACATTGGAGCCGCCGCTGATCGAGCAGAAGGCGAGCTACTTCCCCTGCAAATCCATCAACTCGAGTTACGGCTTCTGGCAGCTGGGCCGTGCCTTTCTCCAAGCCGCATTCCTCGCCGTCGACTACGAATCCAACGTCACCTACATGGCGCAAGCTCCTGGCCCACGGATGGAGCAGAGCATTGTGAAGAAATTTGACGACTCAGCCATCAGCACCAACCCGGCCGAGTCGTTCGTCACGACATGGGGCGACGCCTGGGATAAAGGGCAAGTTTTCCAGAGCTTCGACACCAGCGATAAGAGATTGACAGCTGGAGGAAAGGCTGGCATCGCAGTCGGGGTTATAGGCGCGGTCCTCGCGTTGGTATGGTTCTTGCGCCGCCGGAGAAAGCAGAAGATGGGACCTGATTCTCCGCCGGATGCCGTCGACAAGGCTTTCTTATGGTTGAACGGAAAGAGGGGCAAGAGTCAAAGAGCGCAGGTGGCGAGCCAGACGAGTTCGATGGCCGAGATGGGGGGCAACGGAGAGATGCATATGAGGTATCAGGCGGAAGCAAAGGTTCTGAGGGAAGGGAGCCACGTCAGCGAGTTGGATTCGCGGTCGCCTCTCACTGAGATGGGAACACCACTGTCGCATGAGATTGGCTCTACGGATCGACATCCAGTGAGGCACGAGGCACCGGACGACCACATGGTATACGAGATGCCGGCGAATGCCGAAAGAACGCACAAGACACAATGAGTGGTGGAGGTCAAAGAACAAATCGTCCTGTGATAGGTAGTTCCTTAGGTCGTTCGTGTTGTCACATAAATACCCAAAGTCAACTTCTCTTCTTGAATAGAATGACTCCTGAAAGTCGAGCCGAGAGGCAAGAGGAATGACCAGCCAGCGACGTGGCAACATAAGGGAAAGCGCAATCTTAAGAAAAACAAGAGCATTCTATATCTACGCAGACTGTACCTTAGGTATCTAGTCTCTAGATCTAAACATCAAATGGCATAGTTCGAGTTACATGAACAGTGATGGCTGGTAGAATTGAACTCCGGCTTCGGCAAAGGGCCCAAATGGGTGCGAGTCGCCTTCGCACTTTGTGTCAGGCTCTGGTAGTGTTCCAGTTTGGAAGTAAGCCCTGATATGACCTCTAGTGCATTCTGAAGGGGCTGCGAGAGTCGTGTGCTATGAACAAAGAATATCAGCTCTCCGATCTTTTACGTAGTTGTTCCTCTATGAGAATGCGACTTTTTCTCGGAGGGTACATGTACTCACGCCAAATGAGTTTTGAACTAGAAGCCTTGATCCGGGGAACCCAGCGGAGTTGTTGCGAGCACTGACTAGCGGCGTGATGTTGTCGGCCTGGTTGGCGATGAACAAGATGGGGTGGCTAGTCTTGCCCTCAAAGGGCCCTGAACCGGATTAGCATGGACGCGGTCAGATCTCTCCTTACAACCACTGCTAGAACTTACCACTAAATCGCCAGCGGGGACGCGTAATTCGCTGATTGCAGGTCATTTGGTACGGGACTTCAGTGGCTCCAGTCCCTGGACTAAGCTCCAGTATCCCATCCGTCTCTCGTTGAATCTCCTCAAGAGTCATATTACTGACAGCTGGGTGGTCGGCGCACATGATGACGGGGAAGGCATCTCCGGTGCCTTCGACGATACCCGGGGGCGGCTCGAACGGAGAAACCGGCTGCGGGGCGCAAGCCGGGGCCGGAGCCGGTTTGCTAGGGTTATAGCGCCTGTAGTATGGTCGCCCGTCCTTCTTTTCGAGCGCGGCAATGATATTGGCAAAATTCTCAAACTGCTCCAGTGGCTGGTAGAGCGTTGTCGAGAGAAGACGCATGACCTTGGAGTAGGTCACGAGCATAGGTACTTCGGGACCTTCCTCTGGATCGGCCGGAACGATGACTGGATGCCTCTTAAGAGCGTTGAGCAGGTCAACGAATCTCCCCATGATGGCTTCCGAGGTGGGACCGTGGAAGGCGCATTTTTCGGGCCCAGCTTGATAGCAAAACTCGTAAAAGGCGAAGAGAACCTTGTCCGTGTCGCGAATGAAGTTGACGTGTTCCGAGTTAAACCACTCTCTGTAGTCAACGTTGCCATCGCTGACCAGGCGTTCTACCTTGTCCGGATACATGGCCGCGAAAACGCCGCCGAGGATGGTGCCGTAGCTGAAGCCCCAGTACTTTAGCTTGCTGTACCCGGTCTGGTACACAATCTCGAGCATGTCCCTGGCGGTCGGGGTGGTGCTGGAGTGTTCAAGTATACCGGACGCTTTCATCGCGCTCTCGCATGCTTGGGAGTATGCCGTCGCTCGGGCAAAAAGTTCTCCGACGATACTTTCGTGGGAGTCGAGAACTCCAGGGTCTTGTAGACCCCAGTTTTGGCGCTGTTGTGGGGTTGACCAGCATTGGATTCTGGGGATGGAGGCGCCAACTGTCTCAGTATGTGAGCGATTGTCCACATATTATATCTTTGAAGAAAAGACTTACCACCTCTGGGATCGAAACTGATGAGGTCCTACACATTGTAAGATTTCCCGAACGAAGAATCTTGACTGGATCGGTAATTACTTATGCAAACTTACGTGGTTTACACCAATAATCTCCTGCAGCATTTTGCCATGGTTTTTCAGGGACCAAACCCCTGAGCCGCCGGGACCCTGAATACAGGTTTCAGCGCACCGTTGATGTCTTGGGAAGAGATCGTGACAAGTTTGCTTACACCAGGATTAAAGATGACTGGTCCTCTATAGTCAGATTTGTCCGTTGCCCGGATTCTCGTAATCGCGAGTACAACTCGGTGGTCATCAGACGGTTCTTGCCAGTCCATGGGGACCTGAGCGATGTTCTGTTAGACATGCTGGGAGTTTTGTGGAGACGGCTTCTCGGGCACTAACGTCTAGTCTGGCGCAGTCATATTCTCCGTTCTCGAAGCAGCTGTGCCACTCCAGGGTCCGACTCGGCTTGATCTATGAAGCTTGTCAGTTCTTCGGGATCAATATTGCGACTGGCATCCCGACGTACGCTTGACCAGGTCCATTCTGAATCAGCACTTTGTTTGAATGTGCTTCCGCTCCCGGCTAGAGACCATGGACCCGGGAAGAAGTTCCCTCTGACAAGCGCCGTCACAGCGAGTACTGATAGAGCAGCGGTGACCACTGTTCTACACTTGCTCCCTGACCTGATAGCCTCTTTGGGCAAAGGAAATCCTGAGGGAATCTTGCTGTCCATGGCAGTTCAGCACGACGTTCGGCTTGGTGATAGCCTCGGGAGTGATTCCAGTCAGGCAGCGAGGGAAAGAGGATAAGAAAGCGTTGAGCTACCCGGACCGGCTGTATTTCACAGTGAGCCCAGCTGATCTTTCTGTGGGGGTCCCCATGGTTCCCGGATCACCGACTCAGCAGCCAAACACGACTCTTGTGAAAGCCGGCATCTTGCTGGCTAGTTTAGGATTAGCGCTGTCCTGTGCGTGAGTGGTCTCTCGAGTGAGCCCAGTCTTGGCTCGTACGAATCAAGGGTAGATAAGGGGGAAAAGTAGGGGTGCTGCGGCAGCTGTGCTGTGCAGCCTGTGTTGATCCTCCAAACGTTTGTGCATTATCTTTTTCATCTGATTATCAGGGCTGTCGGGCGAAGAGAGTTTGCAGGGCGTCGGCACCCTTGATTCAGTTCCTGGGCATCTCATTTGGCCACGTTTACGCTAAATTCCAAGCCATCTCCCGCGCTTTTGAGATCAAGTGACACGGGTCTCAGAGCCAATCCTACGGTCCCCCGAGATCTTGAGGTGACATCCTCCTCCTGTGGCAGTTTACCTTAAACCCAAGAAAGGTTGACCGGCCGGGCGGATCCAGAATGACGGAGCGGGCGGCCCCATCTGACTCGAGTCGAATCTTCGGTCGCCGATGACATCGGGGGGGATTCCCACTTTGAATTGCGAGCGGCTTCGGGGGGATCAGTGGAGCGATTTTGGAAACTGGCTTCAGGGTCTAACCCAGCCGGTCGGTCCATATTTGCCGGGCACCTTATCTTAAAGCCAACAGTAGTTCAACACCAAGAATCCCACCGGTTTGTCATTCTCATAGGGTCGAGCATCCCCATCCTCTACATGGTAAACGTCTAGAAGCACCTGGGTCCTCCCATCGCACATCGTTACTGTAAGGGAAGACATGGTGCCTGATCCTACCCCATACATCGGGCGATGTACAGATAGCTTCGGATACCGAATCGTTCAGACGCTATCACCGAGTGCTATCACACGACACCTCGGAGGATGCACGAGGGATGACAATGTCCCCGATTTGATAGGCTCCTCGCCTCTCCGCGCCGACCCCGCGCGAGCAATTGGCCGGTGGGCGCAAGATAACGACCGCGAAGAACAATAACAGCCTTCCTGCAAAGGTAAAGTGAGTACAGCCTTTAGAATCCTTCTGTCGATGGGAGGTTTGTCGGTTCATTCTAAGCCGATGTTTTCAATTGTCGACCAGTCATCTGTGCTTTTTTGTGTTTCTCAAGTTGCTTCCAAACAAGGTTCAGGGTGCCGTCTCAACTGATAATCATTGAACCTTGGCCAAGAAGTTTGCGGTAGTTTCTGCAGTGCGGGCATGACTCAAAAATAGTTAAAGCTCTTCGCATCTGCTCTCAGTTTACCCAGCATGGGCCGACGAACCGGTCGTACGTATTCGTACGACAGTGACGAGCGGACGAGTCTACTGCCGACGTCTGAAGAAGAGAGAGAAGCAATGGGCTTTGTCACGTCGTTGAGGGGACACCTCCATGCAGAGGGGTCCTCGTCGGCAGACCCCGCCAACGGGGATATAGCTGCATCGGAAGCACCTCGGGACGTTGAGATGGCTGGGAAGACGGACGACACTATCGAGGACCACGATCATGTCAAAAAGTTTGACACCTCCGAGCCTCTCGAGTCGGGTGTCGGCACTATTCAAGCTGCTCAGACATTATGGGGGAAGAAGGGAAGATGGCTTGTTATTGTCGGGTAAGCCCATACAACCACTTGCCTCATATGCACGTTGTTATTGACATCTATACCAGTCTGGCCTTGGTGATGATTGTGTAGTAAGTACCATATTTCTCCTTGGTCATGGGCTCAATGGCTTCCTCCCCTTAATCCACCTGGCTAACCGTCATAAAGCGAAATCGACAACACCACCGTCTACATCTACAACAACTATGCGACGTCTTCCTTTTCAGCTCTTTCCAAGCTAGCAACCCTAAGCACCGCCAGCGGCATCGTCTTCGCTGTTATCAAACCGCCAGTCGCCAAGCTATCCAACGTCATCGGACGAGGAGAAACCTACATCATGAGTATATCCTTCTACGTTCTGGGCTACATCCTCATGGCAACATCGACAACTTTCAACGCCTATGCTGCAGGCGTTGTATTCTACGTTGTCGGCCAGTCAGGCACAAACATCATGAACGACATCGTTATTGCCGATATCACTACCGCCCGCTGGCGTGGTTTTGCTCTCAGCTTCTCCTTCTTCCCATTTCTCATCACACCTTGGGCAGCTGCCTTCATTGTCGACGACGTCGTCAAGCCCGGCGGTATCGGCTGGCGATGGGGCATCGGCATGTTCGCAATCCTCATGCCCATCGGCGCCGCATTCATCATTTCGACCTTGCTTTACTACCAAAAGAAGGCCAAGGACATGGGTCTCACCCCAAGGCAGAAAACAACGCTCTACAGCTTCTGCTCTCAGATCGACCTGGGCGGTTCAGCACTTCTCTGCGCGGGCTTCTCATTAGTCCTGATACCGCTAACGTTGGCAGCATCGACACCAAGCAGATGGGGAACAGCATACATCATCGTCTTAATCGTGATTGGCGTCATGCTCCTCGCTGCGCTGCCGTTCTACGAGCAGCGCTTGGCTCGCAACCCAATCATGCCCACACGATACTTCCGCAACAAGACCATCGTTCTTTGCCTCTTGCTCATCGCGAGTGACTCAGTCGGGTTCGCCTGCACGCACACCTATCTCTACTCATGGTCTACCGTTGCCCGTGGCTTCGTCGCCCGGGACGCTACGTTCTTCCAATACACCAACGGCGTGATGCAGTGCGTAATGGGAATCATCGCCGGATTGGCAATGGCATACACTCGCCGATACAAGTGGCTGCTCATCGGCGGCGCAATCATCCGTCTCGTCGGCTACGGTATCATGCTTCGCCTCCGCGGTGCTGATAACTCCGTGGCCGAGCTCTTCATCGTCCAGATGATCCAGGGTCTAGGTTCCGGCATAATGCAACTATCGATTCTTGTGCCAGCTCAGGTTGTTGTGCCTCACCGCGAGATGCCACAGATTACTGCTTTGGTCATTTGCTGTTCGGTCATCGGGGGAAGTATCGGAGGTTGCATAGCTGGTGGCATCTACACCAACACATTCAAGCCGATGCTGTACAAGTATCTCGGCGCCAGCGCTTCACCGGAGCTCGTCGACTCTTTATTCGATTCAATTGTTGGCACCGCACCTGCATGGGGCACTCCGGAAAGAAACGCGATCAACCACGCTGTAAGTTCTGACGTCTCAAGAGTAGGCAATTTCGCGTCTGTTCGACAAAGCTGACTCCATACCACAATGCCATAGTTCACAGATGTGATGAAATTCATGGTCTATACTGCCGTTGGAGCTTCAGCTCCGGGGGTTATTCTGGCTTGGTTCCTGCCAGATTTTGTACTACCGTAAGTCCACACATGATGCACAATCCTGCAGCAGCTCATGTTGTGCCTTTCGCCTTTACTCACAACCTTCCAGTGACCGAAACAACATGGTTGAAGAGTAAAACAGAGTCGACTCAACAGTTGTGAGGTATTCTTTTACATCGCCAACCAGTGGCAACAAGCGAAGGCTTATCTTCATCAACGCATTCATGACGGGCATACATATAGAGGAGGGCCGGGAGCAGCGACAGAAAAGCCTCTCATTTTCTCCATAGACACAGCAACAGATGAGCTAGCATTACGAGAAAGCATTGCGATCGTACCTTCTTTCCATGGCAACCTATGTTGTGCCCCGTTGAGCTTACCGAATGGTTCAAGCCGCGGTGATCGCGTCGCATTGATCGTTTGCCTGGCCCATGCTACAAGAACTCAATATCTTCTCGTCAGCTGGGAATGAGTGATCATCACCACCCTGTGAGTCAACACTGCAACCCACTCAGCTGGGAGAATCTACTATATGAGTGCCAAGTCACCAACCAGACTCGCCTGATCTAGCGGTTTCCGTATCTGAAAAGACTCTCAAGAAAGAAGTCGTTGACGTGTGCCAAGCCTGGTTGCCATGGGCACAATGGCTCCATCATCAAGGTTGAAATGGATGTTTACCTTAAGCTTGTTTTCTTACCCCATGTTTGACGAGCTAGACCTCCCGCTCTGGCTGGTGAAACCGGCTGGACGGGTATCCCGCCAGCGGCGTCGTGCCGGGCCAAACTTAGAGACTGGGACCTACACTATGTACGCCACCCCGCAAAGCTCGTGCGTGCCCCCTCTTCCATTTCCACATTCCTTTTTCAGCTTCAACATAAGCTTTCGCACGATGCGGCCCTCAGATGTGAACCCGCAGTCTGTGGGCCGTTACTCGATGCTTACCTTATTGTCACTCCAGCAATCTCACACATTTCCGAGTCCTTTGGGCTCAACTCCCTCTTGCATGTGCATGTTAACACACTCGAGGCATGGACAGTAAGTCTTGATTTCGATTTCACTTGACGAAACAATACTGCCCCTCTACTCCCCATTGTGATCCAGGAGGTTGGTTTCGTTATGAGTCAATATGTCGGCTCAAGAGAAGCCGCCGTTAGTTGCGTGAACACGTTATTTGGATTTGTCAACTACTTGCTCCAGCCTCAAACACATTGACAGAATCCAGACTTTCAGCTCGATTCACCCAGCTTTCTGGTGGGCCGCCTCAAGCTCGATTCCTCGTTCTAGCTTGTGGCGTACAGCTTCCTCGAAAATAAAATCAGACCCTGGGCTGAAACTTCAGTCGCAAAAAGGATATTGGGCGAGCGTTGTGATCGCGTTGAGGCCACGGAGCTTAGCATCGAGCGCCTCGAACCCACGATCTCGGAAGCGAGCTTGTGGGTGCACCTCGGTCTGGTTCATTGGCAAGCGCAAACCCATTGCCAAGAAGACACCAGCGGCCTTGGCTCAATTTTCACAAACGTGCTGGACCGTGACCAAGAGTCATGGACAGATCTCCAAGCCAGACAAGCAAATCCCATTCTCGCTTCACCCGATTCCGGTCGCAAGTAAGGCCCTGTCTCACAACATGAAGCCTTCAACGCCGATACTATACACAAATCGTTCAGTTTGAAGAGCAAGACGAAAACTTATAAATAAGCCATGTTCTCACCTCGATCGAAAAGGAACATCCTCCCCATCACACTCACTCTCAAGATCACAGTCGCTTCTACACACCTACTCATACCACTCATTCCAATTCTCCTTCTCTTTTCAAGAACTCCATACTCTCAACTCAATCTCAAGATGCATATCCCTACTTTCGGACAGGTTGCCACCATCGGCATGGCTTTCTTCGCCGCCGCTGCCTTGGCTGCTCCCATCGCTGAGCCCCTAGATACCGATCTCGTCGAGGTAAGAACACCACTCCATTCCCGGCCATGACTGCATGCACGAATAAGCTAACATTTCCCAGCGATCCACCAATCTGGCTGTAAGTTGTGAAGCATTAACGACACCGGTTCATGCCTCCCAAGAGATGGCATTTGATTTGCTAGACGCTTCAACTAACTTCCTGACCCAATAGGCTCGTGGCGAGGGACTCGCTTTCGCCGGTGCCGTCAGCGCTCTAGAGCAGCGCAACAGCAAAAAGAAGTGCAAGCGTACCAACAACAAGGGCTACTGCACCGATTCCGATGACAATAAGAAGGACAAGAAGAAGAAGCAGTGCAAGCGCAACAAGAAGGGCGATTGCTCTGACTCTGACGATGACAAGAAGGATAAGAAGAAGAAGAAGCAGTGCAAGCGCAACAAGAAGGGTGACTGCTCCGATGATGAGGACGAGAAGAAGAAGGGCAACCAGAAGGATGACAAGAAGAAGAACGACGACAACAAGTACGATGACAAGAAGAACGATGACAAGAAGAACGACAACAAGAATAACGACAACAAGGGCGACGACAACAAGAACGACGATAAGTTCGAGGACAAGAAGAACGATGACAACAAGAACGGCAAGGACAACAAAGGCGGCTACTACTAAGCTTCCGGCCTACTTAGAAATGAGGACAGGCTATCGCATACGTCTGACTGCTTAAACCTATGCTGGACAACAACCTGCTATCTGGCCTATGGTTCCCAACCGGCTTGGCTTGGATACATGTTCTTCACACGCAACACTGACATATCTAGATGAGAGAGAGAATTTTCTTCGATTTGTAACATCATATTATCACATGTATATACACTACGTACATACTCATTATACACATCTCTTTTTCTCATTTCTTCTCGGAGGCTTCTCCACAATGGAAGATGCATGCCTAGTCTTATTCATCTAAGTCTACTAATTGCACCCGGCTGAGAAATCGAGTTGTTCACTCAAATATCATTCACCGCCTGTAGGTGTCATGCTACTGGATGTGTGGGAATATTAGGCAGAAAAGGTGGATTAGGTAGGTAGGCGGTCTGGGCCCGTGCCTACGGGCCCTTCCACCTACTTACACCCACGGAGGAATCGTGGGCTCTGCCCACCAACTTCCTCCTTACACATCCCTACATACCACCCATATACGAAGTCAATATACGATTATTAACCTCGTACCGGCCGCAAGGCTGCCCTGCTGACGTGTATACCGACAGGATGAATGTTCACGTGCAGCTTGGCTAGGTACCTCGAGTAGCTTTTTTGACGCCGAACCTCTGGCTCAGGACAACCCACGATCCAGTGATGACCAACTTTCTGAAGGCGTTGGGGTCAGAATCATTCCCAAACCCATGCTCAAGCCAGCTTTTGACATCCTCCCATTCCAGAAATCCCAGATCGTTCACCGAGTCCTCCGTGATTAGCTTTCTAAAGAGCTGGTGTATAGGTCCTTCCCGAGGCCACTTCACAGGTGCTGAATATGGGTGTTTTCGACGATCATACAGCTCCTGAGTGATGAAAGGTTTGCCAGCTTCCTTCAGAATCCACTTCTCGCTCAAGGCTTGACGGGCAGCACTGAGATTCTTCCACCATAAACTTGATCCTGTCCCGTCTGTGCCGCCCTCTGGCTGATTGTATGCAATCTTTAGGCTGGGAGGAAGGCCGTTGACGTATTCGACCAAGTGATGGTCGAGGAATGGCGGCCGGGCTTCGATGCTATGTGCCATTTCGGTACGATCACCCAAGCAGGTAAGGATCATATTGGGAAGGGCACCGCGAGTGTAGTAGTAAAGTGAGGAATGCAGCGGATGCCACTTTTCGTCCATATTCTTGCGCACTTCAGCGGACATGGTCTCAGCGACACTGATTCTCATATCCTTCCGCCCGTAGGAGTCCTGGACCCAAGGGGCGAACATGTCCGCGTGGGGCTGCCACTTTAGAGCGTTATTTCCAATGCCAAGATGTCGGGATACTGGAGCCGTCGTTTCCCATTCGTGATCAAACATACCGACTCTGGTGAACATGTTCCTGAGGTCGTCTGCCATTTCCTTTTGCATGACCTCTCTCGCCTGGTCATTTTTTGCCAAAGCTGAGTCTGGCCACGCGTTATCCGGCTCCAAAAGAAAATCCGGCATCAGGAATGGGTACCCGGCGAAGTGTTCATCAGCGCCTTCACCTGTGAGAACAACCGGCACGCCATATTGCCGGGGCAGCGTGGAAAGACAGAATTTGCCCACGAAGTTGAGATCAAAATGATGGTGTTCAGTGTGGTAGACACATTCCACGAAGTTCTTTGCAAGCTCTTCCTCGTTCATGTCTTTCTTAAGGATTTGAACACCAAGCCAGTCTGCTGTCCGCTGTGCGATGTCTGTTAATTTAATTAGCCTCCGTATGCGTAATAAGATAAGTCCATGATAAACTTGACAAGGGAACAAACCAGCCTCGTTGAAACCGGAGTTCTCAGGGAACTGGATGCTAAAACAGGAAATTCGTTTCGTGGCATCTTGGTTGCCAAGCATTACACCCTCCTCGCGAACAAGTTTTGTAACGATTCCAGCAACGACAGAGGAATCAATGCCGCCTGACAAATAGATGCCTACTGGTACATCGGCACGCAGCCGAAGTCTTACAGCTTCTACGATCCTCTCTCTGACTTCGAGAATGATTTCATCTAATTGACGCGTTTCGACCTCATGCTGTTTTCTCTCAGCTTAGATTACGAGTAGGTGGTGCTTCAGGCCGGGTTGACACGTACCTTGTTCTTGTATTCAGGATCCCAATACTGATGGTGCTTGATCTCACCACTTTCAGCGATCTCCATCCACGAGCCTGGCTTCAATTTCCAAATATTTTTGTAAACCGTATGTTCAGCTTGGAGAGAAAGTCCGCTGATGAGACCGGACACGTTCCACTCGGGCTCCCAGCCAAGGGGTAAAAAGCCTTTGACCTCGGATGTCAAGAGAAGCTGTTGCTGTGAGCCGTCGCCGACAGTAGTCCAGTACATTGGCTTGATGCCAAATCGATCGCGGGCAGTAATCACCCGCCCATCTCTCTCATCAAAAATGACAAATGAGAACTCCCCTCTTAAATGTTCAAAGAACCCAGGGGCACCGTAAATTTTATACAACGCGACCAACACTTCACTATCGCAATGGCCCTTAAATTGATATCCATGATCCCGGATGCATCGTTCTCGAATGGCGTCATGATCATAGATCTCTCCATTGACGACGGCATGGATTTTCCCGTCATCGCTGTGGAGAGGTTGCACACCGTCAGGCGTCAGGTCATTGATGGCAAGACGACGGTGGCCGAGGCCTATATTCCAACGTCAGTCAAATTTACTGAGCCTGAGCCATATGGTCATACCAATGGTTCCATCGTCACTTATCCATGTGCCCTCGGCATCCGGCCCTCGATGAGCAATGCTTGCAAGGCTTTGCGCTAACTGATTGTGCAAAGCCTGGCGACTTGGCGAGCTGTCACGGCTATGCCCATTCGATCTGGGGAGTGTGCCACTTCGTCGTAACTTGATAGTTGCCGTAATGCCGCACATAGTGCTATTTGGCGGAAGAATCAGGAGTGAGCGGAGTAGTGAAATGAGAAGAGTGGCACAGAGAGATCAGCAACTAGGTAAGTAGTGTAACTAAAGCTACTTCTCGGAATCATCAGTCGTGGCTTCGGAACCAATGGCGAACTCAGCGTGGTCAGTTGCTTTAGAGTTCACATTAGTGAACTATGTTCAACCCTACGCAAGATCCAGTGACACCCGCAAGATCCAGTCATCATAAGAAGCGCTTCCGCTTAGTTAATCGGCTTACACGACTTTGTGGGAACATTTTCAATTCTCTTGGCCCGTCTGAGTTCCACAGCTGCCCTGGGCCAAATACGACCTTTCACGTTGCGCAGGCATGGTCGCGATGCTACACTTTCTTGGCCAAGGCCGCAAATGCCGCACCAGAAACTGTGGAAAGACTTGAGATGAGACGGATTAACGATGCGATTACGTATGACCAAGTCTTTGAGCTCGGTCGAAACACCCTCTGGGGTATTGGTCGAAGCGCGCAAGGCTAGGCAGTCAAAGGAAAGACCACATCCCAAACTCTAACCTGTCCGAGGGTCAACTATTTAGATGATCGGAACATCTCAACGTCTCGAAGACTCAATGAGTCCTGCAGCAGGCCTTCGCTTATTTCAACTGACTCAAACCCGGTGGAGGTGGGCTAAAGTCTGCTCTGAAGCGGGGAGGAATTTAAACTTTCCAAGGGTTGCCTTCAAAGATGTTTGTTGTCACATTTTCCAGTGACAGTTCTTGGCTCCAAAGGTGAAGTGTAACCGATTGTGGCAGCCATTACTCGTTCAACTATAGGTCTTTCGAACAATAGCAGAGGGGATGGGTTCATTCTGATTGGCGGACTTCGACTTGAAGATTATGTGAACGGGGAAGTCGAGGCGAGAAAGCGGGAGCTACTTGGTGCTTGGTTGTTCGAGAAGGTCAAGCCCTGTCGTGTCATCTAAATTTGGGACGAGACGTTACCATTCAGGTGGCATGTCAATTAGACCATGGCGGTGAAGAGTTGTAGCCCTCAGGGATACGAAGGTGATGCCTTTCGGCTTGGCTCCTTGCTGCATCCGTAACTATAGCATATTAAAGTCCCGCCTTGGCGTTCTCCTTACCCGCCTCCTCAGGCTGTTTGTATGTGCTGCGATGTCCTGGTGACATATTGGGGTCTCTAGATTAACATGCAATGTCTCTTGGGAGACCCTACGTTGGCATTTCCATGCGTGTACTTAGACGACTCATTGAGTCGCAGCTGCCTGCTTGTGGCAACATTCAATGCCACGATGGTCAAGCTCAGGGGCCGTTACAACCCTGTCCCACATAAGATACAGTACTTAAAGACTCATCTTTCAGTTAATCTACAGGACCTGAGACCTGCATCGCATGGCATGCTAAGTAGACTGCACTGTCAGTGAGCCACGGTGTTACCTTACGGGACTTATCGATGTTCCGAGAAGATCACGTCGGTCAGATGTCACTGACTGAAAGGGCCAAAAGCTGCGATGCGTTTCTCATCACCCTTTTTGGATTACTCGACTGGTCTGAACTCTTGGAAACTCTATGTAACAAGGCGTGCTAAGCGAAGAAAGGTCCCACACAAAGAACCTGGTATTGTTCGAGGCTATGAAAGAGACAACTTCAGGATCCCTAAGCTTCCGGGTGGAGTCGCACCTTTACCCCATTGTTCAACGTCAAGGATAAGGTGAGTTGCTCGCGCCAGTCAGTCGGATCCAGATTTTCAATCCCGGAGAAGGCATGCAACAACCTTGCAATGGTGTATGACGACTCAGTGAGGGCGAACTTCTGACCAGGGCAAACGCGAGGACCACCGTTGAAGGGCAGATATTCCCAGCCTGGTCGGAGGGTCTCCCAACGTTCCGGGATGAATTCCTCAGCATCGGGCCCAAAGAGCTCTGGACGACGGTGCATAACGAAAGTGCTGTAGGTGACCACATTATTCTTGGCAACGAACATTGGCGAGCATCCGTCGGGGCCACCGCCAACCGGAATTACGCAGTCTTTGTTGGCCATGCGGCTATTAGTGGCAATAGGAGGGAAGAGTCGAAGAGCTGAGATTGAGGTTAGCCAGACGAAATCATGTAACAGGGAAGATCGGCGGGCGGCCCGCAAACCTACTTTCTTGAAGCACATAGCGTAGATATGTCATCTGCATAACAGCATCGTAGGTCAAAGGCTCTGTGTAGTTTCCAAGCACGTCCGCCCTGAGCTTATCCCAGACCTTAGGATTCCGTGCCAGCAAGAAGAAGGCGAATGCTAGCAGTCCTGCTGTTGTGTCTCTGGCCGCGAGCAACATGTTGACAATCTGGTCGCGCAGCATGATGGGGTTGTCGGTGTCTTTGGCCAGTTCATTGAGAAAAACGTACTTCGTGCGAGCGTACTCGTCTTTCTTCTCCATAGGGTAAAGCTTCTCGTGCTCGCGGAACTCGAGGGCTTGCTTGACAAACTTGTCGGCATATGCGTGCACAATGCCACATGAATCCCTGAACTTGGCGTCTCTGTGCGCGAACATCAAATTACCGAGGCGAAGTCGAAGAATCGTTCCTTGCTGGGCGTAATCAAGAGCATGGTGGAAAGTATGGGCAGAGTCGGAAGCGTGATCTGACATTAAACCAACCGATTCTCCAAAAAGGTATTCGCTGTTTGAGTCAAGAACCTATATGTATAAATGTTAGCAATCCAGAAGTCAGAGGCAAGAATGGCTGTCGCGGTAAAACCGACATACCATGCGGAAAAATAACTGTTGCAAGTCTACGGTGTAATTCTCCCGGGCGATTAGCTGTATAAGCTGGTCGACGTGTGTTTCGAAGATGCTGAAGTCTGTCACCTGAGCTCGGATGAAGCTTGGTCTGATGAGTGCCCTCTGATGGGCCCATATCTCGTTGTCGGTTGTGAAAATGCCTCGGCCAAGGAGCGGTGATGCACTCTTTCTTCTCAAAGGGCCCATTCCAAAGTCTTCAAACTGATTAGATAGCACAGTCTGAATTAACTTTGGGTCGCAAGTGTTGATGGTAGTCCGAAGGTATGTGTTCGTGGTAAAAGTCTGGCCTTGCTCAGCATGGCGTTTCTTCAGGAGAGCAAGGAAGCCGAACTTCTTTGCAGCGTCCAGATTTTGAAGTACCACATCAGTTCCAAAGATGGGATCTTTTTGAGGTAGCTTCTTGGGCGGAAGTGTGCCATATTCTCTCTTCATGCGGTGACGGAGAACGTGTGTAGAGACAATAATGTAAAGGGAGTAGAGAACAGTTGCAAGAGACGCAACCAGCGTCAAAACGGGGATCAGCATAATTATGAGAGGTGGCTTCAAGATGATATGATGGTATGTGCTTGTGCCTGTCAAGACTCTTGATTTGAATTTGTTTCGGCCGACACCTCTGTACTTCTAGAGTGTCAGGTGAAGGGTACAAGGTCTTTTATACCTAAAACTCATCAGTCGTCTTGTCCCCAACAATGGACTTAGATACATTAATTCTGCTATTTGAAGATGGACACCATTGTGCTCGTATATCCTCCACTTCAACGGCAAGTACTTCCGTCCTCTCAGTTGCTTGATCGTTGCACGTCTATGCCCACACCTTCAGTCTCGGTGCTCAGTGCTTACCTGACGTGTCAACAACCTAGTTCTAACAAGGAAGTACTTGAAGCCTTGGATCTTGCTTTCAATCTGACCTCGTCCAAGTTTCGTGACAGCCAAGCTGGACCAAGCTGGGATGACACCAGGGTCATCAGTTGTTCTTTATCTGGTACGATGCTTCGTTGCCTGGTACAGTCATACGATAGTCCTCCAATCCGCCTGCAGAGCGCGCGTTTTTCACCGGGTCAATCCCGCTCCTGAGACTTCAGATCGTCGCTTCCTTGGCATTGCTTCGAGAGCTCTGCTGATTGCGGTATTTCTAAACGGGCAGAAACCCGTCGCCGGTGACCCGTCCGTCTGTCCGACAGGCGGTCCCGGTGAACTCTAAAGTGTGGGCTTACACGGGCTGTGTGATGACCCCGGCGTGATGCAGGCCGAGACGTCGGGTCTGAACATGTGTATCAATTGGGAATGAAGTCGAGAAAGCGAAGCCGTCATAGCCGTTTATTGTTAAATATGTCATTCATTCTTCTTTGAACTACCTTGTTAGTCCCCTAATCTTCATAACCTTACTAGTCTCCGATATTTACGGGTTTATCCCAAGGCTAAGGTAGCTAACGCAACATTCCAAGTATCAAAATCTCTTTCACCACCGCTTTGGGTGTTCCTCGCACAGACGATCTATCACTATGTCAACTCCAATCAAGCATGTTGCTCTTGCAGGTGTAAGTCAACCATCCCCCCTCGAGTAAATAAATGAGCAAAGTGTCACAAACTGACGAGAGTTGCAGGCGAACGGTTTCTTAGGACGTGTTCTTCTTGACGTCCTACAGAAGTCGAAATTATTCGAGCTCACTGTTCTCACTCGTGAGGGGTCTCGTCACGAATTCCCTGCCGGCGTTACAGTGAAGAAAGTCGACTACGAGTCAGTCCCCAGTCTCGAAGCTGCCCTCAGAGGACAAGACGCTCTTGTTTCGGCCTTGGCATTCGACGCAATCCATATTCAGAGGAACGTTGTCGATGCAGCTTTCAACGCCGGCATACGAAGACTTATTCCATCCGAGTATGGTAATGACACTATGAACCCCAAGCTAGCCGTCATACCCATCTACCAGCCCAAGATTGCAATTCGCAAGTACCTCGATGAAAAGGTAGCTGCAAGGCCATCATTTTCGTACACCATCATCATGAATGTCTCTTTCTTGGCGCCTGGGTACGCACTTGACTTTCTTGTGGATGTCAAGGGCAAGAAAGCTCACATCAAGGATGGTGGCAATGTCAAATTCTGTGCAACGACCATGCCGCATATCGGACAAGCTGTCATCGGCATCCTCACTCATCTTGAGGAGACAGCGAACCGTCCGGTAAAGATTAGCAGTGTTGAGACTACACAAAATGAGATCGTTGAGATTTCCAAAACCATCGATCCAACAGGAGTATGGGAAGTCAAGCATTCGAGAACTGAGGACTTGGAGAAGATCGCCCACGAGAGATGGAGCAAGGGGGACCACAGTGAAGAAGTGGTTGAAATGTTTATAAACCGTGCTTTCATTGGCACAGAGGCTGGTTATTTCCCTGTGACTGACAACAAGCTGCTCGGCATTGAACCGATAGGCCGAGAGGGGCTAGAGCAGATTATTAAGACTGCTATCGAAGGTTGAGGCTGGTCACCGTGCACTCAAGATAGTTGGGCTCTAAACTGAATCGCTATGTGATTTAGTAATAAGTACTTATTCAATGGGTATTGATTTATTTAAGCAGAGTTCAGACCAAAATCATCAAGCCATGTTTCAGTCGTGCGTTCTTATTCAGGATTAGTGGTTCAAGACCAAGATTGGTTACTTCATAGCAGCTTTTGATACGTGCGTTACTCAAAATATGGCATTATTACAGTATGCTTGAGACGTATGACCATCCATATGCATCACTTCTCCCGTCCAATAATATCAATCAGGCCTCGAGCACCTCCCGGGACTCCAACTCTCTATTGACTCGAGACGTAATTCATGGCATTTACGTTGACTTTTGCAAGCTGAGAGAGCCGACTTGTACAAGTCTCCTGGCGCTACTTGGTGGGCTTGACGCCCCAGCTTCCTCTAAACCAGTGGTCTCAACGTAGGGCGGTGGCATATCCGTCGCACTTTCAACTGGTCTAATCTGTGTAGTAGACGACGAAACTGGCCGCCTCGGGCTGACAGGCGTTGGTGGCGCTCTCGCCGCCGCTGGCCGCTCTGGGGCTTGGGCACCGCGGTCCGTCAACGACTTGATGGTCTCCGGGTTCTGAAGTAATCTCGCCAACGCCAACGGCTTGATCTGACCCATCTTGTTGACATCTGCGCCGTGGGCAAGGACTGCTTGTAGAATTGCGTGGTTTTCTGACTGAAGCGCTTCTAGCAAGGGGGTTCTGCCCTTGGTATCTGCTTCATTCGGGTTCGCTCCGTGTAGAAGAAGAACTTTAACGTCCTCGTATCTATTCTGATCGATGGCGTAGAGTAAGAATGTCGTATCCTTGACTTTCTTGTTTGGATTGCCGCCGTGAGCAAGGAACATGCGCAGAAGATCGGTGTTGCCGAGGGTGATTACCATGCTCATGATGGATTCTCCCCAATTATCGACTTGATTTGGGTTGGCCCCTCGTGCCAGAAGCGATTTGATGAGTTCAATCTTGATTCCCTCCTCCATATCTTTGTTTTGCAGCAAGGTCCATAGTATGCCTTTGCCCATCAATCCTGTGGCATTAGGATCGGCGCCTCGGGATAGCAAAGTCTTGACAAGATCATACTTCTTTTTGTGAAGGGCGGAAATAATCATCGTACTGCCAGTGAGGTCCATGGTGTTTGGGTCCGCGCCATGCTCCAGTAGAAACGTGACAATGTCCATCCGGTTCTGGCCTAAAGCCATATGTAGTGCAGGCTGCCCGCTGATATCTCTAGCATTGACGTCGGCACCATATTCTTTCAGGAGCTTTATGTGTGGAAGGCTACCGCTGAGTATGGCGTGAATGAAGATGGTGCGGCCACTAATAGCAGCTGTGTTGGCGTCGCAGCCTCGTCGTAAGAAGAGTTTTATGATATCCAGCTGGTCGCTGTTTGCCACCTCGATGAAGTACGGCTGCCCAGACCACGAACGCTCTTTCATCTCGAAACCGTGATTAATGAGATATTCTGCGATTGGCACAAAACCGCATTCGGCAGCATGAAATAAAGGGGGCTTCTTCTTGCCACTGCAAGAGTCTTTGGTTGATCGATCAGCTCCATTTTTGACGAGAAATTCAACAGCTGGTCTCTGGTTGGCTCTGATGGCACAAATGAGCGGCGTGTATCCTTCTTCGTTCTGGCCGTTAATATTTACCCCTTCCGAGACGAAGCCTTTGAGGTGTCCCACGTCGCCGCTCTTGGCGGCCTGGCACATGGCGATGACCATGGGTTCTGGTTTGGCGCGTAGGCCAGCGGTCATCGCTTTGAAAGAGCTTGAGATTGAGGAGAAGAATTGGCCGGATGCCTTGCTTTTCCCCTTGTTGGCTTTACCAGATGTGTAGTCTGGAGGTGGCTCATCGGCTTGGCCGTCCCCAAATTCTTCGGCGAAGGCTGCAACATCTATGGCAGATCGGCCAGCTTCGTCTGATGGTCCCAGTATGTCACTACGGGTCAGAACAATTTGAGACGCCTCTACTGCCGATTCCAACATTCCATGCCCGTCAGAAGACGAGAGTCTTGCATCCTGCTGGGCGACAGTTGACCTAAGTGAGTGAATCAGTACAAAGTACCTAGCCAAAAGGAGCGTAAATATCCCAGAAACTTACATGTGCGCTACGGAGACAAACTGTGCGAATAGGCGAGTATTCGTCAAATGATAAGTCTCGTACTGCAGAATCACATCGGAATTGAGGCCCGTCACGTTTGCTGGATCGAGCCTATGTATCTGCTTGTCCACGACTGCCGCAGCATCTGCACAAGGCTGAATAGCGATAGCCAGGGCATTTCGCAGACCGGGCGATATGGCTGAGGAGTCATTGAGCGACCTTCTGAGCTGCTCGGTGGTGTCTCTGAACTGATCGAGTTTTGCCGAAACTGAGATCAAGTGTTGCGCTGCTGTGCTCCCAGGATCGATGGCCTTCAACAGACTGTCGAGCTCAGCGGACGTGGAAACAATTCGGTGAGTGATGTCATCACAACTCGTGGTCACCGCTGCGGAGGAGAATCCCGCCATTATCAAGCTCGATGTTATCTTCAACAGAAGACGGAGTTTCGATGGAGTGTTAATCACGCCTACAATCTGCTATTGCTCTTGGCGCTGGTCATGGTCGTTGGGGGGTGATTTATGGTTAAATCTAGAGGCAGGGGGTTGCCTGACCCCGCCGATAATCAGTCAAACGGTGGGATGATGCTACGAACAGTCAGATGCCAAGTCTTGATTGGATACACAGCCATCATGCTAGGCAGGAATCCTGCGCCGCACTCTGGCAAGTTTGGTAGCTCAGCCGCAGGATTCGGCCGACCCAATCAAGGCCAGAGAACGAGCTAGCGGTGTTGAGACGCGCGTTCGGAACACGACACCCGCATGCTGTGGCTTGGTAAGGTTGACAAGAGGCCTCTTCGTTCAGATTCGTTGAATGAAGCAGTCGACTCGTTCTGCCTTTCGACCAAACGTGGCTTCAGTGATTCAGGGATTCAATTGGATAACGCCTGGAAAACAGTTGGATAGAGCACCACCGAATGTGGTAACCACGTGTGACGTGAGTGACAAAGCTAACGACTTTTGTATCCGTAGGGCTGGCTACCTTGGTCCTGCTAGCTTAAGACTAGGCTTTTCCGTGAGACCCAGCTAGAAAACCAAAGTTTGTTGCTCGACTTCGACCAACTAACACGATCTCAAACCAACTGATGAACCCGCGGACCGCGACAGATTTTCGGTTAGCAAATCTATCATCAGATCGTACGATCAGTGGATTCACCAATCATCGTCTCTTTGGCTCAGTCGGAAGAGCGTTGGTCTCATATCATTACCTAATTGATATGACTAGGCTTGAAGCCTGGGACATCCAAAGGTCGCAAGTTCGAGCCTTGCCAGGGACAGTTGCTTTTGCTCAGTCTTGCTTTTTACACTTTGGCTGCAATGGAGTCGGTGACTTGGGTCGGTAGCCTTATCCGTCTTCTTTACTCCCGATTGTAGTCCTGCTTGAACCCTTGTCGCGCCATGAAGGCATGGTCATGACATCACATCATCTTATAGGCTGTTTGCTGATCTTATGTGAAATTTGGAGGCTCATGCGTCATGGCGGCAGTGGTGCCCTGGAGTCTACATGTGGGTAGTATTACAAAATTTATAGAATATCATTATGCTGAAGAGCTATCTGGGCCAAAAGGCCCCTCCAAGTTTGATCTAGCCAAACTTCTTATCCTCGCTGACCCAATCCGGTGATGATGGGCCTGAGTACCGAGGCGGCGGTAATTCTACTCGCGATATTTGAAGTGCGTCGTCGATCTGTCTCGGCATTCCGTGATGTGCTGGTGCTGGTTGCGCTGGTTGTGCTTGCATTTGAGCCGGCGTCGATTGTATTGAACGCGAAGGCGGTTGCACCACCGGCTGAGCCTGGCCGACTGGTGTCGAGTCTGCCTCTACGGCTTGTATTTGATCTCCCGGCAACTCAAAGACGGGAGAGTAAGTGTTATTTGAGGGATGTGAAGGGTGAGGTGCGGGAACCGGAGCGGCTGCCATCTCAGCAGCGGCATGGGCGTTCCAGGTCCCGGCATGTGGTGACGGTTCGGGACCCCTGGATGAGTTCGGACGGTACTGAGAGACGGGCGAAACTCCCCACGTTCCCGTCGCCCCATCCCCATTGGCGACTGGTGACGGCCAGGTTCCTGCTTGCTGTCCGTAATGCCCAAGAGAGTTGTTGTTCTGCCAATGCTGGGGACTTTGTGGCCCTTGTTGCTGACGGTTCCATCCTGGAGTGCCCACTGCCATGTTCATCGTGTTTGCCGTATCGGGTCGTCGGTCGTTCACGCCGTGATATGCCGTCGTTGCCTGCCCTTGCGGTGGTGAAGCCGACATTGTGGTGAGACTAGTCGCACTAGATAAGGCTGCGAATTTTCCACCGGCTCCGACTTGCCCCTTTCTCTCCTTGCGTTGCTTCCGCCGCCTGTAGCAGAAGAACGCCAGCACGCCTAGTAGAATTGCTAGCCCTCCTGCAAGTCCTGCCGCAAGAGCAGTGTGGCTAGGTCCCTCATCACCGGTGGTAGCTTGGTCCCCCTCGGCGTTGCTTCCTTGCTTTCCACTCGCTGTCCCAGTCGACACTGTCTCAACTCCCCTCGTCACCGTAACTGTGACTCCTCCTGGCGCAACGCTCTTGTACGTTGTGAGGGATGTCGTTGTCGATGTTGTTGAAGATGCTAGTATTTCGGTCGGTGGTGCGGTCGTGAAGGTATACAGTGTTGTGCTGCTTTGTGAAGTAGATGAAGAAGAGGCTGTTGACTTGGTTTCGTCGTCGTCTTCGGGGTCTAGGAATTGTGCCTGCGAAATGCCCAATGGCGTTTTTGAATCCGTGCAAGAGGTCAGAAGCATCTCGTAAACATCGTCAAGTTTGTCTTTTGCCTCTTTTTTCACGCATTTTGACGTCGCCAGCACAAAGTTCCCGCCATTCCCGCACAGACATGTGTTCATCTCCGTCACCGTGTCACCGGTACACCCGGACGCTGCAGCGGCTGAGTCAAGACATGATCTCGCTGCTTCTGGGTACGCTGAGAAGTCATTGGTGAATGTGGCATGAGTTATCGACGCGAGATATGAAATGAGTATCGTCGAAGAAGTCGGGATGATTCGATTTCGATGCCTCGGAGACATCTTCGCTCCGTGATCGCTCGACGCACGATCGCGTCGGAAATCGTGTTTGTTTTTCTTGTTTGTTTTCTCTAGCAGGGCAACGCCTTGGCCGAATCCGTTCTCAACATTGGTTTCCTTTTCGATATGTCCAACACGTTCAATGCGTTCACCGGGCGGTATATCGGGGTTCAAAAGCGGTGGATTTCGGGATGAGGAAGATTTTTAGGTAACTGTGGAGGAGGGGATGGGGGACAACACTACTTGAAAGGGGACAAGTTCGAACGACAGCGCGCCGCTGGAGATGGCACGGTTCACTTGGACCTTGGTATTGATAAAGATCCTTGAGCTCCAGTTCTCCTCCTCGGGGCCCAAAGGAGACAGGACCCGGAGGCTCGGCCACTGCGGGATTAGGGGCACTTTTGACCCAGTGGTCAGAGGGACCAACCTGGCTCGTCCGCAGCACCGTTGACGTCTGTCGTGATCACTCGTCCGCTGTCTTTTAGCCAGGGGAACTCGATATTGTGTGGGGGCAGCATGAGACCCGAGTCCCGGTTGAAACCTTCACCCTGGTTGAGATACGAGTCAGGCACCAAGGGGAGATTGGTTGCTGGCCAGGGGCAGAGCTGTGAGTGGTTCCACTTGCCGGTTATTAGAGTTTGATTTTACTTTATGCGTTGGTTGCTGATCGTCTTGCGTAGATTGCAGCGCGCCTGTAGTGCGCCGTTGTGCCTACTTCACAATGCGATTGTGAACGGCTTGCAGTTATCAAAGTTGTTGGCTTTGCCCTGCCTTATATGATGCATCAAGCCTGGAGTGATTAGACTTGCCGAAGCCGCGAGAGGCCCCTTGGCGTCATCCCGGGACGTCAAGCCCGCCCTGGAGAACTGACAGGAGAACGTCCAGGCGAACGACGAGCCCTGAACAACTTTGAACTGAGCCTCTAAGCCAAGAGCTCTCCCACAAGCCGAGAGTGCCGACCGGGGTCCCACGGCGTTGCCGGCGCCCACGGGTCGCCGACGGAGCGGTGGTGCCGACGAGATACGAGCATCCCCTGACTCTGAGCCGCCATTCCCCAGATCTTAAACGTGATGGCATCCGCTCGTTCTCGCTCTCCATTGCCTATTGACAATTGGCGTAAATCCAATGGTTCAGTATCACTATCATCTAGGTACTAATACCATCTAGGTCGTCGAACGCGTATGACCGACCCTGAACCGCGTCAAGCTGCTCACGCGTCGGATCATCGCTACCACGGTGATACCACCTAGTCCACGCAAGCGGCAACTCCCACCGGTTAGCCGGTGACGATGCGGTGAACGCAAGCTTTTCGCCCAGAGAACAACCAACGAACCGTGCTTCGGCCCACCCCATTGCTAACGGTTTTGTGGGGTATTGCCTGGAATCTTCAAAAGTCATGCCCTAAGCGGCATTTCGGCTGTATTTTGACCATTTTCCACCAGTTTCAAAAAGTGAAATTGACCAGCCTGGGGGTCGAACCCAGAATCTCCTGATAACATATAGAATCGTAGTCAGACGCCTTGCCATTGGGCCAACCGGCCATTATCCTGAAGGGTTTGTGGTTGAGTTGTGCTCTTTTCCTCAGAGTGAGGCTCAAGTTGCGCTCTCGTAGAGGTACAGGTTTGCGTTTTCGTTTGGCTGTCATCTGAGGAATTTCAAGAGTTGATCCGTGAGTTGGATACAACACAGACCACTGAAAGTTTATCTCTTCGTCCGGTTTTTGTCTCCGATCTCAACCAGGATGGTCCATATTGAGTATCGGACGGAAAGCTTGCTTTCGCAACTTCGCCTTCGCTTACTCACCCATAGTTTCATATCGAAGTCAATAGCCCATGATGACTGAGAGATTCTATATTGAAAGTCTAGAAGACAGTGGCAGTGCCCTCGCGTCTCGCTTTCCATGTTCTGCCGACTCAATAAATCACCTCGTGGGCCAAATGCTACGCCTGAATAGGACTGTGTCCGCATAGCAGGCTTGCAAATACGGTTAAGACTTTGGGTTATAATGATTCCCTGCCCTAACTACATCAACTCGATCACTTCTTTGCGCCATGATAGGTGGACCAGCCATTATAGGATAATAGTTACTTGAGATGAGTTATGTTGTCAGGGAAAAGTCCGCACCAAGATCAGTCTTCCGCTGCCCATGTCGGAGAACGTTGAAATGCGGTACTACCCGTCATTACAGACCCGGGGAGTCCGTTCTCGACTAGGTAGTCATGGACGAGGCTCAACAGGCCAACATCAATCCCTTCAACGTCTCTGTGAGAACTTGTTCCTCTGTGTTGTGATTGGATAAGGAAGGGTTTCACTGACCTTTGGGTCCCATGATCGAGAGAGAAACGGGAAAGTACTCTTTTCGCCCGGAAATTTGAGACTGATATTCATATTGGCTGACTGCGTTGTTCTATCAGAATGCTTCGCATTATCCTTGGTCATTGTACGGTCGGTTCTTACCGGGCACAATCAGGTTTCGCACACCTGATAACGAAGCGTGAAGATTGGAGTCGAAGCCCTCAAAGCCTCGATTCTCGGGCACGCTGAAATTTTAGTCAGCCAATATTTTCACGCTGGTAGTCAGTTGCATCTCTTACGGCAAGTACTCATCCCGGTAGTCCAACTTGTATCGAGGGACAATCATAATGGTCTCCTCGTCATTGAGCAAATGTTCCAGAAACCAAGTATTGTGGAGCAATACTTCATCCACAGCCTCCTGCCAGCGGTCTTGGCTTATCAACTTGCCTTTATTCCTGAGACAGGACCGTCAGCACGTGTGGCACGAGATTGTGGAACTTGATGTTACCATAGGTACTGTGTGACTTTGCACACGCAAGGATCCGCCTTAAATTTTTCCTGGTATTCCGACCTGAAATCTGCAAGGTAGGTCCAGAAGTCGTGGTAGATCATGGTCATAGAAGTCTGAACAGTCCACTCAGCCGATGCACTAGTTCGAGAGCATCGAGAGTGCACTAGGATTCTATCAACTCACATCATTGAATGTGTCCAAAAAGCTCTTTTCAGCGCTAGGGGGCATCGTGGCTTTCCATGTCTCTTCCATGGAGATGTCGACTTTGTCTGCTCCAAGCCATTCAGTGAGGGATACCACCCAGTCCTCAGCAATCTGCTGGACACCGGCATGGTCGGACCAGTACTCCCGTGGGAATAACACACGTTTTGGCCTCAGGGTCTGTCGCGTCTTCAGTCCAGGCAAAATCAATGGCGTTTGTGGTGCTTACCTCAGCTTTGGAGGAGTTTTGGGGCCAATGACGACCAAACTCATACATTTTGCGGATGTCTCTCCCTAGGAAGCCGGGAGTGTGAAAGATCCTAGCCGTCTCATCAGTCTCGTGTCTTTTGAACACGAACATAAAGACTTACCCGCAAGGAAGAACCACGTCTAGAGTTGGCTTCCCGTCATGTGAAGGGCGAAAACCGAACACGCCGTGAGCGACTGCAGGGTCTCGAATGCTTCCACCAGCTTGTTCATCACCTTACTTAGCCTCCAGCAGTCTGAGTACTCGAGAATGCAAGATTTTCCAGCTTACCATCTGTACCCAAAGTGATATCAAGCCACGGATATGCTGCTAGGCTTGAAGCTGGTCCTGTGCTACTCCCAGTTCCAGCGAGATGACCATCACCACGGACCTTCATGGGATCAAAGTAGTCGCACCAGTCGCCAATAACCTCTTGGCTCCCTCCAAACTCAACAGTCTTGGTCTTGCCAACAATGACCCCTCCAAGGTCGATGATGCGCTGTACGGCGTCAGAAGAGGCATCTGCGGGTCCATACAGCCTACGGTAACCCCGGTTTCCACATCCCGTATGAACTCCTTTGAGGTGAAACAAGTCTTTGACTGCAACTCTCAGACCAGCAAGAGGCGTATGGCCAGCTCCAGAAGACTTGATCCTCGAAGGAACTGCAACACAGAGCGACGATGCCCCGAATGCAGCGGCTTTCAACGTTTGATACCTTTAATCATGTCAATGCCGCGGCGACCAAAGAGACAGGGGAATAGGGACTACGCAAAGTGATGGCTGGCCGGCCTGCTTACGTTTGAAGATCTTGTTGACTTGGTGTTGTGCTCAAAATAAAAGATTCGGTATCGTCGGAGAAGAGGCGGCAAGGGCTGAAGATTCCACGATTGGAGAAAAATAGGGCCCTGGAGGGATACGTTCGCTGCCGATTATGTGGAAGAGATGTTGGCAATCCCACGATGCGAGCAGCTGCAAGACAGATTCTCCAATCTCTACCTGATTTGAGAAAATGCAAACGTGCCTAAGAAAGACTTCACAGAATACATCGTCGTTCTGCACCCACGAGACATAGGCTTTCTCAAGATCATCTCTCAAATTGGATGTGCCACTGATCACAAAACATGACAAGGTGCTGACAGCAGGTGAGTCGGTGAGCTGGATCTTGTACTAATATCCACTCCGTCAGAAAAACCTTCAGTTACAAGCTAGGTGCTATCATTATGGTAGGTATCGTCCAGGCTTACATCGGGCTGGCTCTGGATGACGAATGCCTTCGTACCAAGCTCGATGACTGTCGTTGTTCGCACCACAGCTGGTCTCAGAGGGGAACTTGCGCTTTTGCGACTGCTATTTTATGCTTCTCGAATAGGCAGGAAATGATTGGAGAAAGTGGGTGTGAGTTGGCGGACTGCTTTCACTAGCACCCGATTCGGGGTTGTTGACTGGTGCCAGGACCGGGACCTTACGAACCAACATTCTGAATAGCTCTGTGCTTGAGAATAGAGAATGTGTTGAGAGAAATGTTAGTCGGGGCAGCTTCCAAATTAAAGCTCAGGCTGGCAGATCATTCGATTTTTGGTCCTTGCCTGGATTTCCTTTAAGGTCGTAAAGCCATCTACTGCACTTCGCCTGATCCGGGGGACCAACAAGACATCCAATTCGCCAGGTTGGTGCTGTAAGGGATTGGCCACTCAGCTCTTGACAAATATCTGTGGGGAGTCGTATATTTGGGCACACAAAAGTCGGGTTACATGATCTGAATGTCCTCCGTCTTTGTCCTGGGGTTGTGAGTAGAAATCTCTACTACAAAATGCCATCGATTTGACATCCCTACGGAGCCTCTCCATGTCCACACACACGGACGTGACTTTAGTCCAACGAATTATACACTCAGTCGGGTCATGTTCATTCTCATATTGCGTGAGTCTGTCAACGATCTGTACTTTCCCGGAATTAATGCCATGACTTGAGCCTTGATACATGGAGGGGGCAAAGATTTCTAATCCTTGAAGACACATCGAGAGTAGTCACTCTCGTCACGGGTACCTAGGTTCTCCTTTGGCAGATATCCCATAATAGCAGCCTCAGACGCGCCGTCAAACACACAGAAACGGTGAGTTATCCTCCATTCACCATCTCTCTTTTCCAGGTTGTCAACATACCGCACCAAGAAGGTAGTCCACTTCTCCTCCTGTCCGACTCCGACGATCGTTGTAGCGGTGCAGTACGTCTCGGCATGCGCCTTGCGACCATCCTCCTCAATCTCAATGAGAGATTGACCGATCTGGTG